TATATATATATATATATATATATATATATATATATATATATATATATATATATATATATATAAAAATTGGTAACACTTTATTTTGAGGGTCCATTTGAGTATTAGTCTGGTTAATATCTGCTGATACTGCTCCTAAACAGACATTGAACTGACTATAAATAACTTTGCAAGTACATGTCAACTTACACTAACCCCAACCCCAACCCCAACCTAACAGTCTACTTATAATCTGATGAGAATTAGTCGGCATGTAGATGCAATGTAACTTAAATTCAACAAATGGACCATCAAAATAAACTGTGACCAATAAAATGCACAAAAAATAAATAAATAAAAATATAAATAAGAAATATAAAATTGAAAGGTGAATTTTATCAGAAAATTTTAGGAAAATTAAGAGAAAGCATAAAAAAATACTGTATTAAAACTGTGAAAAAGAAAATAATAAATAAACAAATAAAAAAAATACCAAAAAAAATGCTATAGATGCATAAGAGAAGTTTGATTTGAAGGGGAAAAATAAACAAACTTGAAGAGAATTAAATAATTTTCTCAATCCATAATGTTATTGAGTGAATTCTAACCAGGACGTGTTGTTGACTGTGTTGATGAGATGCAGATGAACTAAGCATCCAATAATGAAAGCAGAAGTTTGACTGGAAACAAAAGCTCAAATCAGCATCTCTGTTAAAGAGTGTGTGCCAACAATCACTGCCAGAGAGAGAGAGAGAGAGACTGATAGAGAGACTACATGTTTAAAAAGGGATGTCAGCAGTTGCAGTGCCACCTCCTTCCCATCTGCTGATGAGCGGCGTCTGTAATGTACTGTAGATGTTTTTATAAAAGTGTGTCTTTTTCCATCAGGACCTGCTGTCAGACTCACCGGCCTCCCTCCGTCTGTCTTTATAAAGGCATAAGGCTCGGTTCTGTTCCCGCTCCTTCACTGGGGTTTGTGGCAGAAGATGTAAATCTCTTAAGGTTGCGTGGTGAGGGTCTCTCTCAGACCGCCGCTGATGCCGTTTATCCGCTCAGAGGATCTTCTCGATAGTGAATAGCGTATCGCAGTTTCTCCAGCATCACATCCAGGGAGGAATACTGCGGCAGCTTGACCATGAACATACACGTCTCCACGCGGATATAGCGCTGATCTGGAGAGCCTGAGAGAGAATCATGCAACACTGATCAGGAGGATGAGGAGAACGATATAATAATGACTATAGCAATAAGAATGGAGAGGTGGCATGGTGGCTCAGTGGTTAGTACTGCTGCCTCACAGCAAGAAGGTCACTGGTTCGAGTCCCAGCTAGGCTAGTTGGCGTTTCTGTGTGGAGTTTGCATGTTCTCCCCGTGTTGGCGTGGGTTTCCTCTGGGTGCTCTGGTTTCCAAACACATGCGCTATAGGGGAACTGGTGAACTAAACTGACTGTAGTCTATTAGTGTGTGTGAGAATGAATGTGTATGGGTGTTTCCCAGTACTGGGTTGCAGCTGGAATGAAAAATATACTGGATAAATCCGTTTTGGTGACCCCTTATGAATAAAGGGACTAAGCCGAAGGAAAATAAATGAATGTGTACTAGGGGAAATGTCCAAAATAAGTTAATATTAATAATTAATAATAAATAATAATAAAATCTAAATAATAATAACAAACATCTGCAGTAGTTAGAGTAAATTAAAACAGGAATAAACTGTCAAAAAAAAATCCCAGAATGCCTCACAGGGATGGAGATCTCTGATTGGTTAATGACTTGTGCTTACCCACGGTGCCGTCCGGCGGGGCGATCTTCATGGGATAGGGGGGCACATGTGCGGTGTCCGGACCCCCATCTTTGCACGGGCAGGTGAAGGGAATCCTCTCCTGGTTGCAGGCGAACTTAATAAACTTGCTGAGCTCCTCCTGCGTGAACATCTCCAGCGCCGCCCAGAAGAACTCGATATGCTGATCCGTCTCCATCAGACCCACCTGATACATGGTGTGCGCCTAAACAGCCAGTTTACAGTCAACAGTGCATGATTATTTAGGGATAAAGTAGGAAAAACAAACCCTATAGAAGTCAATGGTTACAGGTTTCCAGCATTCTTCAAAATATCTACTTCTGTGTTGGAACTGACCTTCAGGAACTCCAGGTTGATGTCCGGCAGACCGCAGGTGCGCAGCTCCACCTCTGCGGGACTCAGTAAAGTCAGCAGCTGCAGTGGGATGATGGAGCCCAGACCGGCGCGCACCGCAGACATACACTCCACATTCTGCAGCTCCCGCAGACGCAGCTCACGCACCGCTCGCACATACACATCCTTATTCTCCCAGCTTAACACACACAGACACACACACACACACACACAGAAATATTAGAGATCATTCATTAACTTTGCAACTCATTCAAAAAGCAATTACAAGGTTCTTTAATGCCCTTTAAGATGTAATTTACAGCTGAAGACCAAATGATTACATAAATCCAATGGAAGTCAATGGTTACAGGTTTCCAGCATTCTTCAAAATATCTTCTTTTGTGTTCAACAGAATAAAGAAAGTCAAATGATGACAACATTTTCCAATTTCAGGTGAACTATCCCTTTAAAAACAGGCGTGAACAGGGCCCGGATAATTCACCAAAAAATATAAACACTAACACAATATTTTTTCTTCCTCTAGTAGTTTCAAACCTTTAAGATTTTGTTTCTTCTAAGATATGATAAAGAAAGCTGAAAACCGGTAACCATTGACTTCCACAGTAGGAAAAAAACAAATAGTATGAAAGTCAATGGTTACAGGTTTCCAGCATTCTTCAAAATATCTTCTTTAGTGTTCAACAGAAGAAACTCCAACTTGTTCAAAGGTAAGTGATGACAGAATGTTCGATTTCAGGTGAACTATGCCTTTAACACCAGCTGTGAACAGGGCCTGTGGGTATGATACATGAAACTCTATAATGCATGAAACCAGACTTCAAGGGATAGTTTGCTAAAAAAACAAAAACATTTACACACAACATACTCTCCCTCAAGTGGTTGCAAACCTTTGAGTTTCTTTGATCTGTTAAACACTAAATATATCTACAAAAATAAGATAAAACCATAACCATAACCTGGTAACCATTGACTTCAGTAGTAGGAGAAACAAATACAATGGAAGTCAACGGTTACTGGTTTCCAGCATTCTTCAAAATATCTTCTTTTGTGTTCAACAGAATGAAAGTCAAATAAGTTTAAGGGTGAGTAAATGACGACAGAATGTTCCATTTTGGGTGAACTGTCCCTTTAATATCTGGTGTGAACAGGGCCTGTGTGTATAATACATGAAGCTATCAAACGCAAGAAACTACGCTTGAAGGGATATTTTACAAAAAAAATAAAAAATTTACACACTATTTACTCGCCCTCAAGTGTTTCCAAACCTTAATGTGTCTCTTTCATCTGCTGAAGACTAGAGAAGATATTTTGAAGAAAGCTGAAAACCTGTAACCATTGACCTTCATAGTAGAGAAAACACATACTATGGAAGTCAATGGTTACAGGTTTCCAGCATTCTTCAAAATATCTCCTTTTGTGTTCAACAGAACAAAGAAATTACAATAGGTTTAAGGGTGAGTAAATGACGATAGAATGTTCGATTTTGGGTGGACTGTCCCTTTAATATCAGTTGAAAACCGGGTCTGTGTGTATAATACATGAAGCTACCACATGAAACTAGACTTCAAGTGATAGCTCGCCAATTTTTAAAAAAATGTTATGTTATTTACTCTACCAATCTTTATACGTTTCTTTCTTCTGTTGAATACAAAGATATCTATAAGATATAAAACCTGTAACCATTGACTTCTATTGTATTCAATTTTCCTACTATGGAGGTCAATAGTTACAGGTTTCCAGCATTCTTCAAAACGCCTTCTTTAGTGTTCAACAGAAGAAACTCAAACATGTTCATGGGTGAGTAAATGATGGCAGAATGTTCAGTTTTGGGTATATTATTATGACATTTGGTCATTGGCTGTCACCTGACAGCGATGTCACGTCCTCCCTGGCACAGCTCCACTTCCTCTCCAGTCATAGTGATGTATGTGAAGGTGCAGCAGGGCCGGCTGGGGGAGTCTGGACTCTCCCCCAGGGGACTCTGAGACGACACTTCAGCACACAGCGCTTCCAGCTCCGCTTCATCACACAACTGTGAACAGCAGACAACAGATTCAGGCGTTCATGTTAGGAAAACGAGCACTGTATACTATACTATACACTTAAAGGGTCAGTTCACACAAATATTAAAATTCAATATTAGTGCAGCAACAATGTTGCCCACGTCACTGTATTATATAAAAATCAATATTATTTTACACTCTCAAACTTCTTGATGTAGCTGTACGTGAGCAGATCTGCTTCCCGCAGGTCAGCTTCGGGATCGAGAGCCTCTCCGACCAGACCCTTCCAGAAGGATCCCAGCAGGTCCAGAGGCAGCGGCACATCGGCCCGGATGGCGATGCCCAGAAGCTGCCCGAAGAAGTTCAGCAGCTGCTCCTCAGCGTATGTGATGGGACACGGAGTCAGGATGTACTTCCCCTGAAAAAAACAACACACATCAGATCTAGAACATTTGTAAAACAGTTTGTAAAGATTGTCTGTCTTTATAAAAAATATATAATATAAGAGACTTTTATTCACCAAACAAGTGGATCTAATTCGATCTGCATTGTAAACTTGAAGGTTTTGTTATTCGATGTTTGACATAATCTCAACCAAAACATAAAGAGAGGGCGGGGCATAGAGTGGCTCCTTCCCTTATAAAAAACCAGCCAATAGCTTTAAGAAGGGGGCGGGGCATGTAAAACACTAGAGAGCATCTGATCTGGCCTGTGTGTATAATACATCTTGCTATACAATGCAAAAAACTAGGCTTGAAGGGACATTTCACCCAAAATGTTTGTTTTTTAAAGACGATTTACTCTTTCTCAAGTGTTTCCAAGCCTTAATGTGTCTCTTTCATCTGCTGAAGACTAGAGAAGATATTTTGAAGAAAGCTGAAAACCTGTAACCATTGACTTTCATAGTAGAGAAAACACATACTATGGAAGTCAATGGTTATCGACTTCCAGCATTCTTCAAAATATCTCCTTTTGTGTTCAACAGAATAAAGAAAGCCAAACAGGTTTAATGGTGAGTAAATGATAACAGAATGTTGGATTTTGGGTGGACTGTCCCTTTAATATCAGGTGCAAGCCGGAGATTTGCTTTATTTACCAAACAAGTGGATCTAATTCAATCTGCATTGTAAACTTGAAGGTTTTGTTATTCGATGTTTGAAGTAATCTCAACCAAAACATAAAGAGAGGGCGGGGCATAGAGTGGCTTCTTCCCTTATATAGAAAAAAAACAGCCAATAGCTTTCTGAAAGGGGCGGGGCATTTCAAACACTAGAGAGCATTTGATTGGTCAAGTAAATGATGACGGAATGTTCCATTTTGGGTAAACTGTCCCTTTAATATCAGGATCTGTGACATGAACAGGGTCTGTGTGTATAATACATGAAGCTATACAACGCAAGAAACTACGCTTGAAGGGATAGTTCACCAAAAAATGAAATTTTGCACATGATTTACTCTCCCACAAGTGTTTCCAAACCTTAATGTGTCTCTTTCATCTGCTGAAGACTAGAGAAGATATTTTGAAGAAAGCTGAAAACCTGTAACCAGTGACCTTCATAGTAGAGAAAACACATACAATGGAAGTCAATGGTTACAGGTTTCCAGCATTCTTCAAAATATCTCCTTTTGTGTTCAACAGAATAAAGAAAGCCAAACAGGTTTAATGGTGAGTAAATGATAACAGAATGTTGGATTTTGGGTGGACTGTCCCTTTAATATCAGGTGCAAGCCGGAGACTTGCTTTATTTACCAAACAAGTGGATCTAATTCGATCTGCATTGTAAACTTGAAGGTTTTGTTATTCGATGTTTGACGTAATCTCAACCAAAACATAAAGAGAGGGCGGGGCATAGAGTGGCTCCTTCCCTTATAAAAAAACAGCCAATAGCTTTAAGAAGGGGGCGGGGCATGTAAAACACTAGAGAGCATCTGATCTGGCCTGTGTGTATAATACATCTTGCCATACAATGCAAAAAACTAGGCTTGAAGGGACATTCCACCAAAAATCTTTGTTTTTTACAGACGATTTACTCTTTCTCAAGTGTTTCCAAGCCTTAATGTGTCTCTTTCATCTGCTGAAGACTAGAGAATATATTTTGAAGAAAGCTGAAAACCTGTAACCATTGACTTTCATAGTAGAGAAAACACATACTATGGAAGTCAATGGTTATCAACTTCCAGCATTCTTCAAAATATCTCCTTTTGTGTTCAACAGAATAAAGAAAGCCAAACAGGTTTAATGGTGAGTAAATGATAACAGAATGTTGGATTTTGGGTGGACTGTCCCTTTAATAGCAGGTGCAAACCGGGAGACTTGCTTTATTTACCAAACAAGTGGATCTAATTCGATCTGCATTGTAAACTTGAAGGTTTTGTTATTCGATGTTTGAAGTAATCTCAACCAAAACATAAAGAGAGGGCGGGGCATAGAGTGGCTCCTTCCCTTATATAGAAAAAAAACAGCCAATAGCTTTCTGAAGGGGGCGGGGCATTTCAAACACTAGAGAGCATTTGATTGGTCAAGTAAATGATGACAGAATGTTCCATTTTGGGTAAACTGTCCCTTTAATATCAGGATCTGTGATATGAACAGGGCCTGTGTGTATAATACATGAAGCTATACAACGCAAGAAACTACGCTTGAAGGGATAGTTCACCAAAAAATGAAATTTTGCACATGATTTACTCTCCCTCAAGTGTTTTCAAACCTTAATGTGTCTCTTTCATCTGCTGAAGACTAGAGAAGATATTTTGAAGAAAGCTGAAAACCTGTAACCATTGACTTTCATAGTAGAGAAAACACATACTATGGAAGTCAATGGTTACAGGTTTCCAGCATTCTTCAAAATATCTCCTTTTGTGTTCAACAGAATAAAGAAAGCCAAACAGGTTTAATGGTGAGTAAATGATAACAGAATGTTGGATTTTGGGTGGACTGTCCCTTTAATAGCAGGTGCAAACCGGGAGACTTGCTTTATTTACCAAACAAGTGGATCTAATTAGATTTGCATTGTAAACTTGAAGGTTTTGTTATTCGATGTTTGACGTAATCTCAACCAAAACATAAAGAGAGGGCGGGGCATAGAGTGGCTCCTTCCCTTATAAAAAAAAAAAGAAAACAGCCAATAGCATTCTAAAGGGGGCGGGGCATGTCAGAAACTAGAGACCATCTGATTGGTCAAGATTGGATGAGAAACTTAAGTATGAGGTAACATGAATAAAATCACTGTGGCGGAGGAGACAAACTACAAGCTCAGTTTCATACAGTGTCTCATGAATGCCAATCTTGTCACTGTATTGAAGCACACTAGTTTATAAAAGTCCTTAAAAGTAACAGACTGAGAAAAACCTCTAAAAAACCTTATTTTAATTTTGTGGGAGCTTTAAAAGTTAAATGTTAAAACTGTTTTATTTTTGAGCTCCTCTCATTTTTTCACTCGCAGCTAACCAACAGCACATTTGTAATGAAATTGCAATTTAGTTGAACTATTAACATTACTCACTTGGCCAGACAGAATCTGCAGATACTTTCTTGCCATTTCTGTGCAGAACTTTGTAAAAAATAAACTAAAATAAATTTGGATTTTATGTGAAATGACAGAGTTTAGTAGCTAAAAACGTAAAACATGAAATAAAAAATAACTTTTTAACTTTTCTTTAAGGTTTACAATGCAAAGCCCAATTAAATATAAATGTACATGTTAGTCTATGTAACTGGATTAGTGTGTAGAAATTAATAAAAAACAGAAGTCAGATGTAGCACACGGAGGAAGGTGTAAAAATGTTCACCTTATTGCGGTTAGCGGCGGCGCTCGGGCAGGGCAGAAGAAGAGAGAGAGCTGAACTCTGGAGCTCCTTACACACCTGCCATAGGAAATGCCTGAAAGAGCCACCTGAGGAAAGACAACATCTCTTAAAGATAGTATAAACAAATGATTTAAAATAACTGTTTTGGATTGAAATAAAGCTGAAATGAAATGGGCTCTATGCACAGCTAGAGTTTTAAAGCCGACGATAAACTTCCGGAGAAAGCTTAATGTGACTATTTTCAATTTCACAAGGTTCTTTTTACAGCATCGATGTTGTGATGTAATTACAATACATTCAGTTAAACAGACTTAAGCATTTGTTTAATTGTTCAAATGTAAAATGAGATGAAAGATCAAGGTAACCACTAGTGCCCGTCAGTTTCAATAGGCTAGTGCAGAAATTCCATTAAAAATACTGGGGTAAAAGAAACTGTCATATTTTAAAGACATGTGGTTGGGCGGGGCTGGGGGGTTCAGTCACATGAGATCACTCTAATATTAATTATTATTATTATTATTAATGGTAATAGTTCTAAAAGCAGCAATGACTGGAGTAATAATGTCACTTGAAGCTACATACACTAAGAAAGCAGTTATTTAAAATTAATAAATACTTGACATTTTATTTACGTTTAATAAATGCCGTCTTGATGAACACAATAAAAGTACTTATTTAAAATGAGCGTAAGCAACACAATAGTTGAGTTGTTTGGGGCACAATGTAATTGTTTTATGTTATATAAGGGCACAGAACTGATGAAAATGAGCAGTAATTTGCACAACACAATGTATTGTGTGTATCTGTGTGACTGACTGGTGCCGTGGACCTCCTCTCCGGTGAAGCGGATGTTGAAGGCGTATGTGGGGTCTCCTCCGCTGGCGATGCGCACACACAGCTGAGACGATGGCACACACGACAGCTGCCGCGCTGCCTGGCAGAAATAAGTGTTCTCCGCAGCGCGCATCTCTCCTGAAACACACACATCGGGGAGTTAAAGTACACATGAAGTCAACATTAACCATATTGACTGTGTTAGCTCACATTGCTAGTTAAATCCTCAGGTTATGTCAGTCTGAGGTATTGGGCGTGGCTAACAAACTTAACCACACCCCTCCAGCTGTCAGTTTTGACAGCAGACAGTAATGGTGAGGAGGAGGAGTCGGTTGTAATAACTCTCTCCAGATCTTTCTGAATGAAACACCTACTTTACTACATCCAATCAGCTCACAGTAAAAATAAACAAGCCACGCCCACTGTTTACCATACTGAAGAAAAAGGCTTTAACCAGTCTAGGCTGGTTTAAGCTGGATTTTTACAGCAGGGAATTAATTTAATATTCCATTTCTCGAGGAACTGCAATACATTAAGAACAAAAATGTGGTCCCAGCTTCCAGTTCAAGCACCTTCAGTGTGAATAAAGTCTTTACCTCCAACAATCTCCAGCGGGTCGAGAGTGATTTCAGGCGCTGCGTGATCTGCCGTCCGCTGCACGGTAGCGTTCAACACCCTGTTCATCACCGTCACCTTAGTGTCGTAAAATATCAGGCCTGCAAATCAGGAGAAGAGACAGGGAAATGATTAATTGGAGTAAACATGCATCAGGATTATAATACTGTTTTCATTTTGATACTATTTTAAAATGGGCTGTATTTAGTTTTGGGGGCTCAGTGGTAAGCACTGTCGCAGCACAGAAAGAAGGTCGCTGGTTTGAGTCCCGACTGAGCCTGTTGGCATTTCTGTGTGGAGTTTGCATGTTCTTCCCGTGTTGGTGTGGGTTTCCTCCGGGTGCTCCGGTTTCCCCCACAGTCCAAACACATGCGCTATAGGGGAATTGATGAACTAAATTGGCTGTAGTGTATGAGTGTGTGAGTGAATGAGTGTGTATGGGTGTTTCTCAGTACTGGGTTGCAGCTGGAAGAACATCTGCTGCGTAAAACACAGGAATATTTAGCGGTTCATTCTGCTGTGGCAACCCCTGATAAATAAGGGACTTAGTATGGAGTTAAAATTGTTTCTTTATTATTCAATCGAAAACATTCAGTTTAATGAAAAATTAATTACGGAGGAGTTAAAAAATAAAAGATTTTAAAGAAAAACAGGTTTAATTAAAAAACATGTCAATGATAATAAAATATTTTGCATTGCAAAAAATAAACCTTTTCGTCATAATTGGACTATTATGCAGTTACCAAAATTTGCACACATTCATTTTGCTCTCTGTTCTGCTGTCATTTATTGCACATCTTTGCTTGCGGGTTTTGAACCCGTGTATGCCGGGATTAATTTTGTGTCTTTATTTTATTCAAATAAACATATGAAGTTTTTGACCAAAATTAGGTACAATGTTCAATTAAAAAGTATTCAATAGTTCACACTTAGCTGAGGATTGGTAATAAGCTAGTTTGGCATGCTGTCCCGGGAGAGAGCCCCGAGCTCATAAGATCCTCGAGCACGGAGCTACCTCCCGTTGCAGGGCAAGAGTGGAGTTTGAGCTCGGGTAGATCTCGAGAACCCCCCCCTTTACTTAAGTCTCATGTTTTTGGGAGTGTGGGAGGAAACCGGAGGACCCGGGGAAAACCCAGACAAGCACGGGGAGAACATTAACTCCACACGAAAATGCTGTCCGGTTGGGTGGATACCCGAGCCAGAGGCATTTTTTGCTGTGAGGCCGCAGTGCTAGCCACTGGGCCGCCGTGCTGCCCTGTAGAAAAGAGGAGGAGAAGGGGTGGAAGGGGGGATTCTTCAAGACGAAGATGACTAAAGGTAAGATGCTTGGTATTTATACTGGGTTAGGAATTGTCTGATTGGTGGTTCACACATTAGCCTGACTCGGGGCCAGCCGTGTCAATCATAAGCACGTGATCCTCTCGAAATTAGCTTATGAATAAACTTCACAAAGATTTAGAATAATAAAAAAACATTAAAATAAAAAAATTCACACTGCAAAAAAATAACTATTGCCCTTTTATGCAGTTACCACCTGATTAATTCATTGTGTGCTCATTCGTTTTGCTTTTGATTCATTCTTTGCTGATCTACAATCTTTGCTTGCGAGTTGAAAAGTTTTGCGAGTTGAAAACTCTGCAGCTCAGTGGGCGGGATCTTCTGAAAAACCTTATTCTATTGGCCAATCTTGAATGAGGTCACAGGTTGGCCACGCCTATTACGTTTTCGCGGGATTGGACTGGAGTCACCGGCAGTGTGGCCAACTTAGCGACTTTGTTGCAAAAATATTTTATTATCATTGACAAGTTTTTTTTTAATTAAACGTGTTTTTATTTGAAATATTTTATTTTTTAATTACTTAATTAATTTTCTTGTCAGTTTAGTTCCTTTATTAATCAGGGGTCACCACAGCAGAATGAACCGCCAACTTATCCAGCAAGTTTTTACGCAGCGGATGCCCTTCCAGCTGCAACCCATCTCTGGGAAACATCCACACACACATTCACACACACACACTCATACACTACGGACAATTTAGCCTACCCAATTCACCTGTACCGCATGTCTTTGGACAGTGGGGGAAACCGGAGCACCCGGAGGAAACCCACGCGAATGCAGGGAGAACATGCAAACTCCACGCAGAAACGCCAACTGAGCCGAGGCTTGAACCAGCGACCATCTTGCTGTGAGGCGACAGCACTACCTACTGCGCCACTGCATCGCCCTTATAATATTTCTTTAAAACTAAATGTTTTTGACTGAATAAAAAAAGAAACAAGTCTAACTCCATAACTAAGCTGAAGGAAAACGAATGAATGAATAAAGCAATAGTAAATGATGAACTATGATTTATTAATACTTCACTAGACTATTCATACTTGGTTGACATTACTAAATAAATTAAATAGTGGACCATTATTCTAAAGTGTTACCGGATTGACAATAATTTAAATTATATTTGAGCGCCTGTTATTTGCATACTGACCTTTGGCCTCGCACAGAAGTGTGGCGATGCTGTTCTGGTAGGTCTGTGTGAGTCTCAGCTCCACTAAAGGCAGGAAGAAGCTCTCCAGCGTGCTGTTGAGGGACTGCAGCAGAGCAAAGCGCAGACGCAAACTCTCCACTGGGACACCTGTGGGGACACAATCACGTTCACTGGACATCCATCCTGTTTTCTCTTTTATATATTTCCCAAATTATATTTAACATATTCAGGAAATTTTCACAGTATTTCCTATAATATTTTTTCTTCTAGAGAAAGTCTTATTTGATTTATTTCGGCAAGAATAAAAGCAGTTTTTAAATTTTTTTTAAAGCCGTTTTAAGGTCAATATTATTAGCCCCTTTAAACTTAAAATTTGTTTTGGATTGTCTTGAAGAATATCTAGTCTCATATTATGTGCTGTCATCATGGCAAAGATAAAATAAATCAGTTATTAGAGATGAGTTATTAAAACTATTATTATTAGAAATGTGTTATAATAATCTTTTCTCTGTTAAACAGAAATTGGGGAAAAAATAAACAAGGGGGTGAATAATTCTGACTTCAGCTGTATATAATAATAATAATAATAATAATAATAATAATAATAACCATAATAATAATAATAATAATAACCATAATAATAATAATAATAATAATAATAATAATAATAATAATAATAATAATAATAATAATAATCATAATAATCATAATAACCATAATCATAATAATAATAATCATAATAATAATCATAATCATAATAATAATAATAATCATAATAATAATAACCATAATAATAATAATAATAATAATAATAATAATCATAATAATAATAATAACCATAATAATAATAATAATAATAATAATAATAATAATCATCATAATAATCATAATAATAATAATAACAACCATAATAATAATAATAATAATAATAATAATAATAATAATAATAATAATAATAATAATAATAATAATAATTGACGGCCCTTGAGAGGCTTTTGCATCTGAACTGTTCATCTGTGAACAAGATAACACAGTGATGGACTTGCCTAACAGACACGCGACCTCAGGATCCGCGCCATCTTTGCTGGCGTCCAGGTAAACCTCATGTGGATGCAGGCGGGCAGGAGTGATGGCCAGGTGACGACAGAGACGGTTCACAAACTGCACCAACGCAAAGTCCATCTCGAAGCTCCATTTTCTGCTGGCTTTCTGAGCATGTCGGGAATCAATGCATGTGCATCTGGAGGAAAATAAAAAGTATTTCTAGGTGTTTACAAACTAGTGTAGATTTGTCCAGCTTTGGAGGCGTCTGCATCAGCATATGTGGATGAGAACAGGACGTGTGTTTGGGTATAACTCAGTTTTCTTCATTATTAGTGTTTATTTATTCCTCTGCTGGAGATTAGAGCTGAATTTAGAAATAGTTTTGAAGCAAATCTTTGAGCTTAACAAAGGAAATTAAATATGTGGACTGATGGATGTGTTCAGTGGAGGGAGATTCCACCGTTTCCTCACTCCACCAAAGTAAAGGAGTAAAGAGTAAAAGTAAAGTAAAGAGGCTGAATGGAGGAGGCTCGTTCTCGTTCGCTGTTTTCTAGTGAAGCGTTCAGTTTTTACAATAACAAAGTCCGGCATGTAAATAGCAAATGGACCATGGTGTGACGCAACAGACTCTTAAAGGGAATGAGACTCTGATTGGTTTAGTGCAAGTTATGCTCAACACACCCAGAACTCATTAAGAGAATAAGCACAACCCTGTTAAGCCGCCCTTCCACTGCACACGACATTTGGACACGACTGTCGGAATACGCCCCCTTGTGGCAGTCGCACAGTGTTTTCAGTGTTGTCGTGCACTACGGGAGAGAAGCTGTCCTCAGTGTCCCAAATAAAGGAGTGCAAGAGCAAGAGCCTTTATTCTCTGTGCATTTACACGGTTTAATGAAGGAAGGAATACTAGAAACTCATAGACCGCTACAAATATTGGAGGGAATATGGAGACAACATTAAAATATATATTTTTATTACTTCAAGAGTTCACACTTAGCTGATGATTTACAAAAGCTTGTTTGGCATGCAGTCCCGGGAGAGAGCCCCGAGCTCAAGGACTCCTCGAGTCCGGGGCTTCCTCCCGTTTGGCAGAGCGAGAGGGGAGCCTGAGCTCGGTGGATCTCAGAACTCCCCGCTGCGGTAGCTAAGGGAACCCGAAGGTTAGATAAATGCTTGGTTGTTATGCATGTTGAATGTCTTTGGATGGTGGGAGGAAACCGGAGAACCCGGGGAAAACCCACGCGGACACGGGGAGGACATACAAACTCCTCACAGAAACACCCACCGGTTCTGTGGGACCAGGGCTGGCAGTGCTCTTGCCGTGGGGCTCGCAGTGCTAACCACTGGGCCACCGTGCCGCCCAATCAGAGGTAAAGGAGGAGAATAGGGGAGGAGGGGGGTTTCTTCTAAACGAAGATAAAGTGAACTGAAAACTGTGGATATTTATAGTAGCTTAGGGCTTGTATGATTGGAAGATAGTGATTAGCAAATGCGAGACCAGCCGTGATAAATCATAAGCACGTGATCCTCTCGAAATTAGTTTATGAATAAACTTCAATTTATTACTTACATTTAAGAACAGAAATGTTTTTTTTTTAATAAAGACTTTTTATAATTCAAAAAATAATCAAATAAACTGCTATTTCTCACCTCACGTGCACGGACCTGCTTGTACAACACTAGAATGCATCACATCCGGTCGGCCGGTCGCATACAGTCTAGTCGCAGGAGATCAAATATTTCAACAGCTTAATTCGGATCCGAATTTTCCCTATACGGAGATGATTGGAACTGCCCGCAGCTCCCGGACTACTCTCCATTGGAAATGAATGACTTCCGGTCTGTCGCTTGTCGTTTGTCGTGTGCAGTGGAAAGGAGGCTTCAGACTATGCGCGGGGGTGCAAACTGTATTTTTCAATCCTTAAAATTGGAAAAGTGGATTCTGATACGCCCTTAATGCTTTTGCGCCATACGCTTTAGACTTTGCGCCTGGATCGTTAAAATAGAGCCCTTACGCCCTATTCACACGGGGCTTCAGCGTCAACGCTTGACTGAAGGCGTGTCTGACGTTGGGACAGAAGCGATCGTCATATAAGCATCAGCCAATGAAATTCAGTCAGCAATAGGCCACTGTCTAGCTGGTGTATTTGCATACAGCGATCTGATTGGCTGACGCTTCTGTCGGCGCTTGAAAGGTTGAGCTAGTCCCAACTTCTGCAGCGAGCAACGCCTCTGGAGCGGCGCCGACGGATCCACAATGCAGTTCGGCAACGCCTGATGTCACACATTCAAAGTGAATGGGAAGCGTTGACGCTGACGCCCCGTGTGAATGTGGCGTTAAGGTCAATAAGATGCGCATGGCAACAAGACATCAAGCTTGTAGTTAATATTAAAACGTGTCAGAAATGCAGCCACAGATTGATCAGTCTGGCTTCACATCAGACTAGTTTATGTAGTAAATGAAAACCATTTCATCTATATGCATAAAAAAAAAGCTGATTATGGCATAATTGGTATCAACGTTCTCAGGACCACTAGGAAATACATCAAGACCTGATGATAATTTTATTTTTTGTTATTTTAGTTATATGAGTTATTTTTATTTATTTATAGAAGACTTTTATATGTGGAGCTGCACCCAGAACATTCTGGGTAGTAATGAGATGCCAATGTCTTCATAAAACACAGCAAATTTCATTACAGGATTGACCTAAAATGCATGGTATGGACTGCTGCCAATTAAAGAAAAGCAAAATCTGTGTCGAGTAGTAAAAATTGCCGGTGCAATTGCACAAAGACAACCAAATGAAATGTATTAAATGAGAATTAAACAGAAAGCACATGTCATTATTGAAGACTGTTCCATCCTTTAAATATAACATTTCAGCGAAAGGACGTTTTAGGCAACCTCAAGTTAAGGAAAGTGTGTATCAAATGTCCTTTGTGCCGACTGCCAATAGAATTTCACTAATAATTGAGTTTTTAATGGGATGATATTGAATGTATTTGTGTTGCCTGTTTGCCAGAAACTTGCGTTCTGTGAATGAACGTCGCCTCGTGGTTCCATCCCAAAGAGGGAAGAAATCACTTTCCCGAACTCTCGCGTTCAATCTGCCCAGTTGGTGGAATGAACTCCCTAACTGCATCAGAACGGCAGAGTCACTCGCTGACTTCAAGAAACCACTAAAAACTCGACTATTTAGTCTCCACTTTCCTTCCTAATCTGCAATTGCCTCTCTGGCTCCACCACTAACTGTACTACAGAAGAAGAAAAAATACTAATGCTTTGCTTCTTACACTTTACACACCTGAAACTTGCAGACAGCACTTATTCATTGTTGCTCTTATAGTTGTGTAAATTGCTTCCTTGTCCTCATTTGTAAGTCGCTTTGGATAAAAGCATCTCCTAAATGACTACATGTAAATGTTTCTGTGATATGTGTGATGTGAGCGCTGGTGTGGTGAAGCCAAAGAGAATTTTTCCATTTGTTGACAATAAAGACGTGCAAACCTGTCAAAGTGCAGGTCATATCCACAGGCCAGGATCGCCCGCCAAACACTGCGGATATCCTGCTTGGCTCTGTCCAGAGTAAACTTGTGGAAACCCTCCAGCGTCAAAAACTTCTCCTCTGGCACTGTTGAGAGACATCGACATAACAGCAGATCATTCACACTTGTGATCGAGCGCCTGCTTAGTTTTCTACAGATGTGCGCACACTGACCCTTGTTTCAATCGTTTACTTTTACACTCTTACTAACGAATATACAACTAAATACAAAAGTACTCGCCCTCCTGTGAAGTTAGTATTCAGTAACGTTTCTTATACATAATTCTTTAATATGGATAATATTTCCTTAGCTATTTCTCTAGACCAGTGGTCACCAAACTTATTCCAGGAGGGCTGGTGTCCTGCAGATTTGAGCTCCAACCCTAATCAAACACACCTGAACAAGCCAATCAAGGTCTTGCTATACATGAAACACCCAAACAGGTGTGTTGAGGCAAGTTGGAGCTAAACACTGCAGGGCCCTCCAGGACCGAGATTGGTGACCCCTGCTCTAGATACTAGTATTCAGCTTAAAGTGACATTTAAAGGCTTAACTAGGTTGGTTAGGCAAGTTGTGTTAATTAGCCCAGTCACTGTATAACAGTGGTTTGTTCTTTAGCCAATCAAAAAGCTAGCTAGCCGGGGCTAATGATATTGACCTTAAAATGATGATTAAAAAAATTAAGAACTGCTTTTAATCTAGCCGAAATAAAACAAATAGGACTTTCTCCTAAAGAAAAAAATATTATCAGACATACTGTGAACATTTCCTGAATCTGTTAAACATCGTTTGGGAAATATTAAAAAAAGAGGAAAAAAATTCAAAGAGGGGCTAATAATTCGAGTGCCTTAGTGTCCCCACTAGTGCCGATATACAGCCATATCGCACTGCTACGAGTGTGATATTGTGTTTATGCAACAGTTTGACGGCATAATTGTGTATATAAAAACAAACTCAAACATGGAGAGTCTCAAAAACCCTTTTGTATGAGGAACTACTTTCTTCTGCGTTGGATTCAAATCACAAGCTGACAGTTGAGCGTGCATCTTTTAAACTTTAGATCTGTAGTGTCGGCTTTTTGCTGGCTGTATGTGGGCGGAGTAATACACAAAGGGTAAAGAGGCTGAAGGAGTTCTAATATTGCAGAATATTGCACGGCTATCAGCCAATCAGATTTGAGAACCAGACAGAACTGTTGCATATATATATATATATATATATATATATATATATACATATTGCATACATACAAATTTTTATTATGAATTTAATTATTATTTGAAGAATGCAGGCTCGAAATACACTAAATCACCTGCAATACCACAGTTCAATCTTTGGATGTAAGTTCCACCCTGTTATGTGCGACAACAATCATGTCTAATTTTTAGACATAATTACATATTTTTATTAGCCTCTGCAGTGGGGTGTATATTTAGATATAATATATTATGCTGCCTAAAAATTATTATTGGACCCAAACAGTTGACGTCAGAATTATTAGCCCCCTTTTATTTATTTATTGATTTTTTTTTATATTTCCCAAATGTTTAACAGAGCAAGGAAATTGTTACAGTATGTCTGATAATATTTTTTTCTTCTGGAGAAAGTCTTACTGGTTTTATTTCGGCTGGAATAAAAGCAGTTTTAAATTTTTTAATCACCATTTTAAAGTCATAATTATTTAACCCTTTAAGCTATACTTTTTTTCGATAGTCTACAGAACAAATCATCATTATACAATAACTTGCCTAATTATCCTAACCCTAATTAAACCCTAGTGAAGCCTTTAAATGTCACTTTAAGCTGTATAGAAGTGTCTTGAAGAATATCTAGTCTAAAATTATTTCAAGAGTTCACACTTAGCTGATGATTTACAAAAGCTTGTTTGGCATGCTGTCCCGGGAGAGAGCCCCGAGCTCAAGGGCTCCTCGAGCCCGAGGCTTCCTCCCGTTAGCAGAGCAAGAGGGGAGCCTGAGCTCGGTGGATCTCAGAACTCCCCTGCCGCTGTAGCTAAGGGAACACAAAGGATTAGACAAGCTTGATTGTTATGCATGTTGAATGTCTTTGGATGGTGGGAGGAAACCGGAGAACCCAGGGAAAACCCACGCGGACACGGGGAGAACATACAAACTCCTCACAGAAACACCCACCGGTCCTGTGGGACCAGGGCTGGCAGTGTTCTTGCTGTGTGGCTAACAGTGCTAACCACTGGGCCGCCGGGCCGCCCAATCACAGGTAAAGGAGGAGAATAGGGGAGGAGGGGGGTTTCTTCCAAACGAAGATAAAGTGAACTGAAAACTGAGGCTATTTATAGTAGCTTAGGGCTCATATGATTGGAAGATAGTGATTAGCAAATGCGAGACTGGCCGTGATAAATCATAAGCACGTGATCCTCTCGAAATTAGTTTATGAATAAACTTCACTTACTGTCATCATGACAAAGATAAAATAAATCAGTTATTAGAGATGAGTTATTAACATTATTATATTGATAAATGTAAAATCTGCTCTCCGTTAAACAAAAATTGGGGAAAAATAAACAGTGGGCTAATAATTCTGACTTCAACTGTATATCATATTTACATTTATACAACAGAAGAAAGAAACTCAAACAGGTTTTAAACAAGTGGCGGATGAGGAATTCTCAGTGTTGAACTGTCCCTTTAACATCTTTAACGTTTAGATGAGCATGTATGAGCTTTGTGTTTATTATTTCCACATGAAATCAGAAATCAGAAGAGTGATATTACTGACCTTCGGGTTTTTTGGCAGGAGATTTTTCGGGGTCTTTTTCATCGGGTTTGGTCTTCTCTGGAGATTTTGGCTTGAGGACGGTTTTTTTCTCACTCAGTACAGTTCTGCAGAAACGACATGTACCACATGATCTACTGTACACAGCATAAACTGCTATTATAGACAGCACTTCATAAGTAAAGGTGCATATGTATATGATAAGGAATGCTGGTATAAACCTAAAGGCACAAGATGTGTGATTTTGTCAATAAAATATACAAAAACCACTCGGACAGTCTTATATATTTTGCTGTCTTATCTACATACATTATCCCAAATGTTTTGAAGAATGTTCAAATCCAGAGAAATAATTAACCTAAGTCCTGTAGGATGATGAAGACCACAAGTACCATGATTCCACACTCAGTCACAGAGTCATCAAACTACACCTTTGTTTGTTGTGAACACACGCCCTCTAGTGGTGAAAATCACACACTGTGCCTTTAAATGTTTAAATTGCTCACACTTAGCAATAAGATTTCCTTAATTGATGTTAGATAATTTACTAACAAGAACAATGAACATTACATTTATTATTTGTTATTGTAAAAATTGGTTGACTGTGTTAATTCACAGTGCATTGACAAGCATAACTAGATTTCTAAAAATGCATTACTAAATGTTAAATAATGATTAATAAACAATAAATAAATTCACAGTGCATTAATGCTAACAAGCACAACTTTAGATTTTTAAAAATGCATTATTAAATGTTAAATAATGATTAATAAATGGCAATAAATAATGCACCATTTATTCTTTGTTCATGTTAGTAAATACATGAACATTAACTAATGAACCTCAATGTAAATAAAATAAAATAAAATAAAATAAAATTAATTGAATATTTTAATGCTAACACTCACCTCACACTGTAAATTAAATTAAATGATATGAATCGAATCGTCTGATGCTAATACTCACCGCACGCTGTTCAGCATGGACTTCTCTTTGGCCGGAGGTTTGGTGATGGGTCTTTTTGTGCTCACCACTTTGCCTTGGTGCTGCTCTTTGCCCGCTTTGCTGTGCTTGTTTTTATTGGGCTTTACTGTGCCGTATTTCCGCAGAATCTGCATGTAGAATTAATGAGGGTTATTTCTGCTTCGGAGTCTGCGATGTTCATAACAAAATGATCACACAATATTATAAGGTGTCCGATAACTACTCCTTTAACTACCTGCAGTACTTACTATGTGATTAGGGTCGGGATGCGGGTTAGTTGCATGTTATTATGCATAATTAAATGTAATTACAGTCACAAGGGACAATTCACGCTATTAACAAACCATTGATTATGACTTTTAGCTCAATAAACTAATACTTTGCTGCTTATTAATCATTATTATGGTAGTATTCAACTCAATTAAATTAAATTCAGCTTTATTTCTATAGCGCTTTTACAATGTAGACCGAGTCAAAGCAGCTGAACATAGAAGATCATACTTAATTGAACAGCCAAGGCTCATTCTGGAAATGTAGCCCGGCGGACGTTTCCAAGTTTGGACATGCCTGGTTTAGGTTTAGGGATGCCGAATAAGATCAAACTTTATAACTACTAAAGAACAGTTAATGTCATAATAATAAAAGGCAGGTAATAAGCTAGTTCACTATAAAAAATAAAAAGGTTCCTTGAGGTTCTATATTCTACTTGGCCTGTAGAACCTTTTACCCAAAAGATGGATCCATTAAAAACCGATTGAGTGCAAAGAACCTTTTTGATTAAAATGGTTCTATAGTTTTTAATTCATAAAATAATTATATAGTAAAGATTATAAAATAATTATAAGCTATAACACAGAGACAAAGATTTAATAGTCAAAAATAGTCAAAATCTAATATAATGAATGCTGTAGTCAAAATGATGGGGTTTTTTTCATGCAGGTTTGTACATTAGCATATAACTTATATTTTATAAATACTTAATATTTAACATTTTTGACAAAATATTTTGTGAAGTAATTGAATAAATTTAAACAATTTGAATTGGATTGGTTTTATTTTTATTCAATAATAAATAACATTCAATAATAAATAAAGAACCCCTAAAAGGTTCTAAATAGAACCATCTAACTTGAATTCAAAGAACCATTTGAGGTTCTATTTAATGAACCCTTAAAATGGTTCTATTTAGAACCTTTTTGGGGTTCCACATATGAAGCGCTTGATAGAACCATTTCTGGTTCTATATGTAACTATTTCTTTTAAGAGTGTAGTTAATAACATGAAAAGAGAGAGAGTTTTGAGTTTATTGCCATATCAAGACAACAAGTTTATTACTTATTATTAGTGTTAGTATTAGTATTATTAAATATCACTTTTCTAAAATTATAAAATATTTTAAAAATTAAAATTCAGCGTCAGCAATAAATAATACATAAGATTTAATACATAAATAATAATAATAATGATATTACATAAAACATTTAAGAAAAAAATATAAAAAATTGTAAGGTTTACTTTTAATAAAAAGTTCTCAATTTTGAAAGGGTTATAAAAATTTTATTTAAAGCCTCTCTAGATAAAAAAATCATTGTCTGATAATAAAAATAGGGCATTGCTCTAGTATTTGTTTAACAGTTTGGTTTCTTCTCCTTTGAGTAAACGCTCATGTGTGAGTCTCGTGTGTTCGATATCACATCTTCTGTAAACATGTCCTGAGTTAAAAAAAATAGTTGGATTTTATTCCTATTTCAGGCTGGATTTCAAAAAGTTTATTTTCTGAGCACTGACGTTTTGTGAATAGCATGAATCGTGACCTAAATTAAAGTGTTATCTTAATATTACTATTATTATACAAACTACATAATGTTTCAGAATATACTTGTGATGCAATTAAAATAAGCATGCTTTTGAGATGGTCACCTGTGTGAGCTGGTCATCGAGCACTTTTTTGGGAGGCCGAACGTGTGTGAAAAACACGTGTAGCAGGTTTCCGGGAGACTGAGAGTTGATCTGCTCTTTGCTGAGGTAAATGTCTGAGACTTTGACAGGTTTCACGGGAACGGGGCTCAGCGCCTGCTCTGCGTATATGCAGCTCTTAAAGATGTCTGTCAGCACGTCACGAGCTCCAGGAACCAGCTTGTCTCCTAAAAGCATAAAAAACAATCAAAGATCTAACTAACTTGATGACAAGTTAAAACAAACACCAGCGAAAGAAATCATAGAGTGCAATTGTGGAAGCCACACATTAATACCACACATTAAAACAAATAAACAATTCCAAGAAAATTAAAACAAATTGCGTCAGAAACAAGCTTCCACATAAAATGACACGGTTTGAGATGCACCAACCTCTGATGGATTTATCCAGGAAGTACTCCTCCAGAGCAGAGCTGCCCTGTGTGTCAAATAAACTCTGATTGACACTGGAGGCGGTGAGGATCTCCTCATTGGTCATCTCCATTAGCTCCTCCTCCCTTTCCAGATTGGAGAGGCCAATCAGATCGCTGCTGTTGAAAAGACTGGCCCGAATCTTCTCCACCTGAGCTCGTGCCCTTACCTTTAAGGCCAAAGTAAGAATTGTAACATTATTAAAGGCACAACAACCATCATTAAATAGAAAGTTCTGTTAATAATGAGTTACTGATTTATTTTATTTTTTTCTGATTTTTAAAAGTTGACAGCTCTTGGGGTTTCAGAATACATTGCATAAATTAATGTGCGACAGAACATCACATTTTTGACCAAATAAATCGTCATCAAGCGTCCTGCATGATCATATGGTTATGTGCAAAAGCAATGAAATTGTATATTAAAACAAACAAATCTAAATATGAGAAATTAAGATACATCTTAAATGAATTTATGGTGAGTAAATTAACTGTAAATGATCATTTTTGGTGAACTATCCCTTTAAGTGGGGGCTCGTCCGGGATTTGGAAAGCTCTATCCAATATTTAGAATTTGGACTGCAATACTAAGATTAACCACTAGGTGCCAAACATTCATATGGAAACTTTAATGCTCTACTTAAGAAAAAAGAAGTCTTGAATCCGCTGTCGCCTCTGGCTTGCATGGTTTAGGATCTGAAAAGCTACTCATCGATGAATTTGCTCTTCAGTGTTTGGACTCTCAAAAATGACTTTAAACCACACTGAACTGAGCTAAACTGAACTGAACTTATACATTAAAAACTGAACCACCCTGATCCAGTTACTATGACCATTTATGTGAAGCTGCTTTGACACAATCTACATTGTAAAAGCGCTATAAAAATAAAGCAGAATTGAATTGAATGGCTTTAGGATGAGTAAACAAAGATTTTAGGGTGAAATATCCCTTTAAGTGGGGGCTCGTCCGGGATTAAACCCACAACCTCTGGCTCCTCAATTCATAACCATAGCCCCACAGGTATGATTTAAACCCACATATGCAAAAATGCTTCAAACAACACTGAAATGATGTCATAGTTCTAGGGCCCTCCCAACTCTATGTTAGCCTAGCCTTTTATCTGACACGCTATACTAGGATGAACATCTGGTGAGGACACCACTCAATCTGGCAACCTGCATTTGTGTCAAGTCATTATCAGAATGGCCAGGTGAAAAAACCTTTGCCAGTATTTTAACTATGGACTGCAATACTTGGTTCAACCACTAGGTGTTAAACCTACACACTGCAACTTTAATGTTCCACTGTTGAAAAAATAAACCTAGATCTTGAATGGCCTTAGGGTGAGTGAATGAACACTTTGAGGTGAACCTTCCCTTTAAGTGTGGGCTCGTCCAGGATTTGAACCCACAATCTCTAGCACCTCAGTTCACAATCATAGCCCCACAGGCATGATTTAAACCCACATAAGTAACAATAATGTTTGTAAACAACATTTAAATAATGTAATAGTTACAGCCCCCACCCACCTCTATGACAGCCTAGCCTTTAATTGGATGCGTCACCCTGATGAGGACTCCAATCAATCTGGCAACCTGCATTTCTCTCAAGTCGTAATCGGAGGGGCCGGGTGAAAAAAAAAACTCTTTGATATTTGAAACTTGGACGGCAATCCTTAGTTCAACCTACTTTAATGTTCTACAACAGAACAATTAATTAATTTTTGGCTGGACTATCCATTTAATGTGGGGGCTCGTCCGGGATTTGAACCCACAATCTCTTAGACCTCAGTTCACAATCACAGCCAGACAGGTATGATTTAAATGCAGCTAAGTAACGACAATGATTGTAAACAAGACTCAAATGATGTAATAGTGATAACTCCCAACCAACTCGATGATAGCATAGCCTTTTTTTTTTGGATGTGTCACGTAGAGGCCACCAATCAATCTGGCAACAACAATACTATAACAATAATAATTGTAAACAACACTAATTTAAACCCACATAAGAAACAATAATTTTTGTAAACAACATTTAAATGATGTAATAGTTATAGGCCCGACCCACCTCAATGACAGCATAGCCTTTTATGGGACGCGTCACACTGGCATGAACATCAGGTGAGGCCACCGTGTACATGGAGCTCCCATCTGAGACTGACGTGGCAGCACTATCCTGCTCCCCGAGGCTGCCGAGACTCCCTTGACTTTCTGTGCTACACAGAGACACGTCCAGACTCTCCTGACTGGACACTGTGAGTGGATCCAGAGGTGCTTGTTGCTGGGAAGGACTGTTTACCATCTCCTGATTGGACAAGGGCTCTCCGGAGGCTCTGAAGGCTGCCTGTAAAGCGCTGGAGACACTCATTGCCGCACTGTTGCTGTTGGGGCTTCCTGCAGTGCATTCTCTCTTTACATCTTGAGGAACACATGTCGTTTCCGCTTTGGCTTTTTTAGGGTCTTCTTCCTGAACTGGAATGAAGATCTCATCCCTGAAGAGCCCGCCATGAGCATTGCATGCTCTTCGTATTGCATTGCGCACCACAGACTCCTCCAGGTGAGTCGGGATTCCTGAGAGCACCAGCAAGCGACTGTGAGCTGTCGAGCCAACCAAAGCTTGGCAAGCGTCTGCCACAGCGTCGCCGGTGACGCCAAGACCTTGCGGGTCCTTATTAGTAAGATGCCGTAAAATCAAAAGCAAGGTCAACCCCCGGTGAAACCACAACATGTCTTCAGGCTTCATGTTTAATAGAGCATTGTCGCATTCTGATGATCTCGAGCCACTTTTCCCTGAGACGGCGGAAGCTGAGCCGACTGCAGCGCGCTCACGTTTTAGCTTCACCTTTTTGCGCTTTGAAAGCAAACTCGGACTTTGCGGCGTCTGGCCTGGAGAGGACGAAGAAGAGGATGAGGAATCACTGCAGTTGGCTGTGCTTGTTGATGAAGGGACGCCGATTACTGACGTCCCAGAACCAGAACTCAGCGGTAAAGTGACTTCCGCCACTGCCAGGCAAACCTCCATCAGTGCGTGGAAGTATGTAGAGAAGCGGCTCCGCTCTGCAGAAAGTGCAAGCGCTCCACTGCCGCCTGTTGCGGAAGTGCAGGATCCTCCGCTAACCAACCCCCAGCTTTGGGTCTCGTGGTCGTAAAGCTTTCGTAGTTCGGTTTGAAGAACCATCAGGACTGTTAGGCAGGGGTTGAGAAGCAGCGTGATGTGGCTAGAGAGACCCGAAGGGGATTTGCGGCGCTCAAAAGCGTGGATCTTGCGGAGGAGCTCTGCAAGCAGGTGGAAGGTCAGCTCCTTGATGCTCGGAGCAAGATCTGTGGTCCACAAAAGGCCACCTAAAGAAGGATAAAGCCAGTGTGATGTCAGGGTTTCTGCAGATTTTACAGGAGCATAGGATTGCACGATACTGGAATTGGGTACCAATCGATACTGAAATTTTAAAAACGTCTATTTCCCGCTAACATTTGAGCTGTTCTTAAACCATTGTGTTCAAGTGCTCAACAGAAATGACTGTGATTGGCCGTGAAGGTCATCAGTTCACCAAACTCACCACTGTTTACTGAGTGTAACCACAGATACAGGGACACTGGAGCGTTTTAAAACTGATTCATCAGCTCATTTGTCACCTTATAGACAATCCAGCTGATCGATGGGACTTTAAAACACAGTGTCCCTTTATGTGTGGTTACACTCAGTAAACAGTGGTGAGTTCGGTAAACTGATGACCTTCACTGCCAATTGCAGTCATTCCTGTTGAGCACTTGAACACAATGGCAAGTCAATGCTGTTTAAGAACATGCTCAATGGCACTCAAATGTTAGCGCGAAATGGACGTTTTTAAACAACAGCTCATTCTGAAAACGTTGTCCCGTGGATGTTTATGGAGACCGTGAATTATGTAGCCGGAGGTACGTATGGCTGCATGTAATTTTTTTAACGAATGCTACCGGTGGTATGACGCTGTTTCTTTTTGCTCTTACCAGCTGACTGATTACCTCCGTGTGGAGGGCTTTCCCACGGCAACTAGTTTGTCCAGTTAGCTCGTCGTGTACGTCGACGAACTTGAGACGCCAGAGAGGAGTTGACCAGGACGACGACGATGTGGTTCGAGTCCGGAGAAGAGCGATTCCAGAAATCAGGTAAGACAAAAACAGAATCCAAAAAATTAAATGAACAAGTGAATAACGAGGTGAGAATGTGGTAAAGTCCGGAAACGTGGTAAAAATCAGACGAGGGCTTTTCTTTTTCTGGACGTCTTGTGTAAATCGTCGGATGGGTTTAGGGAAGTAAGTGAGTGGGCGGGTCAATCGGTAAAATTGGTTGGGTTTAAGGAAGGAGGAGGGTGGGTCAGTCGATTGGTCGGCCGGCCAGTCATTCATTCAGTCAGTCAGTCAGTCAGTCAGTCAGTCAGTCAGACAGTCAGTCAGTCAGACAGACGGTCGGTCGACCGTGTATGCTTTTTCAGATCTTAAATTTCTTGAGAGAGTTCTCTCGCGAGTGCCATTTGCGGCCGCTGTTCTCGCGAGAGAACTCACTCAAGAAAGATCTGAAAAAGCGTACACAGCGGCCTCTTGTGGATATGCGAAAACAAAAGCTGCAAAAAAGGTACCTCCCAGGACGTATTTCACGGTCTCCAGAAACGTCCACCGGAATATGTTTTCAGAATGAGCCTGGTTTGTTTTTAAAACTTCAGTATGTATTGGTACCGAATTCCAGTATCGTGACAACACTACAAGGGCACACTAAGGACATTTAAATACCTTTTAAAGACTTAAGAAAAGGGAAAACAAACTGTAGAAGTAAACAATACAGCAATGTGTTGAAAACAACATATAATGTCTAGGGCAGGGGTGCCCAAACTCGGTCCTGGAGGGCTGGTGTTCTGCAGAGTTTAGCTTCAACACACCCGCCAGGAAGTTTCTAGAATGCTAGTTAGAGCTTGATTCACTGGTTCAGGTGTGTCTAATTGGGGTTGGAGCTAAACTTTGCAGGATACCGGCAATCCTGGATTGAGTTTGGGCACCCCTGGTTGTATTTATATCAAAATTTCAAAGTACCAGTACAGAGTCACTTTATATCTATATACATCTATGCCATGAATACAACTAGTAATGTGCTCCTTAGACAATATGCATGGCAAAACAGATATACAGAGTTCTGATGGTGGTCAAGTGTGAGAAATGAATCCTTTCAATTTGAATTAGTCGCCGAATGCAATTTGTGTCACATTAATGGCACATTTTAAACAGAGTTTAACCATATAAACTTGTTGTTGTGCACATTGTGTTTTCTAAAAGAGGCCTACATGTTCAATAACTGCTTTAAGTGATTGTAACCACGTAGTAAATTATTGCAATAGTATTTTAAAGGATCTGCAGAGAAAGCCTATCTCACCTAGCAGCTCCACGACCTGCATGAGCACAGAGGTGGGCACCGTGTCCAGCTCATCCTCAGAGCGCTCAACGGTCTCTCCTACACTGTAGGTTAGCAGCTGTTCAGCGAAGGCCATCGCCAATGGAAACTCAAGAGGCAACGAGTGCAACACCAGCACTGCTCCAGGAGGGGGAGACACACCTATGGACAGAAATTTCAACATGAGCTAACGTCAGCTATATTGGTCTAAATGCATCTTGCCGATTGGTCTCTTAGAGAATGCAAAATAAGTCAGATCACTGAAAAATAAAATCAACGTGTAGTGGGTGAAACAAGTATTGAACATCATGTTTTTTTAAAGCAGCTGCTGACATGGAATTGAAGCAGATTTTGGTAAAAACGCATATTCTTGATGATGCTTCTGTGGGTCTCGTCTATCAAATCTGAGCTTTATTCTGTATTCTCTATTGGATTCGGATCAGGTGATTGATCTACAGCTTGATTTTCTTTCTCTGAAAGCATCTGAGAGTCTCCCCGACTGTGTTTTGGATCATTGTCTTGCTGAAATGTCCACCCTGGCTTCATCTTCATCCTCCTGCTAATGTAGATGTTGGACTGAAGCAGCTGATCTTCATTTACACTGAGGAAGGGCAGAGGCTTGCTGAAGAACTACTGAGAGATTTCAGCTGCTGTCTGGGCTTTCCCTGCCAGAATACACCTTCCTTTCTTCATGTGTTCAACACTTGTTTTGCTGTGTCATTTCATTTTATTATGCATAACTTCATTTGTAAACTAATCAGATTAATTTTCTTTGCATATATAGATTTCCTTAGTTGTTATCCGGGGATTTTGGGAACATCCAGAAAAAAGAAGTCAACGGCACCTTTAGAAATATGTTTTCTGAGAAAAATTGTGACGTGTTCAATACCTATTTTTATATTTTATCTTTTTTTTCAGTGCACTAAACGATGTTAATTACTATTATTAATGTATTTACGGTTAAATTGTGGGTTTGGTTTAGTTTCATGTAGTTATGCATAAGCAAAGACGATTTTTGTTCCCATTTTCTTAATCAAAGAGTATTGATAAATAAAACGGATACTAGTTCACACTATTTTAACATGTCCTTGTCATCATCAGTTCACAAGTGAGTAATATTTATTAATTAGATGTACGTACTATACGGTTAGATTATGGGTTAGGTTTAGTTGCATATAATTATGCATAATTAACTCTGAAGAGTGTTGCGAAGCAGATGAGAGGACGCTTGTAGGAAATCTTGTGCGATTCATATACCGTGGGGGAAGCTACAGTAGGCTGGCAGGTTAAAGACGCCTCTCATGTGGAGAATGACGCCTCATGCACTGCTCAGGTGTGAGTCTCTCACAGACTTCAACAGAGTGTCTAAATCTTGATGCTTCTGTGGGTCTCGTCTATCAAATCTGAGCTTCATTCTGTATTCTCAATTGGATTCGGCTCAGGGGATTGGGTGGGCCATTTTACAGCTTGATTTTCTTTCTCTGAAAGCATCTGAGAGTCTCCTTGGCTGTGTTTTAGATCATTGTCTTGCTTAAATGTCCACCCTGGCTTCATCTTCATCCTCCTGCTGATGTAGATGTTGGACTGGAGCAGCTGATCTTCATTTACACTGAGGAAGGGCAGAGGCTTGCTGAAGAACCACTGAGAGATTTCAGCTGCTGTCTGGGCTTTCCCTGCTGAACTACACCTCCCTTTCTTCATGTGTTCAATACTTTTTCCCTGTGTCATTTCATTTTATTACACAGAACTTCATGAGTCCACAAATTAGTTTTGTTTCTTTGGTTGTTACCAACATCCATTTAAATTTCAAGTCAACAGAGTCTTTAGAATTATGATATGAAAATTATGACGTGTTCAATAATTATTTCATCGTATGTAAAGGATTGTGACGTGCCCAGTTTGACGTGCACTCTGTCGGTGGGGATGATGATGCTGGGATACTGGTTGGCTGTGGGTGGAGGAGTGAGGCCCGTGTTGGACGGAGAGGCGTCCAGCGGGAAACACACGGCCTCCATCAGGTTCAGCTGGCCGTTACGCCGCACTTTATGACCGAGCCCATACACCATCACTCGAGCCCATGGAGCTTTGTACAGAGAGGAACTAAGAGAGAGAATAAATAAATAAGCATATCTAATAAAGTTAGGTCCAAAATCCAAAACTGTGCTTGTTAAAGGTGCAGTAGGTGATTGTCTTCAGAAACACTTGTTGTTGTGCTGGTTGAAAGTCTCTTCACAGTCCAATAGTAATGATTACAGTAAATGATCTAAATGTGTTTATATGTATTTTTATATTCAGGGTAAAGCATAAAACTGAAAAATGTTCATCCAATTAAATAGAGTCGGACTGTCATCTCCCTTAATTCCGATAGGCAGGTCAGACTGTCTGTCAGCAAATGTAGATTCAGACTTCTGCGCTGCGCATGTGTTCACGCAGGTCTGCCATTAGCGCGTGCCCGTCTGCATCACAAACGCATGCGCGCGAGCGAGCTGCGGGCCGTTTGCAGATGCCGAGTCGGAGCCGGCACTGCAAAAAATGCTTTTCTTGCTTAGATTTTTTGTCTTGTTTCTAGTCCAAATATCTAAAAATTCCTAAATCAAGAAGAATTTTCTACACAAGCACAACATAGTGTCTTATTTTGAGAAATAATATACCAATATTAAGTGAGTTTTTCCTTTAAACAAGCAAAATAATCTGCCAATGGGGTCAGCAAAATAATCTTACGTCAAAAGAAAAAACAAGATTAATTTGCTTTCCCTATTGGCAGATTATTTTGCTTGTTTTAAGGAAAAACTCACTTAATATTGGTATATTATTTCTCAAAACAAGACACTATGTTTTGCTTGTCAAGAAAATTTTTCTTGATATAAGAATTTTAGATATTTAGACTAGAAACAAGACAAAAAATCTAAACAAGAAAAGCATTTTTTTTGCAGTGGGAGGCGCCGAAGGACAGCCGAGCTCGGGCCGATTACTGTAAAGCCAGGCGCGGGTATAATTCGCCCTTAAAGCGGCCGCGCGGTCACGAGACGGACCGGGAGAAATCAAAAGCTGAATTAAAACTTTTAAAAACCTGAATCAATATTGGAGTTACTTTAGCACGCTGGGGGAAGGACGACACCATGGCTGAAGTATCACTGTTGACAGGTCATGTTGTGTTTTGAAACTATTTTATGTTAGATTGTGTTGTTATGAATGACTTCTATGCACAGACGTGTTTTTCAGCCACTGAAATCTCCCGGTGAAAGATTGATGTGATTATTTTCAGTTTCATAAGGTCCTTTGACAGCATCTATAATGTAGATTTATATTTAGTTTAACAACAAAACATCAGTAAATAGCGCTATTCCGCCTAGCCTGCTTTACTGAGCTGGGGTCCGTTCTTCGTGCCTCGCTTAAATGATCTAAGATGATTTGGCAGATCCTGGATCTGTTCATCTTGATTACTGATCTCTGGCTAATTTGGTTCTTCAAACAAGTTCGTGAATCAGATTAGAATGTCTGGATGAACTGATCTGAGATCGCTGTGTGTGTTGTGAAGGACTGATCTATCGATCCTCGAGATCATGATCAGCTATGCAGCGATTGGCTGACGGCACAGCAGCGTAATGACATCATCTGATTAATATTCAATTATCCATGTGAGCAAAATTACATCAAATTAGCAGTAAACCGCTTGTTAAATATGACACGCAATAACCTTCCACATTTGTTGTGAGCTGCAGGCTTTACACTTTCATGTGTCAAGAGTATTCATCATGTATTTCAATGCAAATCAGTGTATTTAGTTCTACATTTAGAGAAGATTGTCTTTATTATAGTAGCCGTTTTTTAATCGGTGTAAAGAATAACTGGATGTTTACAAAAGCGTTTTCATATTGGTAAAGGCGTCTGCAACTTTTGTGAAGCATCAAATCACCGGCATATTAACTATCAAAACATGTTTATGACTGCTGAAATGTATTATTGCTTTAAAAAAGTCACATATTGTGCATTTCTATTATACACAATTTGTACTAAAGCGATCTAAAAAGTTCATATCAGTAAGTTTTCTCTTTGCACCAGCAGGTGGCAGTCTTTGTACTTTCATTTCGAGGGTGCAGATTGCATAAGTTTTATTAATATGTATAACTTTATTTATTTTATTAATAACTGTAACTTTATATATATAGTTAAAAATTATGTACCATTTTCCCAAGTGTATAACTACTACTGTAAGAAAATATCAGAATTCAGAACATACTTTCTGTATTATCTTTGCTTGAACTGAGCCGATCTAATCCTGTTTATATGAATTGAACCTGCTCCCGGTCAGGTTTGACCTAGCAGAACTGTTGCTATGACAACAACTCTCGGATCAGCTTTGAAGAACGAAACCATCCTGGATCGTGTCAAATCGTCAATATCCAAATCCAGCTAATTGAGTAATCCACGTACGAAGAACGGACCCCTGAAGCTGCTATATAAGTTGCTATAACATTCGCATTGGGTCATTTTTAAACAATGACAGCCTTCCTATACTGTTTACCATGCTGCTCTGAATATTCGCTCTGAAATAGCATGTAAGTGTGGCAAAGTATTTCATGTAATTCCTGCACGGCGCTGGCACTAACTAACTGGCGAATGACATGAACTAGTGGGTTGTCTGTCGGCTGTTGCGCGCGCTCGCGATTTCAAGGGGGTGTGGCTTTGAATCCCAGTCCCTCCCCGCCGTCCAAAGTTAATATGCTAAGCGGTTAGCATTTTGGCAGATCACCTACTGCACCTTTAACATTAGTTACTGCACTGCACATTAACATGAACTGATGTTATTTAACCTAAATAATATAAACTAACGCTAGCATAAATGAAAAAATACAATAATTAATGTATTACTAATAGTTTGATCATGTTAGTAAATACGTTAACTAATAGACCCTTATTTTAACACAGTATTTTTTTAAGGTTTACCCCTACCCCAACCCTAATCCTCACAGTAATGTAACTATACAGATTATTATTCATATTATTTATTAAATTGCCCATTAATTGTATTTTATTAACGGCTACCCTTACCCCAACCCTAAACCCGACCATCACATTAATGTAAAAACTGCAGTTATTGTTGGACAGTGTCACAAAAATGACGCTATGTTAATGTGAGTATCCACAGCTGTATCCCTTCTAGACTTTACTGTGCTCTTAACTCACTCTTTGCGGCAGCTGAGTTGACTCTCTTTGCAGGAGACGAGCACAAACGCAGCGCCGGGGAAGTTGACGTCCATGCTGACCTTTGACTCGGTGATGGGAATCTCCTCCAGCGTGAACTGCTCAGGCGCACTCTGGAGTACAGAGAAGATGAGAAAGTTTGAGAAAACTTGAGAGTTCCCGAGAAACAGCCCCTGTTTTAAGATGATGTGTGTGTGTGTGTGTGTGTGTGTGTGTGTTCGGTACCTGCAGGAAGCAGCAGATCTGTTTGGTGAGCTCCAGCAGACTGTCCTCCCCCTGATGCAGAGCTCTGCTGATGGCCACGCTCAGCCACTCGCGGACACTCTGAGCGTTTCCCTGATAGAAGAGCTCAGTGGGAGAGCAGCTCTGACCCTGCAGTTCATGTAGGACCGACTGAGCCAGCAGCACAGAGTTACAGCTGATCCGGCCGTCTACACACACACACACACACACACACACACACACACACACACACAGAGGAGAGTCAGCAGACAGATTATGAGAAATTACTTCATCTTGCATTCATTCATTCATTTTCATTTGGCTTAGTCCCTTTATTCATCAGGGGTCACCATAGCGGAATGAACCACCAACTATTCCAACATGTGTTTTACATATGTTGCCCTTCCAGCCAGAACCCAGTACTGGGAAACACCCATCACATGCACACTCATACATGCATGTGCGCATGTGTTTGGACTGTGGGGGAAACCGGAGAACCCGGAGGAAACCCACACTAACACGGGGAGAACATGCAAACTCCACACAGAAATGCCAACTGGACTTGTCGGGCAACAGTACTAACTAATAAGCCACCGTGTCACGGACTTCATCTTTTGTTAACAAAAAAATAATTTATTTTATTTTTCTCCTTTATTTTTATGCCAAGAACAAATTACATTATTTATACAGAAAATTGTCATTTTTATACATATAAAACCCACTTTAACAAACCCTAAATACACTGCCTAAAGAGCAATTAAAAAAATAAATAAATAAAAAAAATTTAAATTAAAGAAAAAGTAATTATATATATATAAAAAAAAATTGTAAAAAAAGGGCTGCCAAATCTTTTTAAAATAAAAAAATAAAATAAAAATAAATACATACATACATAAATAAATAAAATAATAATAAATACATATAGAAATAGAGTGACAACAGTAATGGGTGATACAATGAGGGATAAGGCTGTGCTATCTTACAATGGTAAGTTAACATAGAAGAAGCTTGAGATTCTGGACAGAGAAAGAATGGACAAAGGGATTACAGAAAAAAGATTCCAGTTACATACAAGACAGTCACATTATTCCCCAGGAAGTACACTTATAGCAGAGAAATGTGATAATAATGGTTGCCATACATATGACAATTTGCTAGAGCCTCTAATTGAATATTACATTTTTTCCAAGTGTAAATATAACATCAGGTCTTGAAGCCAGTGTGATGCTTTAGGTGGATTTAAAGATTTCCAGTGCAGTAAAATTTGTCTGCGAGCCAGCAAAGATGCAAAGGCTATTATGTTTTGTTGTCTTTGAGTCAGACTCAGTTCACAAAAAAAAAAATTCTAATGTATATATTAGACATTATAGTTTTGTAATATTATATTTTATTATAATAAAATTCTATAAATATTAAATTTTAATCTAATAATTTAATCAATATTAAATTATTAATATATATATATCATAATTTCAACTTGTACTACTATCATAACTTTTAAAATCGACAATATTTGCTAATATACTATTTGATGGACCTGAGCTACTGAGGACTAAAAATAAAATAACTCATTTTAAAATGATTAATAAATAATGTAACATTAATTTTTATGTGAAGCATATCAGAAGCTAAAACAGAAGCATATGTGAAGCTAAATACAGTACAAAAAGTCCTCACTGTTAATGCTAAATACAGTTGAATTCAGAATTATTAGCCAACCTGTTTATTTTTTTCCCCGATTTCTGTTTAACGGTGAGAAGATTTTGTTCAGCACATAATAGTTTACCAACTCATCTCTAATAACTGATTTATTTTCTCTTTGCCATGATGACAGTAAATAATATTAGACTAGATATTCTTCAAGACACTTTAAAGTGACATTTAAAAGCGTGACTAGGTTAATTAGGGTAACTAGGCAGGTTAGGGTAATTAGGCAAGTTATTGTATAACGATGGTTTGTTCTGTAGACTATCGGGAAAAATTTGGTTAAAGGGGCTAATAATATTGACCTAAAAATGGATTTAAAAAAATTAAAAACTGCTTTTATTCTAGCCGAAATAAAACAAATAAGACTTTCTCCAGAAGAAAAAATATTATCAGACATACTGTGAACATTTCCTGAATCTGTTAAACATCGTTTGGGAAATTTTTAAAAAGAAAAAGAAATTAAAAAGAAGGCGAATAATTCTGACTTCAACTGTGAGTAATGTTAAAAAATAGGATTTGACAAATCATTAGAATTATAGATTATACATTAAAAGTAACCTCAAAAACAATCTAATCCATGTCAAGATAACAAACTAATGTGACCTAATGGGAGCTTATCGTAAAGTGCTTAAAAACACAAATACTTCAACAACTTGTTGATATCGAGGAAACTTACGACAACTGACTGAATGATAAAAATATTTCAATAATGCTTAATTTTCAAATAAAAGAAAACCTTTTCCCACAAACATGAAATTTAGCATCTTAATAAACACTAATATATAGTGTAAAACAAAAGTGCTGTATTTGTTATTTAACGGTAATTAATGCATTAACTAATGGGACCTTAAAGTGAAGAGCTAAAATATGCTTCAACACTTAAAAAAATGCCTAATTTCCAAAAATGTATATTCACATATTTTTTCTAATTATCAAATATTAATAAATACTCAAAAAAAAAAGCTTGTTATTAATACAGTATATGTTTACATAGTTAAAGCCTTAACTCCAAAATGTTACCTTGATTTTTAAAATCTTGTCCCGTTATTCTTATAAATCTTCTAACATTGCTGTTTTGCATGTAAAATAGCGCTCATCTACATATTGGTATGACCTCACCTGGCAGAGGCGGAGCCAGCAGCTGATTGGACAGGAGCTGCAGGTGTTCGAGTGTGATGTCACGCACTGCAGGGATGTGGAAGAGGCGCGTGAATGTGTGAGGACTCTTGGGCGCAAAGATGTTGAGCAGCGCCATGCGGCAGTACAGACGCGCCAGAGCACTTTCACAGCGCAGCAGCTCCCTGAAACACACACACACACACACACACACACACACACACACACACACACACACACACACTAAGTGAAGTTTCCATTACCAGGGGAGCTCTCGAAAACTACCTGATCTTAAACCCCCTTACATGCTCAACAACCAGGCGGGAGCCCTAGGCTCAATTATCTTCGAGCTCAGGGTTCCCTCTTGAGTCTGCATGCCAAACTTGCTATTAATATCAAGCAATATCTAAGTCCGAGCTTCAGAAACATCAGCTTTCAATGCTGGAAATGAAATAAAATGTCTCATTGGTCGAATAGAAGTTTGTTTAATCCATCCACGTCTAATAACGAGGCCCCTTTTTAATTTCATAGTCATAAATATGTCCGTATAAGTTCTTTACCGATGAATCTGGATGTTGCTGCTGTCCAAAGACACCAGGCCATTGGCTGCAGCCCTGCGGGATCCTGCCGGCGGTCTCTCCAGCATCTCTATGGGGTACCAGTAGCGCACCAACACACCCTCACTGCGCAGATACGTCTCCACCTGCACCAGCTCATTACCCTGAACACACACAGGCAGATATTTCAGATGCATTGTAAAGCTGCACTCTTGTAAGCTCTGACATCGACCCATTTTAATCCAAAGACTCTGTTTTCACGAGTAAGTACCATGGTAAAACGGTGTAAACAATAGGTCTCTGGCAGAAACGGTGACATAAACAAATAAATCACCATCCATAAATCAACACTAGTGTGTCGGTGGACTAAATGTGCTTGATGGGATGTTTTTCTGTGGACTCTTACCTTTCAAAATAAACCGTGATGTACAGCAATGAATGCGTGTGTGTGTTGGTATTACATGATATGTACGCCATATCTAATAAGCGTTTTCTGCCAAACTTACACACATTTAGCAAATACATTCTTTATAAGCTTTCCATTGAAAGACAACTAGCTGCAATGGGTGCTTAGCGGATGTAGCTTTTATTTTATGTAGAGTTTTTCAAGATTACTCTTGTCCTTTTTGGTGTGATCTATTCATAAACATTGACATGTGGAAAAAAAAACAGCGCTTCAGTGCGACCTCGTCGGGGCGCTGTGGAAAGGGTTAAGATTAAAAGACTATGAAAACTGATATCTCGCACAGCTTGTACACAATATGCATGCAGCACTCAATGTCATTCATGCACATAATGTTGGTTATGTCAGTGAATCTAAACAGTAGTAGGGGTGTAACGATTTATCGTTGTACGATTTATTGCGATGCAAAAATGTCACAATATGCATCGTGGCGTTAAGACGATTTGATTACGATATGACGTCCGTTTTCTCTTATTAGTTGAGCTGTTTGCACGTGAGCTACGTTCTACCTGCTGTCGCACGTGAGTTCAGATTGCAGCAGCAGTAATGTTAGCAGACCAAGATGAGTGGAGCTGAAATAGAGGATGGCCCATCCTCTCAAAACCAGACGTCTGGCAACATTTCGGTTGTACAGTCATTGCTTTTTGACATGCATACTGGGTCAAACATAGCCTAAGTTTTAAAGTCTTCACAGTGATTTACATACTTTGCACAGCGACATGGATACCTCCTAATGGTGTTGAAAGAGTCACATACTAGATTTATAAGGTACAATTCACCCTAAAATATCATTCTGTCTTCATTTAATGATGTATTGGCGGCCGCAAAATCACACATGACGTGAGCTGACCGTGAGCTGTTACTACAGAGGGCGGACTATGATAGACGCGCGCGTATGGCAAGCCGTTTTAGCATTTAAACCTTGTTCTGACTATCCATAAATATATTCAGAGATATCTCTAATTATATTTTGACTAGTCATAATTATAATTCGACTAGTCAGAATGACAATTAGAGATATCTGCAATTACAATTGTACTAGTACGAAATCAGATTGGAGATATCTGCAAATATATTATGCCTAGTCATATTCCTCCATTGAAAAAAATTTGCAGATATCTCTAAATGAGTTTTGACTAGTCACAATTGTAATTAGAGATATCTCTAAATGAATTTAATTAAATATGAATTAAATACCTGGAAATGTGGATTTTTTTTTTTGCACACACAAAAAAACGCAAGTGACCAAGCAAAGCCTTAAGCTCTTACTGTTAAATTCAATTGAATAGAAAGCTTATTTTTTTTGTTGCACCTTTACTTAAATTGTTCCTTAATTTTGTCAATAATATTTTTAAGAAGTTTTTAAATTGTTTTATTTTCCAGAGACAGGCCTGTTTAATTTATTTTCTTAAAGAAGGTTCAGTTTAACAAGTTGAAACAAAAGAAATACATAAAAAATAGTTTACTTGGTAAAATTTGCATTTCAGTTTAATTTTCAATTTTTAATCCAAATATCGTGATACACATCGAATCGTGAACATTATATCGTGATACACATCGTATCGTGAGCTGAGTGTATCGTTACACCCCTAAACAGTAGTAAACAACATGTGTATCACGGTTTTTAATCTGTGAAACCGACAGTATCAACACATGATCGTTACATGATTCACAGTAAAACAACAGGCAAAACCAGCAACAATCAAGAATGCATGATTAATGTCATGGCTTTGCAATCAATAAATGTGGTTATAATGGAAGTCAATGGAACAAAAACAGCCAGAGGGGAGTCAATTTGAACATTACACGAGGGTTAAAGCAGATACTCACCGAATCCACATCGAGCACAACTCCATGTAAGCTGAAGGTCTTCAACATGCCGCGGATGGCAAACTTTGGTAGAGCGGTTCCTCCTGTGCTGCTGCAGGTGTTGTTTCCCTCTGGACAGCGGATGCCCACCGTCAAGCCTGAGGGACGGTCAATACAAAACTCATTCATCTAACAAACTGAATTATTCATTTTTTTACTCTCTTTCTGTCTCTCAAGAATTCAACTTTCAGCCAGTGCAACTTACAGTATGTTTAAGAGCTGTGCAATTAATACAAATATTAACTGTCAATTAGCATGCACATGCAACAAGTTAATGGAATAAATAAACAAACAAAAATGCATATAGATACACTGTCAATTGTCATGAATATGCACAACAATATATAAATATTAATTTTTCCTATGCAAAATATAATTAATTGAGCTTTTTTAACAAAACGCTTTATTTTATTTAGTTTATTTTTGCTGATAATTCATCTCCCATGCCGGATCATATATCATGACTTGAGATTTTTAAAAGTGTGAAAGAAAACCATTTTGTGCATCTTTTAACTCAATGGTCAAATAAGGGCTCAACAATAAGGACTGCCCAGTGGCCCAGGGCCAGAGTGAAAGACGCTCGGGACAGTAGACAGGATTGTCACAGGCCCCTATCGGCCAGTAACGATGAGTACGTTATTTTTTTCCGTAACCTGGTAACAACTAGTACAGCAAAAAAATAGCAACATGGCGGCAACATCAAACTATGAGGCTAAAAGAAAATCTCTGTTTCTGAAGTCTTGGAAGAAGACAATTACATGGGTACAAAATTAAGAAACCAAAAAAATAAATAAATAAAATATTGTTCAAACATTGTCGTCAGTTTGGCAAGCCATTTTTATAAAAATAATTTAGAATTGCAATAAAATACCAGCACATTTTCCATACTGCTCTTTTCATTCATGAAATCAAGTATTTTGCTCATTATACATTTATTAACATTTTTTAAATGTTTAAATTCTAGATTCACAGTAGTTATTTTGCCACATTATTTAAAATATGTGGCTAAGAAATAGCTATTAACTTCTTTTTTATTGGTGGGGCCAGTAAAAACTTTGGCAGGGCAAGTAAAATCTCAACCACGGGTCCAATCGGCCCAGTAGAAAAAAACCTTAGCGTTGAAACCTGCAAATGCATGCAAAAAATGTGTAAAAATGCAGCACTTGGTGATTATTCCCTCAATTTTTTATGTTTGTTACGCAATGAATTAATGTAAGAGTTCAAAATGTAAACGCATGTGTAACAGCAAACAGGACAACTGTGGCTTTCACACAGACCTTTGCGGACTTTGTCGATGGTGAACTTGTTTGCTTCATCCTTAATGTCTTCGATGGTTGGAAGGTAGAGGTCTCGAGGGATCCCGCCATTCTCTTCATACAGAAACTCAACCGTCTGACGAGCGATGTCCACCATACCTGACAGCAAACACAGCATTATATTAAACACATGTGCAATCAAAAAACTAGAAATACCCAGCAGGCACACAACATCGCAAGACGTTAATATTAGGTTAGATTTAGGTCATGACGTCAGGTGACCCAAATTCACTGTCTAGCCAGCGTCTAAAGACAATAACGACGTCAAATTACTTTGGAAAGTGGCGAAAATCCAATATCTGACAGATGTCAAAGTGGTAACATCCACAAAGCGTCAAGGTGTGTTTAAACTCTTTTTAAACACAAAAGAAGATATTTTGTAAAATGTTAAAAACCGATAACCATTGATTTACAAAGTATATTTATTTTTCCTACTATAGTAATCAAAGATTTGTACCACTCATTAATTTACGCCACATTCACACGGGGCTTCAGCGTCAACGCTTCCCATTCACTTTGAATGGGTGATGTCAGGCATTTCCCGAACTGCATTCTGGATCCGTCGGCGCAGCTTCAGAGCCGTTGCTCGCTGCAGAAGTAACGCCTCATTCACACGGGGTTTCAGCGTTAACGCTTGACTGAAGGCGTGTCTCAAGTCGGGGCTGAAGCGATCATCATATCAGCGTCAGCCAATGAAATTCAGTGGCAATAGGCCACTGTTTAGCTGGTGTATTTGCATACAGCGATGTGATTGGCTGACGCTTCCGTCGGTGCTTGAAAAGTTGAGCTAGTCCCAACTTCTGCAGCGAGCAACGCCTTTGAAGCGGCGCCGACGAATCCATAATGCAGTTCGGCAACGCCTGACGTCACCCATTCAATGTGAATAGGAAGCGTTGACGCCCCGTGTGAATGTGGCGTTAGGACTTGCTCAACTTTTCAATCGGCGACAGAAGCTTCAGCCAATCAGATCGCTGTATGCAAATACACCAGCTAGACAGTGGCCTATTGCTGACTGAATTTCATTGGCTGACGCTGCTATGACGATCGCTTCAGCTCTAACTTCAGACACGCCTTCAGTCAAGCGTTGACGCTGAATCCCCGTGTGAATGGGGCGTTACTCATTAAGTACTTTAAAGTTTGCTAAAGCGTATGCAGGCTATGCAGTTGTATACAGTATAGTATTCAACATTTGAAGGGGATCAAAAACTATTTTCAAAATTGTCCTGAGACAAAAATGGGTGTTGCTCAGTTGTAGGAAAACCTTTATAAAAGGTTTTGATTCACTTCAAATATTAGTGATTAACAGTTTTATTGATTCTCAGGCAGGTTTCAGCATGGCATACAGAATACAACTCTGAAAAGAATCAACATTTTGTTTTTGTTTTTTTGCCCTATTATAGACCCACCCCAAACTAATCCCCAACTACTACTTTAAGGTTCTGGTTGGCTATCAGTAAATATAATTAAGGCCTCTATCTTATATAATGAAGAAAGAATTAAAATAAAATACAATAAAAATTAAATGAAACAAATGAATGGGTAAGTTTAGTCAATAACATATCAAATTTACACTGTTGACATCAGTATATATCTCATACATTTATTACTGTTCCATTCCCGAACAGTTTAAGCACTTGGACCATTTTTTAAAGTATAGGTTTGGCTTGTCCATTTGCTTATAAGACATTTTTTCAAATGCGGCCACTCTAGCAAGTTCTACTGCCCATTCTTGGAAGGAAGGGGCCTCCTCTGATTTCCAGCTCCTAAGAATTATTTGTCTGCCAATCAGTAAGCTGGTTTGGACCCAAAATGTTATGTTTTTATCTTTTATTTCATTGTCTGTCCAACTACCTAGTATAAACAGTCTAGGGCATAGTGAAATGCGAAAGTCTAAAACCGAGCAAATGTGTTCATGAACACAGAAATCCTGAATCTTTGTACAAGACCATAGAGCATGAACTAAATCACCATCCTCGATCTCACATCTCCAACAATAAGGTGTATTTTTTAACCCGAGCTTAAACAGTCTGAAAGGAGTCCAATAGAAACGAGGAGTCCAATAGTCACTTCAAATTTTGACTACTGTACATTTGAATATACTGACAGACCGCCTGAATGAATGAATACATGAATCAGCTTTAGCTATTGAAATATGGACATTAATAAACAGTTATTCACCGAGCTGCAGCGCTCCCTTGATCTGATCCAGGCCAGATTTCCTCTCCGCCTCGTTCCTGAACCGCCGGCGAATGGTGGGAAACACTTTAGTTTCCCACGCTTTCACTAGCAGGGCGTAATGATCCTCCTTTACGAACACAAGAGAAAGCAAGAGTTGACTTCTTTAAAAAGCAGTTTGACGTGTGTGTATAATTGTAGCAGATGATCTAGTCATGATACCCGGGGAATGTCTTCATCATCCTCATCATCGCTCTCGTCATCAGCGATGGGTGGCGGATGAGCGTTCGGTCCCGACACCACCAGATTCTCATAGCTCAGCTCTACCTTGTAGTGGCAAGAAGCATCGCTGTTGTATTCTGGGAAGGAAAGCAAATTGATAGAAAGGTTTTGCCTAAAGGTTACATTAACTTTAAATCTGCTTATCCTTCAGCTCAAACGCACTAGCAAATAAATGCAGAACTAAATAGTCGTAGTCCTGTACTTTATAACCAGATTATACCTATTACAACTCCAGGAAAACAACAGGATCACTCAGGGTCCAATAGGCGGACCTAATTCTCATGACGGGGTCTTTATTTCTCGTGACACCGGCCTACTCACGCTGTTGTGCTGTGACGACGGCAGCGATGCGACAAGGAGGCCCGTGGGAGCCGGAGTCAGACGCCACACTGGTGCCCGCATCATTATCGCTGTCGGAGGCCATGGCGAAGGGCAGAGCCTCGAAGTTAGCACTGATCTCCTCTGACAGATCCATGCAGAGATCAGCAGCGTTTCTGTGAGCCTGGCCTTCAGCGTACGCAAACAACCGGCAGCCGAAGTTGGCGTGAATCTTCGTATTCTGAAAACACACAAGAAACATTCACATTAATAAACAAGGCTGAAGGTGATATAAAGAAACCGGTGAACAATTATAAAATACTTAATCTCTTAGAGCTGAGCAATATATCGATTCAGCATCCATATCGTAATGTGCGAATATGCAATAGTCAAATCGTAGAATCTGCAACTGAGTTGTGATTATAATTAACCAGGAAACACATTTTTTAAGGTATGTGACTGTAAGGGCCCTATCATACACCCGGCGCAGTGTGGCGCAAGGTGCAGCGCAATAGTCTTTTAATACTTTAAGCTCGGCGCAAGGGTCATTTTGAGGCGTTGCGCTACGCTGTTTAAATAGCAAATGCATTTGCGCTCATATGTGCGCCCATAGGCGTTCTGCTCTAAAAAAGCAGGCGTGTTTTGTTGCGTTGCTATCTTGAGAAACTGTAAATAGTCTGATCTTTAGACCAGAACAAAGTCTGTCTATTGACTGGCGCAAAGTGTGTCTGGCTTACACACTAAACACAAGATGCAATACGCAAATATCTTTACATATAAAAAAGATATAATATATTAAGGATGTATATAATAAGGATATATGTAGGATATAAATATATAGGATTAAAATAATACAAAACATATTATTTTCTAGTCTACATGAATTTAAAAATCACTGCCTTCATACTTTCTTCATCTCGGGAGGCTTTTTCTGTTCATTCAATTTGCTTTTGTATAATGTTATTATTATTAGCAGTATTATTTAATATATTTATATTTGTTTTATTAAAAACAAGCTTAGATTTGTCCACCTGTCAGGTTTTAGACCATATGGGGAAAGGTAGGTGTATTTGGAAATAACTCAGTATTTTGACCAAACTTTGTTATTATTGTTCATTTATTCGTTTGCTGGAAATTAGAACTGAATTTAGAAATAGTTTTGAAACAAATCTTTGCGTTTAACAAACTAAATTAATTATTTACAGGCTAATTGATGTCTGTGTGGTAAGGTTTCCCTATCCACGAGAGCAAAAGCGAAAGTGAACTTACTTTACGTCATGTTAATAGCAATGCGCTTATGGTGTGACGCAGCTGGCTCTTAAAGGGAATGGGAGATGAGACTCTGATTGGTTTATTCTCAAAACACACCTATAACTCATTAAGAAAATAAACTCAACCCTTTTAGACTATGCGCCACGGCGAAAAGCGGATTTTCCCGTACTTAAATTAGCAAAAATGTGTTCTGACACGCCCTGAAAGCATTTGCGCCCTGCGTTAAGTGATCTGTGCATGGACCGTCTCAAATAGAGCCCTAAGATTTTAAAATAATTTAAACAGGATATACGCAGGAATCCTAAAGATTTCAATTCCTTTTTAAAACTTTTTACAGACCTTCTCAGAATATTTAAGACCTCATCGACACTTCAAGTTCTAGTCAGTATCAAACCTTTAACTTAATAAACAGTTGTTAATAAACACTTAAATAAATCAATGCACCACAACTGTGCAACAGAGCTCAGATAAGCTCGGAAGATACAAAGCTTGAAAGAATAAATGACGTGGTTGTTTTCAGCATCTGTTTAAACTTGTCTTTCTCCAACCAGGAGTACACAAACATTTTCCCATTTTGTCGCCTGTTTCGCTTTCGCTGCATGTGGCGACACATCATGCCGCGAATTACGTCAAATCACTCAAACGGAGATGCTTGGCTGGACGCGCCCCAGCCCCAACCAATCGCAAGGATCGAGCACATCGTTGTTAATATTAGGAGGAAAATAAATATATTTATGGAGTCAAACACTTTGGACAAGGCTTGAACAAAATTTAAGACCTTGTAAAATTGCAATTTAGACTTCTTAATACTATTTAAGGGCCTTAATTTTTTCATAATTGATTTATCAACCTCTAATACTCTTTAAGAGCCCGTGGACACCCTGTTAAACTATTTGGGCACAATTAAATTTTAAATTTGTAGCTTAAACAAAATTAATTGTATTACAATGAAGCCTATACAGTGTTATTTTACATCTCATTACATTGTTTGACTACCTTACATTGTTATTTAACGTCTTTCCTCAACACTGTTAGAATATCCACAAAATTATATTTGTATCTTTGTTCTCTTTTATTCATTTATGCTTGCAATTTCTTTATTATACTTGATATCAAACACACTCTCTACACACTCCCTACAAAATGATCACAATGGAAAATGGTGAATTCTTCCCGAATAGTTATTTAAATCATCTTATGAAATTACCTTAATATCGCAATATATATCGCAGAAAACTAAAAACTAACTGAATATTCAATTATTCTACAAATACAAACATTTTGTGTATTTGTGACGTGTCTGCAAACCTTCTTCTGGATGTGAACGACGGGCCACATGCCTCCAGCCACATCCTCTAGGTAGGGAGCGAGTCGCTGACCGCAGTAGGTGAAGTACACTCTTCCTTTGGGAGGCTGACCGGGTGGAGGAGGAGTGCCTTCCAGACGCTCCCAGCCGATGCCGGCTACATCACCTGCAGAAACACACACACACACACACACACACACACACAGAGGAAACATTACTACTGCATCAAATCAATAAAGGAAAATCCTTAAAAAAGCCTAAAAATTTAGGAGGAACATGCTGTACATGCTGGTGTTTGTTTTGGCGCACACTAGCTTATAGATATCCTAAAACTAACAATACTCCGATACTAACATCTAAAAAACTTAATTTTAATTTCATAAAACCTTCACAGCTAAACTCAAGTCTCACCAGGAAGCAGAGCCACGTCGAGCCTCACACTTTTCCACTGCAGTAAACTGGAGCCGTTGTAGTGAACCGCCCGGCCATTACTGAAGACCACAGAAGAAGAAGATACGAGTTATGAGAATACAAGAGGAACTCAAATAACAGTGAATGTTATCAGTCAGTACTTGTGAAACAGGCAGGTCCCGACGGGATTGGTCCAGGCTCCGTCTCTCTTCTCCGCCTCCGGGGAAAATCCAAAGGACACTATTGGACCGCTGTCGTCCTCCGAGTCTCCGAACGAAACGATCTCGATCTCCCAGTAAAAAGACGGAGCCTGGAAATCAGAAACAGAATTAATGAGACTAATCTTGGAGTTGGTAAGTTTGACCATCTCTCCCTCCCCCATGCTTTTCTTGCTTGATGTTAATCGCATTTTATAATTAGCTTTGGGAAATAACTAATAGCACATTTCATTAGGTAAAACAGTTATATTCTGTAAAACACTGGATTAGTTTGATTAATAACAGTGTTACAGTCACCTGAATGGGCACGGGTGAAGTGGCGTAGATGAAGGTTCCTCTGGGAAGGCCTCCGCCTGCACTCGGATCAGCCAGAAACGTCACCGACGTCAAGTGCGAGGAAAACATACAGGCCCGAACCGGAGGGAAGACTCGAGACGGGCACCACGTGATCTCCTTCGGCTGAACAAACAGAGAAAAACGTGTTCACAAATGATCACATGCTGTCAGATTCGTACAGAGCCAATCAGAAGTGCTTCATGTCAGACAATAGATGAGTGATGTTGACATTCAAGCCCATATATGGCAAGCTTTAAGGGAACAAACCACTTATTTTAGGGAAAAAGGCTCATTTAACATTAAAACAATTGAGTTTTACAACTTTTTAATCCATTCAGCCAATCTCCAGGTCTGATGGGAGCATTTTTAGCTTAGCTTAGCATAGATCATTGAATCAGATTAGACCGTTAGCATCTCACTCAAAAAAAAAAAAACCCAAAAAAAGTTGTAACAATTTTCCTAAATAAAACTTGACTCTTCTGTAGTTTATGAACGACCTCTGATAAAAAAGTTGAATGAAAAGTTTCTATTTTAGGACTGATATGGCTAGGATCTACTTCCAAGTAGGTTTAAAGATAAAGGTTTATAGATGTGGTACATTATTATTAATATGCCAGAATGAGAGTATAGTTGCTAGTCATATCAGCCTAGAAATGAACTTTTTATTTTCTGATTGTCTCAGTATGCAACTACAGAAGAGTTAAGCTTTAAATAGGAAAATTATCAAAAATCTAGATGCTAACGGTCTAATCCGATTCAATGATCTATGCTAAGCTAAGCTAAAAGTGCTCCAGCCAGACCCGAAGATCGGCTGAATGGATTTAGTAGTGGTAAAACTCAACTGTTTAACTGTAGGGGAGCTGTAAAATGAGCCTCTTTCTGAAAAAGTGTAGTGTTTATTTACTCATTAACAACCCAGATGGTATATATGCAGCACTAATCTCACCTGCCGTTGGTCAGTTTGCACAGGCGGTGGTGGAGGACGAGCACAGTCTCGATAAAGCATGCGCAGACGCTCACACTGAGCCTCCACCATCACCAAACGCTCTCCTGAAAACATTCACACAAAACACAGATCACATTTAACTGGACGCAAAAGACTTGGAATAAATCACATCAGTTTGATGGAAGAATGTGAAGGATTATTGCATGAAAAAGGCATGAAAGAGGCATGGACATTCTTCAAAACATTTTTAAACAGACATACATATTTTGTCATGACTCTCCATGTCCACCAGATGCCACTGTAGTTCGGCAGCACACTCTCAGCGAACTACAGTGGCTTAAGAACTACATATCCATACATTCCTTCACGCACACACCCGGTTTTCCATATATACTGATATACAATCACAGCTGTCTCTGTTTACCGTTGATTTCCTGCACTATATATTCAGCCATTCAATCTCTGTTCGTGAGTTCGTCGTTCGTTCTTGTTGGTATGTGTTCCTGAGTCCAGTTTTGTATCCTGTCTTAGTTGCTAAGTCTAGTTCTAGTTTAATCTGTTTGAGGGCCTTGTTTGTTTGTTTATTTTGTCACTTTGATTTTTGGTCTGTCACTGTACAAATTTCACATTAAAACTGCACTTGGATCCTACACCTGTTTTTGTTCCTGTTTCGATCCGCCAAACGTGACATATTTAAAGACATTTACATAAGTACTGTATATTCTGTTGAAATGTATTTATTTCAGGTTTAGCTTTAGCTCATTTAAAAATGAAAATATTATCATTTTATGCATTTATTCAACAGAACAAATGAATGAATACATGCAAAAAAAAAACTTTAATTGCATGCAAAGAAATTTACCATGCTAAACAATAGTTCAAGACGTAATGCAATCAATTTATTAATATCATTAACCTATATTATCAAGCTTTTTTTTTTTTTTTAACTTTGCATATTTACATACTATTATAGCACTTATTTCTGGTTATAAATTTTTATATACATATGTATTTAGATTTATTTTTTTGTTCAATTTTAGTAATGCTTCATGTCTTTATTTCGGTTAGCTACAACAGTAACTTAAGTATAAGGAACATTTCTAGTTTTAATTTTTTAGTAAAGCTATTTAATACATAAATTATACATATATTTATTTAGTATTTAATAATGTTTAGAATTAGCTTTTATTTTTTTTTATGTTCAGTTATCAAGTTTTAGTCATTTTATTGAGAAATAGACCTAATATTAGGGCTGCTCGATTATGGGAAAAATCATAATCATGATTATTTTGGTCATAATTGTAATCACGATTATTCAAAACGATTATCAGTTGAAGTCAAAATTATTCGTTTTCCTGTGAATTTATTTTTATATATAAATATTTCCCAAATGATGTTTAAGAGGATTTTCTTTACAGTATTTCCTATAATATCTTTTCTTCTGGAGAAAGTCTTATTTGTTTTATTTCAGCTAGAATAAAAGCAGGTTTAAATATTTTGAAACATATTTTAATAGCTCAATATTATTAGCACCTTTAAGCTATATATATGTATATATATATGTATATGTGTGTGTGTGTATATATATGTATGTGTGTATATATATGTATGTGTGTATATATATATATATATATATATATATATATATATATATATATATATGTATGTTTGATTGTGTGCACGTGTCTTTTGATTCTCAACTTGTTAGTTTATTACACAAATGAGGGTTAATATGAATAATCACTAAACACCGCGCTCTGACACAAATGTGCATGTATTTGACCATTAAAGCGCTCACATTAAGATCGCGTTAGATGTGTTTGTGCTCTGCAGTCCGAGGCTAAGCGCAGCGCGCGCACACACACACTACCTATCCGAGGCTAAGCATGGCGCACACACACACACAACAGCACGTGCCCTTTTGCGCTTTTAAAAATATGAATGATGCGCATCCCGTGCTGCAAAAGTTACACTACAGAACATGCTTTCAGTCATTTTCACGTGGAACTGAGCTTTGCAGAGGCAAAGAGTTTTCACAAGTGTACAACTGGAAAGGGGCGGTATGTGATGCAATAATCCTTTATCTCGATTAAGGGTTTTTCATAATCGTTAAAAGCCAAAATCGAAATCGGATTTTCGATTAATTGCACAGCCCAACCTAATATTTATTTTTTTATTATCTACATTTAAACAAAAACATTTTCCAATAATAATTAGAAAAAAATATATACATTTATGTAAAGCATTATTTTACATCACACATGTTTTTTCTATGAGCATCACAGTTTTTGGATGTAGTAAAAGGGATGTTTCACCAGTATCAGGCGTCATGTGGTTTAAGCATCCATTTTTTTTGTCATATGGCTTATACATGCATTTTTTTATATGGTTATGCATGCTTTCTTTGCATTGACTCACCAGGACTGCACTCTTGAGCGATGAGGTTGAGCACCTCCACGGCTGCAGGACACTGCTGGATAAACTCCTCACAGAAAGAGCTGTCCTCCAGCAGCTGCGCCATCACCAGACACGCTCTGATACACACACACAATTAATATCCCATAAATGCTCGTTCACACCAAACACGATAAGGATAAATACATGTGTAAACACAAGCAAACAATAATGATGTTTATTTTCAGATGATGCTTTTAATTGTGCATTATCCCTTGTAACCAGCAGGTGTCCTCAGTGTGCTGCTAGTGCTCTGAAAGTGATTCTAATAATGTCATTCGTATCTTTATGGTTGTAGCTGTGGTCTGACTCTGAACTATGCTATTCTTTAACACTGTGAACCACTTTTACAACTACATCTATATTGCTATCTTGCCAGGTGTAAACAGGCCTTTAATTTGATCCAAATTGTGGTGTTTAGGTGACTGTCGCTTTAAATTCAAATGAGATTGTGCTCTTTTCAAAAGAAGGTGGAGCTACAACTGCCTGTGTCAGCATAGTGGCAGATTCTAACATCTTATGCTAATGAGAGAGACACGGTCACTAGTGGGCGGGGCTTTCCCCCTCTGATGACACGTACAAAGGGAGAATGTCAATCAAAATGTTCCTGAAGACTGATTTCATCAAGTCTGATTAAAAAAAAATAAAATGACTACATTTTCATCATTAGAATCTGCTTATATTCACAAACAACTGAGTTTAAACTTTGATTTTGCATAATAGCTCCCCTTTTAGACTAACATACTGATAATAACATCTAAAAACACTTGATTTTAATTAGAGTCTGACCTGGTTCTGATCTCGGCCAGCAGACGCACCACTGCCATCACAGGACTGGAGCCGTCTCCAGACGCCGGCAGAGACGTGTGTATGGACAGACTGCCCTCCTGCGGCAGCAACATGGACTGAACGGCCTGAACAACCTTCTCTGTGATGGAAAGCTTGTGCAGCGGCAGAGCCTGAACACACACAGACGGACAGGTTGGTGTCGAAGTAATAAAATAGATCATTATTTTGTTAATGTTTTGGCAAATAAAGGTACAAAATCAAATCATAGACCTTTAATAACTAACTCAAACATCACAAATATGGATTTTAATGCAAAATAAAACAATTTTTTTAATATTATTTTTTTTAAAGCAAAATAGTTTAGATTGATAAACATTTTTCTTAACTTTTTTTTTTAGTTTTTAATCAGAAACAGATTTTATTGCTAGTTTATATTAGTTGACAAAAAAAAGATTTATGTACTTTACACATTTTTTACAATCTTTACACAATTTGGGGGTGTATTAACCCACTACTGGGTCAAATATGAACCAAACAATTAAAACAACTGGATTAAAAATAATAATAATAATAATGAAAACAAGAGGCACAATAAAAACATAATTTATGATGCTTTTCTGCTTTAAATATATATATATAGGTAAAGTCTGAAGTCCAGGTCGCTGGTTTGATCCTGGTCATTTGGCATTTCTGTGTGGAGTTTGCATGTACTCCCCATGTTGACGTGGGTTTCCTCCGGGTGCTCCTGTTTTCCCCCACAGTCCAAACACATGCACTATAGGGGAATTGAATGAGCTAAATTGGCCATAGCATATGTGTGTGTGAATTAGTGTATGGGTGTTTCCCAGTGATGGGTTGCAGCTAGAAGGGCATCCACTGCGTACAAAATATGCTAGATAAATTGGCGGTTCATTCTGCTGTGGCAACCCCTGATTAATAAAGGGACTAAGCTGAAAAATGAATGACTGAATGAAAGTCATGTTTACCATGATAAATACCTGATAAACTGTAGTAATCAAGCAATAAACTCCTGATGTTTGATCATTTTGAGACTCGAATGTTATTTTTGTAAACTGAAACCCAAACTAATGCATTTAGTTCTGCTTGCATTTCTTTCTGTGAGGTAAATTCAATGATAAGTAAACAGGGTTGATACTCTTTATCAAAATCCCAAAACTACAGCTCACCCCCACATTTAGACCGCCCTCTAAACAACGGCACAAACATTTTAAAATAATAAAGACAGCCTTGATTTATTTGAAGTATCATTGACACGTCAGATTAGTCGTGATCGTCCAGAAGAGTGTGTATTACCTCTGAGCGCGGCGTGCACAGGCGTGATATGGGCACCGTCAGGATATCAGATGCTTTGCTGGAGCGCCGATACTCGCAGGATGGAAACTTGACGGTGGCGATGCCCTCCTGCTCATTAATGGATATAACCACACCGACACTGTCCAACACACCTTTACCAACCACCTGACAGAGAGAACAGCAACACACACAAACACTTCAGACAGACATTCATGATTTAGCATTTATTACACTCCATCTGCTAAGCTGTGTACACAGGTTGAACTAAATACTCAAATTAGTAGGATACTAGTATTCAGCTTAAAGTACAATTGAGTTAATTAGGCAAGTCATTAGACCACAGTGGTTAGTTCTGTAGACAATTTATTTCTTAACTATTAATTTTTTCATAATAATTCTTAGATTATATTAGCCAAACTAAAATAATTATTTATTAAATAATATCATAAAATATATAAATAATATTAATACTTAATACGACTGTATGCGATACATACAATGAAGGATAAGAAATTGTAGATTAAATGCAGATTAATTGCAGAATAAAAGCATGAATAAATAAAAAAGCAAAAGCACACGCATGAAATAAATTGTTTATTTAAAAAGATATTAAATTAATTAAGCTAACTCGTTAATTAATTAAAGTTAATTTAATTAAATGGAATTAAATAGAAATAAATACATATTTAAATAAATATATATAATTAAATAGATCAATAAACAAACCAATTAAAATAAATAAATAAAATGCCATTAATAAATAAAATTAATAAATTAATTACATTATAATAAAATTAATTATTATAATAAAATAAAATTAATTAATTAATTACACAAACAAACAAATAAAAAGGCTAAAACAAATACTTTTATAACCAATTTTTGATCCGGATCCGGATCCAGCACCTCTGAAATCTGATCCGGCACCTGATTTTTTATCAATCCCCCTCCTCCCCCGTCCAGTGTTCACTTTTACTTTCTTCCTTGACTTCCCAACCCTCTTTACTTTCATCCTTCGTCCACATCACCCCTCCGCCATCCAACACGTTGGCGTTTCTGTGTGGAGTTTGCATGTTCTCTCTGTGTTGGGGTGGGTTTCTTCCGGGTGCTCTGGTTTGCCCCACAGTCCAAACACATGCGCTATAGGGCAATTGATGAACTAAATTGGCCGTAGTGTGTGCGTAAATGAGTGTGTGGGTGTTTCCCAGTACTGGGTTGCAGCTAGAAGGGCATCCGCTGTGTAAAACACATGCTGGATAAGTTGGCGGTTCATTCCGCTGTGGCGGAAGCTACACCGAAGGAAAATGAATGAATGAAATGATTCGAGAGATCCTGAAAGTGAAAATCCTAACTTCTCCAGTTGTATGCGGCGCTGTGTTGTTAATGAATGCGTCACCTGCACTTCAGATCCAATCTTGATGGTCTCCTTGAATCCGCCGAGCGCACAGAGAGCCGCCACCGCCTGTCGACCAATGGCCTGCAGCTTGGACAACTTCCTGCCGCTGCTGTTTCCGCTCTCCAGAATACTCTCAGCAAACTTCCCCAGCTGAGGGATGAACATCAGAGCTCTGGACAACACCTGACAGAGACAGAGAGAGAGAGATTTTGGATTTAATTACGGTTATATAACCATCTGAAATAGTGCTACTGTATTTACATTAATTCATTTGCAAAAGAATAATTCAATTCAATTCAAGTTTATTTGTATAGCGCTTTCCACAACAATTAATGTTGATAAAGGCTTGAGCTGACCTTTTCTGCAGTGCTTGTCCAGATCTGAGCAGTGTTGGACTCGGGGGCCGTCAGGAGGCTGTGCAGCAGAGCGATGACCTCTGCTGCCATACTGTTGGCTACGTGACCACTGATGAACGGACGCACCGGGTCAGACCTGTGTGTGTCAGAGAGAAACACTGGGTGTGAATGACTTTACTGCATATAGAGGGCTTCAACTAGTCAATTTTAAAACTTCTTAAATGACAAGGAATTTTTCACAGTGTTTCCTATACTATGTATTCTCCTGGAGAAAGTCTTATTTGTTTCATTTCGATTAGAATAAAAGCAGTTTGTAATTGTTTTAAACCCATTTTAAGCTTAATATTAAAATAGGGATGCACCGATATGGATTTTTTGGCCGATACCGATAACCGATAATTCTTCAGACTTGGAGGTCGATAGCCGATATATATAGGCCGATAATTATAAATATTTCAAAATGTTATATTTTTATACAGCAAACTTCATAAAAGATGAAACTCCGCTCTTTTGAACTGAATAGCCTACACTCAAAGCAAAAAAGCTATGATTTCAAAATTGCAAGGTGATTATATAGACCTATATTCACGATTTCACACAAATCAGCATGCAAAAAATACATTATTATTTTATTTTCTTCATAGCAAATTAACATGCAACTTGACTGTTGCATAAAATTAAAAAAGTTAAATAACAAAATGAGATTTAATCAACAAGCCAACGGTGCACCTAGGCTCTCCACTGTTGATCTGTGAAGGCTCAAGATCTATGTGTGTGTGAAGGCTGTCAGATCTATGTTTGTGTGCGCGCGCACAGAGAAAGCTCTCACACGCGCTTGTTATAATCAGTATAAATATTCCGATCAAACTGAATACAATCTTACATCAACAACACATGGGAAGTAACGCGTTGATAATAACAAATAATTATATTAGATTAAAAACCTTCTGTAAAGTGTTTGTTTAGCGCGTCAAGTGTGCAGGTCAGTTTGGTGTGTGTGTATGTGTGTGTGAAGCGAAGAGGGAGAGACAGAAAAGAGGAGCACATTTTTCGCAATGAGACCAAGTTAACTTACACAGGTCCTAATTCATTCTCCGGCTGCAACTAAAAGAATTAACCCCGAAATTAATATTATTCGGCCCTGGAGTAATAAGTAAATCTCCCTGCTATCTCTAACACAACAAAGAGACAGAGCAGGAAAGGCTTTCATATGTAATATTTTTTCCTGAGGCGATTTGAAGCAAAATACACAATGGCACTCAATCAAACATATCAACAATGATAAGGATAATGGTTACTTACTGAGTTATTAACACACAGCAATACCACGTGAGGAAAGGACGGACTTTGAAGGAATAATCAGTGTGAGGGGAGCTTCATGACCAAGTCTGAACATGTTCCGCCCACGCGTGTGCGGCAACAACTACGTAATTTATCGGCTTAAAGATACCGGCCTAATTTAGACATCGGATCGATAATGATAATCCTAAAAATAGCATTTATCGGCCAATAACGATATGGCCTCCGATATATCGTGCATCCCTAATATTTAAGCAATTTTTTTTTTGGATTGTCTCCAGAACAAACCACTGTTATACAATGACTTGCCTAATTACCCTAACTTTACCCTAATTACCCTAGTGAAGCCTTTAAATGTCACTTTAAGCTGAATACTAGTGTCTTGAAGAATATCTAGTCTAATATTATGTGCTGTCATCATGACAAAAAATATACAGGCGGCTAATAATTCCAACTTCAGCTATATTTCTCATTGCTCTTAACCCAAACATCTCAGGGAGGAAACCAAACAATATTCAGCTGAAGACCAAGTATCTCCCACTTACCGGGCGAGCTCAGCGTTCCTCTCTCGACACACCGTGGACTGAGCGCTTTTCTTCTTGTCTCCTGTAGAGGTCGCTCCTGAGTTCTCCTGAGCGCTGCTTTCGATGGGCGGACCCACACTCACAATGAGCCCCGACTGAGCCCATTTATTGGCTTTCCTGAGAGCAGCGGACGCCTCTTCAGTGATGACCTCACAGCAGCCGCTCTGCACAAACACCTCATTCAACTCATTCTGAATGTCCTTTAAAAACCACCAACTATAAACACTAGTGAAAAATTAATTATTAACAGAGTATGAAAATACAATCATTACATACATTATAGAAGTGCTTATAAGTCAGGAATGCAGCATTCGTAGCTGTATATACAGTGCATCCGGAAAATGTTCAGCTTCACTTTTTCCACATATGTTTATGCTACAGTCTTATTCCAAAACTGATTGATTTCCTCAACATTCTGCACACAATCCCCCATAATGACAAAGTGAAGAAAGAGTTTTTGAAATTGTTGCACATTTATTAAAATAAAAACCCTGTAAAATCTCATGTTCATCATTATTCACAGCCTTTGGCGTGAAGCTCTACATTGAGCTCAGGTGCGTTCTGTTTCCACTGATCATTCTTGAGATGCTTCAGCAGCTTCTTAGGAGTTCACCTGTGCTCAATTCAGCTGATTGGACATGATCTGAAAAGGCTACACCTGTCTATATAAGGGCCCAGGGTTGACAGTGCATGACAAAGCACAAACCAAGCATGAATCATCTGTAGACCTCCGAGACAGGATTGTCTTGAGGCACAAGGCTGGGGAAGGTTACAGAAACATTTCTGCTGCTCTGAAAGTTCCAATGAGCACAGCGGCCTCCATCATCCGCAAGTGGAAGATGTTTGGAACTTCAGGACTCTTCCTAGAGCTGGCCGGCCATCTAAGCTGAGTGATCGGGGGAGAAGGGCCTTACTCAGGCAGGTGATTAATAACCCGATGGTCACTCTGTCTGAGCTCCAGAGCTCTTCTGTGGAGAGAGGAGAACCTTACAGAAGGACAACCATCTGTGCAGCAATCCACCAATCAGGCCTGTATGGTAGAGCAGCCAGACGGTAGACACTCCCCGCCTGGAGTTTGCCATCTGAAGGACTCTCATACCATCAGAAACTAAACTCTCTGCTCTGATGAGACTCAAACTGAACTGTTTGGAGTGAACGCCAGGCGTTACGTTTGGAGAAAAGCAGGCAATGCTGATCCCCAGGCTAACAGCATCCCTACAGTGCAGCATGGGGGTGTTGGCATCATGCTGTGGGGATGTGTTTCAGCAGCAGGACCTGGAAGACTAGTCAGGATAGAGGGAAAGATGAATGCAGCGATGTACAGAGACCTCCTGAATGAAGACCTGCACAAGAGTGCTCTCCACCTCAGACTGAGGCGACGCTTCATCTTCCAGCAGGACAATGAACCAAAGAACACCACCAAAATATCAATGGAGTTGCTTCAGGATGACTCGGTGAATGTCTTTGAGTGGCCCAGCCAGAGCCCAGACCTAAATCCTATTGAACATCTCTGGAGGGATCTGAAAATGGCTGTACACCGTCGCTTCCCATCCAACCTCATAGAGCTTGAGAGCTACTGCAAAGAGGAACAGGCAAACATTCCCAAAGACAGGTGTGCAGAGCTTGTGGCGTCATATTCAAGAAGACTTGAGGCTGTAATCACTGACAAAAGTGCATCAACAAAGTATTGAGGAAACGCTGTGAATACTGAAGTACATGTGATTTTACAGCTTTTTTATTTTCTAATAAACTTGCAACAATTTCAAAAACTCTTTGTCATTATGGGGGATTGTGTGTAGAATGTTGGGGATATTAATGAATTGAATCTATTTGGGAATAAGGCTGTAACATAAACAAATGTGGAAAAAGTGAAGCGCTATCAATACTTTCCGGATGCACTGTGTAAACGGCTTACTAACATTTATTCATGTACAGTAATGCTTGACAGATAATGAATTAACTATTTGATAATGCTTAATAAATAAGTCATAGCGTGTAATTATAGTGCTACCAAAAACACAACCAAGTTAAGGACATTTTAAATGATATAAATAAATTAGGCTTTTTATATCTTTAACTTATGTTTTCTGAGATCGCAAGAATGAGCTTATGATTAAACGTTTGACCACAGTGACAATTCCGTGCGACTGCCACAAGGGGGAGAATGCCATGTGCAGTCCAAAGGCGGCTTACAGCTTTTACTTCATAAAAAACAGTGAATGCCGATCAGATCTAACCTTGGTCATGTCTCGATCCATCTTCACCACCTTCTCCATGTTGGCTCCAGTGCCGAGACGAAACGGTCGACCCTCTGAGCTGCTGCAAGGTGACGTAAAATACAAATCAACCATAGCAGCTTCAGACACAGCACTAAATGGGACCTATTATGCAGGTTTAAACACAGCCGTGTAGAAACAGTGTGTGAATATGAACAGCTTCTATTTTATAATTTAATTTTTTATAATCACACTTGAATAAGCCCCGCCCACTAGAGACCATCTCATTAGCATTAGATGTTAGTCTTGGTTTTGAGTTTGCCACGATGCTGAGGCATTTGTAGCTCCGCCCTCTTTTGAAAATCTCATTTGCATTTAAAGCGACAGTCACCAAAACGCCACAATCAGGGTCAAATCCTAAAAGGGTCAGTTTCAGAGAGTTATTACCATTATCTGTGTGGTATTTTGAGCTGAAACTTCACACACACACACACTAGGGACTTTAGAGAATTAGTTTACATCTTGTATAAAGGGGCATAATAGGTCCTCTCTAAATGTGGCTGTGGTCGTATTGCCTGTGTTTACCTGAGCAGAGGCTGCAGCACCTCGTGCGACGACTGGTCTTCTCTCTTATGGATGAATATGGAGAGTTTTCCGTCCACCGCTTCGCCCTCCTCGCTGGCATCTCTGTCGGTCTTAGAGCTGCTCTTGGGACAGGCTCGGCTCAGACTGGTGTCCGGCTCAGAGGCGCTGGGAGAGAGCAACGTCTGACAGCCTGAGAGTGGACATTATACAACATTAAAGCATGTCAATAAAAATGTTAAGTAGACAGCATGTTATTGATATGATTCTGTTCACAATTTGATCCACTATTATTAAAGGTACGATAAATAATCATCATTATGAAGTATTAAAGTGCATGTGAATTGACTTGGGGGCACTTAATATTGAACAATTCTACTGTATAAACACATATTATTTAATATGTTCGCATTTTTAAGTATATAAAGTTTATTTATAAGTAGCAAGTAAATGCAAAACGAATATGAACAATATATGTGAACAAAAACCCCTGTGAGAATTTTTCTAATTCACAGGCGATTTATTAATATTAATATGTATTAATGCAATGACTTAATGCAATTCAATATAATTGTTAACAAAATATTGACTTGTATTTAGATATTTTGGGGTTAGAAAGAGTTTAAAGAAACTATTACTTTAGCAAGGATTGATGTAACTAATCAAAGGCAACATTAATTTACATAATAAAAACAGAGTTTTTATTTCATTTGAATTATCACCCTTTTCTCTTTTAAATAATTAAAAATTTCACAGTATTATTGTCAACCCAGGCTCATTGTGGAAACGTAGCCCCGCGGATCGCAAAATATGCCCCGGGAGGTACGTATTTGTGCAGTTTTTGTTTTCGCGAATTCGCGAGAGGCTGCTGTGCCGTGCTTTTTCGCATCTTGAACGCCTCTCGGGAGCTGCGCTGTTCTCGTGCGAAAAGCCGCTGTTGAGCGACCGTCTGTCCGACTGACTGACTGAATGACTGAGCGATCGACTGGCCAATTGGCTGATTGGCCGACCCAGCCACCCCCCTCCTCCTTCTTCCCTAAACCCAAGCGACGATTTACAAAAGCTGTCCAGAAAAAAAAATGCAAAAGCGCTCGTCTGATTTTGACAGAGTTTTCAGATTTGGCCGCATTCTCGCCCCGTCACAAACTCGTTCGCATTTATTTTTTGGATTCTGTTTGTCATCTTAGCTGATTTCTGAAACCGCTCTTCCCTGGACCCGAACTCGGTCGTCGCCGCGGCCGGCTTCTCCTCCTTTGGGCCTCCGCTCCACCAGCGAAACACGACGAGCTAAGCGGACAAACTGGTTGCGGCGGGAAAGCCCTCCACACGGAGGTGAGTGAGCCGTCACAGCCGGTGAGCGAGCACGAAGAAGAGGAGCGGCGTCACACCGCCCCGTAGCGTTTGCTCGAAAAAAACAAATGCGGCCATACGTACACCCAAGCCACGTAAATCGCGATCTCCAGAAACGTCCGCGTGGCTACATTTTCAGAATGAGCTTGGGTTGATTATTGTTTTTATTATTATTTTAGTTTTGGTTAAAACAAATTACAGCCTTGATGAGTCTAACAGACGCCTTTACAAAAAAGTAAATAAATAAATAACTTACTGACACCGAATTTTTAAGAGTCCTGTACTGCAGCCTTTATAACTGCAATACTTCATACACACTTGGTTTTAACTATTACTGCCTCTCATACCTGGCACCACATAGTCGGCCAGTTTGGCGAGCAGCAGAGATGCGATGCGGAAGGCAGGGTCGCTGGCGTCCTGCTGCTCGGCGTCCAGTGCGTTTGTGGAGTAGCTCCAGGACGGCAGCGCTACATTTCCACAATCCTCCACACTCATGAGGGGCAGCGCGGCGCGGCACAGCTGCAGGATGATCAGCACCAGTTTGGGCGACGGTCGCTGGTCCAGAAGCAGAGACAGCAGCTTGGACACACAGGCAGGCTGGCTCAGGATGGTCTTGCCTATGTGACTCCTGCATAGAGAAATTAAGATTTATCTGTGGACACTATTCAGAAGACTGTGAAAAGATATAATCCACTGAAAATCTTATATCTGCATGCATTTAGTAATTAACTTTAACGAAGTAACTAACTTAAAATGGCTAACCCTAACCCTATTCTTCATGTCTGTATGTCAACAGCGGAGAAGGTTTTACCTGGACAGATCGTTGAGTAAACTGAGCACATCCTGCAGCGCATCATTTCCTGCCGCCTGGTTTCCACAGCAGTCTGTCGCTCGAGCCAGATGATTGGTCAGAAGGCTGGACACCTGTCGAGCCAACCCTGAATGCACTGCGTCTGTGGAGCCTCCTGTTCAACAACAGCACTGGCATCAGTTGAAGTTTAACGGGTTCACAGATTACTTCTACAACCGTAAAACATCTCATCCTTGCTTTGCCATAATATAATTAATGTCAATGATAAACAGCCAATCAAAGTGCATTTAACCCATTTAATCCCAAATTTCATTATTGTATAAAAAATTCATATATCAAAATATACAGTGGAGGACAAAATTATGAACATATTGTTAATTATTACCCTCCTATATTATTAACCTCCTAAATTATTAACCTCCTAAATTTTTAAATAATTTTTTCAAGTAATTATGCTGGCTTGTGTATCTTTTCCAACTGATCCGACTTTCGGTTCTCCGAAAAACATCCCGGGACCGTCAAAAAAATCCCATAGACTTAACATTGGACCAAACTTTGTGACCTCATAACTCTGTGCCAGACTGTCACACAGACTTCTAACTGGGCTCATTTAACTCAGACTACCTAACTGCCAATAACTGATGAGCTTTTAACTTTTTGGCCACGCCCTAGCAACCACTTTTGGACCCTAGAAACTGTCCCATAGACTTCCATTCAAAAGACTCTCATTGACTTAACATGGGATCAAACTTTGTGAGTTCATAACTCTGCATCAGACTGTCTTACACACTAATGGTTGAGCTCATTTAACTCAGACTACCAAACTACCAATACCTGGTGAGCTTTTAACTTTCAAGCCACACCATAACAACCAGATACTGCACCCTAGCAACAACTGTCCCATAGACTGCCATTGCAAAAGACTGTCAATGACTTAACATTAGATCTAACTTTGTGACCTTAAAACTATCTATCTATCTATCTATCTATCTATCTATCTATCTATCTACCTACCTACCTACCTACCTACCTACCTACCTACCTACCTACCTACCTATCTATCTATCTATCTATCTATCTATCTATCTATCTATCTATCTATCTATCTATCTATCTATCTATCTATCTATCTATCTATCTATCTATCTATCTATCTATCTATCTATCTATCTATCTATCTATCTATCTATCTATCTATCCTTTTTCAAACTGCTTTAATCTATCTATCTATCTATCTATCTATCTGTCTGTCTGTCTGTCTGTCTGTCTGTCTGTCTGTCTGTCTGTCTGTCTGTCTGTCTGTCTGTCTGTCTGTCTATCTATCTATCTATCTATCTATCTATCTATCTATCTATCCTTTTTCAAACTGCTTTAATCTATCTATCTATCTATCTATCTATCTATCTATCTATCTATCTATCTATCTATCTATCTGTCTGTCTGTCTGTCTGTCTGTCTGTCTGTCTGTCTGTCTGTCTGTCTGTCTGTCTGTCTGTCTGTCTGTCTGTCTGTCTGTCTGTCTGTCTGTCTATCTATCTATCTATCTACCATCAGGCTCAAACTTTAAGAATCTAGTTATCAAGTAATGTTTAACAAAGCAAGGACATTTTTCACAATATATTTCACTCTATTTTTTTTTCTGGAAAAGAAGTTTTATTTCTTTTAGTTTAGCTGGATTAAAAAAATATAAAAACTGCTACGGTCAATATTATTAGCCCCCTTAGGATTTTTTTTGGAGCATTTCTACAGAACAAACCACTGTTGTCCAATGACCAATTCTCCTAACTTGCCTAGTTAAGCATTTAAATTGCCCCTTAAACTGATCTTGCAAAATTATAGTAAAATATTACACACTGTCATCATGAGAAAGACATTTAATACACATAAATGAAATTAGAAAATCATTATTGGCACTATTATGTGTAAAAAAAACCTTCCCACTATTAAACACCACTTGAGAAATTTTTTTAAAATAGTACAAGTTTCACCGGAGAGCTGAAATTTCAGCATATGGCCTTCCCGTCCCTCACCTTCGACTTTCTCCCACTCAATGCAGCGGTTGGCCAGCACCTGAAACGCAGCCCAGGCCATGGTGGCCACTTTCTGCTTTTTGGTTTGCTTCTCGTTGGAGCTGCAGTCTCTCTGACTGCTCAGACTGCAGAGGCGATCCATGAGCTGAACCAGACCGCTGCGCACCAGACACTGCTCCTCACTCCTGCGGAGAACAACACATGAGAATCAACAAATGGCCTACCACTCAAGTATGTATCACATATGGATCTCAACTAACTACACGATTGCTAGAAATGAAGGTTCTATATAGCAGGGGTGTCAAACTCAATTCCTGGAGGGCCGAAGCCCTGCACAGTTTAGTTCCAGCCCTGCTCCAACACACTTACCTGTAGGTTTCAAACAAGCCTGAAGGACTCAATTAGTTTGATCAGGTGTGTTTAATTAGGGTTGGAACTAAACTGTGCAGAGCTGCGGCCCTTTTGGAACTGAGTTTGACACCTGTGCTATATAGCATGAATGCGAGTAGTGTGAATGGAATTGGGATGTTCTCCATCTTCCACTAGTCATTATCATGTGACCCACTGCACCAGTGTCAGCTATGTCTCTTCCCTCCCGTTCATGAATTCTCCCGTGTTGCATCATTGTGCTTGCCTGGTGTAGGGGATGGTGCAGAGCAGGCCGATGCTGTTGGCACAGGCGATGGGGTATCGGGCACACAGAGACACCACTGACGTCATGGTCTCTCCAAACGCCTCCTGCACCTGCTCCATCATCCCACCACAGGTGAGCTCCTCCACCCTTCAAACACACACACACACGCACGCATCGACAATATGAGCATCTGCCAGTCTAGCTGTATTGCATTAAAATATCACACACATGATTAGACTATGAGTGTTTTTCTAAGTTACACTTAGATTGCATTTATTTAATAAAAAAATACAGTAATATCATAAAAGATTTGACCTATGTGAAACAGAAATTAGACATGCCTTTAGACGGGTCACTTTAGATGCGCTGTATTCAAATAAAAGCATGCATTTCCTCACAGTGAGCCCTATAGTGAATGCTGATTTGTGATGTTGTGGTGGTGTAAGAGTACCTGGGTCCCCCCTGCAGGACCATAGTGACGGGTCCGACCAGATGAGTGACTCCACCGACGCGGACGGCAGCGGTCAGCAGCTCCCGCATGTGAACCAGAGCCTGTTTGCGTGTTCGTCCTCTTCTCCAGCGCGTCTGAGCTGCGGACAGAAAACTGCTGCTCGACACCTGCAGACGGAGACTCATTTCAGTGAAGAACATGGATAACTTACTCATCCCTAAGGCCGCGCTTTTTTCCTTAATGTATAGTATGTCTAAAGCAGGGATACAATCAGCCAGCACAGTCGTCTCTCCAGAGTAAAAGCTTTTGTTTACCTGGAAGAGTTCATTGGCATTTTCCTGCACGTGAATTCTGACCAATCAATAAGCAGTTTAGGAAATATGTTCAACAACATCTGGCCAATGAGAGATGTGGGTTTTGTCAGATGACTGCATTTTGGTTCGTTTCAACTGGTTCGGACCAAATCCAGCAGTGTGGTGTGAAAACGACCCAAAGACGGCAGAAGATGCAACAATGTATCATTTATTGCCCTTGATCTAGACCAAATGAAGCGAACTACAGATGTGAAAGCAGCCTTACATTGTGATCTATTTTTCAATGAAATATTCTTTGTTTATTCATTATTAAAGATCATTTGTTTATCGTTTTCTAAACCTAATACCTCAAGTCTCCTCTTTTGCTCTTGGGTTCATCTGTTGAGGAGTATGCTCAGCCGCTCAAGAGACCAAAAGACCCGGGTTCAGTCCTCACTAAAAGCAGCACGTTACAGAACGCTGTGCTTCCATCCAAAGATGTCAATTAGATTTATGTGCAAAACTGGAGTATTGCTCAACACATTTGCGAAGAGAAACAAAGGAGAACAAAATAATCACTACCTGATAAACTGGCGCCAAATATCAGACAGAGAAGTGTAGTTTAGTGTGTTGGGAGAAGCCACTGTGGTGCTTTTACTTCTCTAATTAATGAGTGGCGCCTCAGAAGATGAAACACAATAGTCCCTTTCAAAAAAAAAAAAAGCGCGTGCACGTCTAGAACGTGCTGACGTGAGACGTCTGCTTCAGCCAATCAGAACAGTCAGACGCATTCACGTCCGCACGGTTTATGTAAAGCCTTTGAATATTTTACCAGACACCTTTAGCTGCTAGATGTTAGTCAGTAAGGGTGTCACAATTTCGATTTTTAATCGAAATCGATTGAAATTTATGCTCAACTTCAATTATCGAATCAAAAAATAGAATCGTCGATGCTGCCACGCCCCCATGTCACGTTAGCTTGGCTTGCCAAGCGGGAAAAAATGGTGGTAATTATGTGTGTAACTTACCTTTATTCATTAGCCCCTTTCACACATACAGACCTTTCCAGAAAATTGCCGGCAATTTTCCGGAAAGGTTGTATGTGTGAACAGGTCCTTTTTTGAAAATACCGGTAAATTCGTTCTGGCTATTTTCCGGAAAGAGAAGTTGTAACATTACCGGCAATTTGCCGGAATGCTGCGCTGTGTGAATGCAGAAGGAAGATTGCCGTAATAAGCGCGTGCACGTCTAGAACGTGCTGACGTGAGACGTCTGCTTTAGCCAATCACAACAGTCAGACGCATTCACGTCCGCGCGGTTTATGAGAATAAAAGCCTTTGAATATTTTTCCAGACACATTTAGCTGCTAGAAGTTAGTCAGATCACGTTTATATGTTCTTCTTAATGCCAACTGTGTAAATAATCATCGATGAGATGCTTATGATAAGCCGTTGTTTGTTTACCTTCAAGCTTTGCATGCGCCTATGAGCGCCTGCACACGCACATATTATGAACATCTCGACATGAGAAAGTGATCCTGCGAAAGTTGTTCACAATATTGATCATCCACAGAGTTTGTAATTTACTCAAATGTTTACAAATACAAGCGCAGCCGTTTAAAGCTCATTTGTGGTGAATGATGTCAGAATTTACCGGTATTTTGGAATGGATGTGTGAATGCTCTTTTCCGGAAAATTTCCGTAACGTCCTCGCCTGTGTGAACAGCGCTTTTTTCAATATACCGGTAAAGTTGTTCCGGAAATTTTCCAGATATTTACCGGTATCACTGTGTGAAAGGGGCTATTTACTGTATGATTTGTTTATGGGTAAAGCAAAGACCATGCAGGTCAGGAAGTTTAAACGGTAGGCTACAAATAATTAATTCATCATTAATTAATTAATTATTCATAATCGAAAATTGAATCAAATCGTGACTTTAGAATCGAAAATGTAATCGAATCGAGGATTTGGAGGATCGTGACAGCCGTATTAGTCAGATGACATTTATATGTTTTTTTCTTAATGCCAACGGTGTTAATAATTATCGATAATATGCTTATGACAGGCCGTTGTTTGTTTACCTTCAAGCTCACCAGCTGTGTGCCCATGAAGCAGCTGGTGAGCCAGCACACACACACAAACACATCATGAACATCTCGACATGCGAAAGTGTGTCTCTATATGTTTTCATCGAAGTTGTTCACAACACTGATCCATCCAGAGTTTGTAATGTAGTCAAACGTTTACAAATACAAGCGCAGCCGTTTAGAGCTCATTTCTGGTTAATGATGTCAGAATTTACCGCTATTTTGGAATGGATGTGTGAATGCTCCTTTCCGGAAAAATTCCGTAACGTCCTCGCCTGTGTGAACAGCACTAATGAATGCAATGCGGTGCTTTTGGAGGCACGAGCCGCTCTTTGGGAGCTCCAACATATGCTCAAGACAGTTCTGAAGGAATAATAATAATACTGAAGCACTGTAATGATGGATGGACTTTAGCTGAGGGATTTTAGAAAGAGCAAAACAACATTTCAGATGTTTTACAATGTGCTGAAAAAAAACTGCTTTGAATATTCTGAATATACAGATCATATAGTGAATATGATCTGTTAAAACTAAAATCACATCACTTTTTTGAAGCACGTGCGGGAATATATTCATTAATGTGTTTCCATCATAGTTTATATGCATTCTTATCGGATAAAAAGTTCCTCCTACTTATATGTGAGTGTATGCTTTATGTGCGTTTTCAAAATGTATGCACATCTTGGCTTTCCCTTTACACCTTTTCCTATGCGATATTGCAAAATGCACATGAATTAGGTGGTTGGAGGCATTGCTGTGATATCTTACGGTTTGGTCAGGAGTGGTTCCTATAAAGGCGAACAGTTGTCCCAGCAGCACACTGTACGTGGGTTTATCTTTACTGTCTTCAATCACCAATGACTGCAGGAGTGTAAATGAGCTGCTCCGGTGGCTGGAGGGGTGCTGCCGCCTCCTACAAAGCACACACACAGACATATTACAGCCATTATAGTATACTGTAAAATCAGATTTGAGCATAAATCTGATGCAATTATTTGACAACAATTAGAATATTTTATCACAAATAAATCGCTGCAATTAACTGTATTGTTATGCACAAAATTCAATGATGAATTCAAAAGTAGTGTACTATTACGCACTTTGATATTAAATTAACTGGTTTATGAACAATAAAGAGCAATAACATATGTTTTGCAAATGCTGTTTTAAAGAAACAGAGGATATATTGTGTATGATTTTGCAAAAAAAATGGCAGAGGAGGAAATATTTTGAACATAAATAAGTGCATTGCAATGTAAATTTATAAATAGAAGCAAAACCAAAAAAATGGTTATATATATATATGAAAAACTATTTAATCACAGCATTAAAACTACCATGGGTCATTTTTGAGCCACAAATGATACCAAATACCTCACAACTAGTGCTCCCTCATCTCAGCAACACAGTTTTGATTGTTTTAGGAAATCAAAATTTGAATGACTTATGCAAATTATTCTGGCAGATATTACAATATTTTATGCTTGAAAATAATGTCAAAACACATTTAACACATAAACAAAGTTATGAATGCATAAAAAATCTAATAATAAATAAATTCATGAAATTCAATTAAATGTACAAACAGATTTTTACTTTTACTGATTTTTATAATTAATTTATTTTCAAATGTATTTATTAAAAGCATTACTAAAATCAGCTTCAATAATAATAATAATAATAATAATAATAATAATAATAATAATAAGTTAAAAGTATAGTTAAAAGTGTAGTTAAACTATACTTTAATAATATATAAGTATACTTTAATATGTAAGTATAGTTAAACTGCACTTTAATAAACAATAATTTGGCATTAATAAACTCACCAAGAATTTATTATTATTAAAACTGTACTTAAAAAAAAACTTGGCTTTAATAAATTTGCCATAAGAGTTTATTATTATTTGTAGTATTAATAATATTATTACAGAAGCTGAATTTATTAAAGCATTTAATGAATACATTTCAAAATGAATAAATTAATATTTTTTACATATAAATATTTTCTATGCATTTATTGTATTTATGCATTCATTAAAAGTATGCAATACGCAGTTATGCAATATTAATAGTATCTTTAGCCAATCAGAAATGACATACACACACCTGCTGATTGCAGAAGTGTTATTAACAGCAGTACCTTTGCGCTCCGTGTGTGAACTCCACATCACTGCTGGCGATCATTTCCAGATCTGACGGAGCAGACATGCTGCGCAGGAACACCGGCTGCTTCACCACGGGAGCCATCGATTTAGCGTCTGACACCGACTTACAGGCTGCACGCAATAATACAAACATTTAGATCATTTGTATGTTCATGTGCAAACAGACCCTCCAGGATTTCATTAATACGAGATCAATGAGTTAAATGAAAAGTTGGAAGCTTTAGGGGATAGTTCACCCAAAAATATTAATTCTGTCATCATTTTACTCATCATTAATTGCTAAAATGATGAAATGCTGCAGATTTAGCAAAAAAAACTCTCAAAAATAAGATTTTTTTTCTTTCATGAATTTCTGGAGGAACTATGGTTCAAGACATACAGCCACATAAGTCTAGGCCAATCAGACACAATATTCTAATGAGGGTGAAACTCATTAGAACACCTATACCTATGCACGACTTAACCCTAAACTACTAATTCTAAACTCTAAACACCAAACCCCAACACTAAATGACCCCAAACCCTCAACCCTTAACCCTATATAGCCATCATTAGCGCCCCCTGGGGGGTGAATTTCCGCTAAAACCAGACACTTTTTAGCAGGAATGAACACTAGATAGATGAACGCACAGACAGATAGATGGAGAGAATGTTGGGTGGATGGATGGATGGATGGATGGATGGATGAATGGATGGATGGATAGAGAAATAGATAACGAATCAAATGACACCTCACTTATGCAAATCGGACCTATGGTTCAAAACATACAGCATAAGTCTAGGCCAATCAGATCTAATATTCTAATGAGGGTGAAACAAATGAGGGTGAAACTCGTTTTTAATTCTAAACTGTGTGTGTGTGTGTGTGTGTGTGTGTGTGTGTGTGTGTGTGTGTTACCCGGTGTGCTTGTGGGTGTTGATGACAGACTCTTGCACTGCGGAGCGATGGTGACATGAAGCAGCAGCTCCGAGCGGTTGATCAAACTCTTCACAAGCGCTTTGGTTTTAGCCAGAGGAACAACACTTCTCTGCTGCTGCAGCGTGGAGTTCACCTCATGAAAAAACTTCTCTCTGAAAAAATAAGAAAACACATTACTATTAATTCAAACGGCAATAACACAAACACTAATATTCAAAAGTTCAGTAATCTGGAAAATATGAGTGAAAAAAAAAAATCTTTTTTCATATTATATTAATCTCTTTGACCCCAAACTGATTTATTCTAATTATTCAATTTGTATCATTTGCATTTCAAACCTCAAAGCCATCACAGCGTTTTCTGGATCAGTGCAGTCCAGAGGAACCTCCTTTAGCGAACAGAGAAGCTCCAGCTCCTTCATTTTATTCTGTGAGTCACAAAACAAACCAACTGCATATAAACCAAAAAAAGTGCTTCAAAGGAGCAGCTGGCCCCACCCCTTTTCAAGAAGAGGGCGGAGCCTTTACAGTTTGTGCCTAAGTTGAGGCTGATTTATACTTCTGCATCAAGCGTGCGCGTATGGTCAGGCACAGCCTCTGCGTAGTCCTCGCCCTGGCCATCGCTGATGCTGACGCGCACCTCTCAAAAAATGCAACTACATGTCGCAATGACGCGTAGCGCAAGCTTTGTGATTGGTCAGCTTGGTAGGGCTGACGAGTGTGGGCGGGACTGAGAGCTGCGCAAACCCATTGGAGTGAGTGCTCACAAGTGTTGAGTCCTACTAGCAAATATTTTATTATCAACCAAATTTTTACTTTACTTTACGACATTACTTAATGTGTTGCATTTTAAATAATGGTTTCAATCCTATTTTGCCGTGCTTTACAGAAATATACTTATTCTGGCGTGTCTTTTTAAAAGCTAAAGTCTGTTTCTGTTCACAAAGCTGTGAATTGTGTCTCATTCCTCACCTCAAAGAAGTGATAATCGTGGAAGAAAGGAGTGTTGTTCTCCAGTTTTCCCTGCTGAGCTTCATCTACTTCATTCTGCCACTTCTGCTCCAGCTCAGCCACGCTCTGAAACACACACACACACACACACACACACACACACACATATAATGATTCTCCTCGTCATCTTTAACACAGTGACGTAGCGCAATTAAACTGTTTGCAGAGTCTGATAGCAACCTATATCATTATAATGGCATACATTATTAACAGCAGATGATGCTCTAGGCTAGTGTTTAACAGCAGATTTCACTCCATTCTAGTTTAAACAGCAGATGGCGCTCTAGGCTTGTGTTTTAACAGCAGATGACGCTCTAGGGTAGTTTTATAACCACATATGGCGCTCTAGGCTTGTGTTTTAACAGGAGACGTTGCTCTAGGCTTGTGTTTTAACAGCAGATGTTGCTCTAGGCTAGTTTTAAACAGCAGATGGTGCTCTAGGGTAGTTTTATAGCAGCAGATGATGCTCTAGGCTTGTGTTTTAACAGCAGATGTTGCTCTAGGCTAGTTTTAAACAGCAGATGGTGCTCTAGGGTAGTTTTATAACTGCAGATGGTGCTCTAGGCTTGTGCTTTAACAGCAGATGTCGCTCTAGGCTTGTGTTTTACCAGCAGATGGAGCTCTAGGCTTGTGTTTTAACAGCAGATGTTGCTCTAGGCTAGTTTTAAACAGCAGATGGCGCTCTAGGGTAGTTTTATAACTGCAGGTGGGGCTCTAGGCTTGTGCTTTGACAGCAGATGTCGCTCTAGGCTTGTGTTTTAACACCAGATGGAGCTCAAGGCTTGTGTTTTAACAGCAGATGTCGCTCTAGGCTTGTGTTTTAACACCAGATGTCGCTCTAGGCTTGTGTTTTAACACCAGATGGAGCTCTAGGCTTGTGTTTTAACAGCAGATGTCGCTCTAGGCTTGTGTTTTAACACCAGATGTCGCTCTAGGCTTGTGTTTTAACACCAGATGGAGCTCTAGGCTTGTGTTTTAACAGCAGATGTCGCTCTAGGCTTGTGTTTTACCAGCAGATGGAGCTCTAGGCTTGTGTTTTAACAGCAGATGTCGCTCTAGGCTTGTGTTTTAACACCAGATGGAGCTCTAGGCTTGTGTTTTAACAGCAGATGTCGCTCTAGGCTTGTGTTTTACCAGCAGATGTCGCTCTAGGCTTGTGTTTTAACACCAGATGGAGCTCAAGGCTTGTGTTTTAACAGCAGATGTCGCTCTAGGCTTGTTTTTTTACACCAGATGTCGCTCTAGGCTTGTGTTTTAACACCAGATGGAGCTCTAGGCTTGTGTTTTAACAGCAGATGTCGCTCTAGGCTTGTGTTTTAACAGCAGATGATGCTCTAGGCTAGTTTTAAACAGCAGACGGGACTTTAGGCTAGTTTTAAAATCGTAGACAGCACTCTAGACTTGTTTTAAAAAGCAGATGGTGCTCTAAGCTAATTTTTTAACAGCAGACAGTGCTCTGTAAGTTAGTCATGAAAGTTTGGCTTTTAGTTTGCTTATTGTGCTGCTGACTATAATAGCAATACTTTCATACTTTAATGCCTTCAGAGAATATTTACGACTGAACTGATCTATATGACAATTACAACTTTGCTTAGCCATGTTTGGGATTTCATTCTGATTACTCTTTCATCTGCTATGCCCCTGATCATGCAGTATGTTCATTAAAGGCTCTACATCCAACACACACACACACACACCTGTAACTGTCTCTCCATGGCGTTGATCTTCTTGAAGGTCTCAGCCATGATCTTGCAGAGCAGGTTGTGTTCTTCTCTGTGAGATTCTCTGTACTGGAAGTTGACCAGCGACTGCAGCGCGTCCACCAGACCCAAGTGTTTAATCACACACGACACAATCACTTCCTCCATCACGTCTGGACGGATCACCTCTCTGAAGACCAGCCGAAAACACAGTTAATTTACACTTCTGATGAAATAATTCGCAATCTACTGACTTCATTCTTCATGTACGAGCCAGAGCAGCCATTGGTATTTTTTTGGCTTTAGACTTCCCGTCTCATTCACTTCTATTGACTGTTAAAAACAGCTTATTCTGCTGCTTGATGTTGCAAAGTGATATTATTAATTCCACTTTTTATGTATAGTCATGAACACACTTGTTTGTAGAGCGAGTAGGTTGACCATGTTCTGCCGTTTATTATTCCTAGGCATTTCTGCCATAGGCAGCTGAATCGAAAGTCCTAAAACAATCACAAAAACAAGCGCACTTCCGCATTGAAGAATACAGTCAGTAGAGTTCACTGTTAATTACACACACACACACACACTTATGAGGATGTGAATATAAATATTCAGCAAATATGCTCCTCATATTTCTGTTTTTTAATCTAGAATTTCCTGCTCATTATCTTATGGATTAGTTAATTGCTTGATTTTCTAACTCAAATTCTGCTATATAATAATATTTTAATGTATGTTATGATTGTTTTGTTCTTAAAAATGCTCTTTAAATAAAAGAAAGTAAATGAAACAAATGTAAATTTCAGAACAATAATATACTAAATAACAAATGTATTAATACATAAAAATAATTAAATTAACAAATTAAGAGTAATTATGATTTTAGGGTGGAGCTTTCAGGCCTTGAAGGTGGAGCTATCAGTCATTTGGGGTGTGGCTATCAGTCATTTAGGGCGGGAATATCAGTACTTTAAGGCAGGTCTTTCAGTACTTTAAGGTGCGGCTATCAGTCATTTGGGGTGGGGCTATCAGTCATTTAGAGCGGGGCTATCAGCCCCTTAGGGCGGGGCTACCAGTCATTTAGGGTGGGGCTTACAGAAATTGGGGCCGCGACTATCAGTCCTTAAGGCTGCGGCTATTTAGTTCTTTAGGGCGGGGCTATCAGTCCTTTACGGTGGGGCTATCAGTCCCTTAGGGAGCAGCTATCAGTCCTTTAGGGCGGGCCTATCAGTAATTTAGGGTGGGGATATCAGTCCCTTAGGGCATGGCTATAAGTCCTTTGGGCAGGGCTATCAGTCCTATAGGGCGGGCCTATCAGTAATTTAGGGCGGGGCTATCAGTCCTTTAGGGAGTAGCTGTAAGTCATTTAGGGCAGGGCTACAAGTCATTTAGGGCGGGGCTAACAGTCCTTTAGGGAGCAGCTATCAGTCCTTTAGGGCGGGCCTATCAGTAATTTAGGGCGGGGCTATCAGTCCTTTAGGGAGTAGCTGTAAGTCATTTAGGGCAGGGCTATAAGTCATTTAGGGCGGGGCTAACATTCCTTTAGGGAGTAGCTGTAAGTCATTTAGGGCAGGGCTATAAGTCATTTAGGGCGGGGCTAACAGTCCTTTAGGGAGCAGCTATCAGTCCTTTAGGGCGGGCCTATCAGTTATTTAGGGCGGGGCTATCAGTCCTTTAGGGAGTAGCTATAAGTCATTTAGGGTGTGGCTATCAGTCGTTTAGGGAGCAGCTATCAGTACTTTAAAGTGGGATTATCAGTCATTTAGGGTGTGGCTATCAGTCCTTTAAGGAGGGTCTATCAGTCATTTAGGGCGGGGCTATCAGTCCTTTAGTGCAGTGGTTCACAACACTAAATGCTCCATTTTGTTAGCAACGCTCATCTTTCAACAATCCAATCGGTTCCCAAAGAACAAAATCATGCACTGCCCTAAATTGTTTCTCCTTTTCGGACCATTTCAATTGAATATACACCACAATACAGACCTCTGTATCATGGCGACTTTAAGTAACAGTCCCCTCATATGCAGCCTGCTGTTCACAAGCTTACTTGATGCTGGGGCGAAACTGTGGCCGAGCACGTCCAGACAGCTCCCTCAGGCGGCCCATGATACCCTGCGGTAAGTGAATGCGGGGCAGCTCACAGCAGGCGCTCGGGATGGGCCCCGGCGGCGGAGCGAGGATATCTGATGGATATGTGAACTCGCGCTCCTCATCGATAGTCAGAGGAAGAGGAGACGGAGATGGCGTGAGTGCAGGAGAGATGGCTCCGTTCGCCTCCACCTGCCACTGACACCTGAAATCAGTCAAATATAATGCATTTGTCTTCATTACAAAATAAATGGCTACACTAGGGTAATTAGGGTATAGTTAGGGTAATTAGGCAAGTCATTGTATAACAGTGGTTTGTTCTGGAGACAATCCAACACTAATATTGCTGAAGGGGACTAATAATATTGACCTTAAAATGGCTTTAAAACAATTAAAAACTGCTTTTATTCTACCCGAATATAAACAAATCTGACTTTCTCCAGAAGAAAAAAATATTAGAGAAAATGCTGTAAACATTTTCTTGCTCTCTTAAAAATAATTTAGGAAAATTCTGAAAGAAGAATAAAAATTTGACAGGAGGGTGAATAACATTGTCTTCAACTGTACGTGTGTGTGTGATCGGCTCACCTCTGCAGTAATTTGGAGCAGAGAAGGTCGTGACAAGCTTCTTCCTCTCGTGTGATTTCAGGCCCATTATAGAGGATTCGTAGCATAGCGCAGGCTAACACTGATAAACCCAGAGCCAGATCAGCCAGAAACGGCAGACCGCCAGACACATCCTCAGACGACTCCTGAAATTAACAAAACAAGTACAAATAAGAGATTTGATACAAGTTCTATTATACACCAACAATAACAAAACCAAGACATCTGGAGGAAAACAACAGCAATGCAAACGCAAATCTAATGAGATCTTAAAGATCTATTTGCCAGTGTGATAAAGAGTACCTGCGCTCTGACGGTGCACGAGAAACCCCACATGGCTTTATCTGGAGTGTTGTGCTCGCGTCCACTTCTCATCTCAAAAGAGAACGTCACCGTATCTCCTTCCACCTGAAAAACACCATAAGAAGCTGTTGTGTTTAATACGGTAGTATATATAAAAAAAAACTGCAAATGTTGTACATGCTGATGCCTTCAAATTATTATATTACATTAAATTTGCAACTTTTATATCGATATAATTTACATTATTTACAAAAACGCAAATATACTTTTTATTTGCATTGACCTGTGAAGTATTTCTGTTCGTAAGATAATTGTATGAAACCAAAAGACAATCTTATAAATTAAGATATTTATTTAATTTATATTTAATATATTTGAATTTATATTTAATATATTTATATTTAAAATATATTTAAAAATGAATGAATGAATATACAGACATTTTTGGGTAGTTTCTATGTAATAAAAAAATATATTGCAGCTGTTGGACAACAATGTACTTTAGAGCCTTTATTGGGCGAGAATGTAGTTGTTTAGATTGCAACTATGCCATTTATTTATAAAGATAGTGCTTATTTTAAATATTTATAATTTCTGAGAGACAGCGCGTCAGCATCCATCAGCCTGTCATACTGAGCAGAGCAAAGACGGTTAACGTTCCACCACAAGATGGCGACAGAGACCGCATAAAAGCATAATTTCACTACAGCTGATCAAATCATTATTAAACTGCTAAGTGACTTTCTAAGTCAGAGTTTCTGCTGTTCTGACGTCAGCTGCAGATGTGAAGAAATGGCGGCGGAAAGTAGTTCCTCATACAAAAGGATTTTTGAGACTTTGTGTTTGATTTTTTCTTTTGTATACACAATTATGCCAACAAACTGTTGTATAAACACAATATCACACTCGTAGCTGTGCAATATGGCTGTATATCAGCACTGGTGGACATTAAATGTCCTTTTACAGACCACATACGCTTACATGTTATAATTTCAACACAGCAGATTTTTCATCAGAAGGCCATGAATCAAATATGACATAGATTTCTTTTATAATGTTTATATTCCCGAACACTGAATGTGTGTGTGTCACGTGCTGTTACTGTATGGTGTGGCTGTTTCTCACCTTGACCAGATCTTTTGGCCATCCGGTTCCCAATACACTGCGGCTGCCATAACCCATGGTGTTTCCTCCATACTCGCTTACTTTACGACTGTTTGTGTTCGGCCCGGCGTAAATCACAAGCTGAACAACACAAGAGCTTATGAGATTACATATTCACGTTTATATGAATGAGCATCATACAGTAGGTCCTATTCACACCTGCTGTTAAAGTGGATCTATTATGCCCCTTTTACAGGATGTAAATTAAGTATCTGATGTCTCTAGCGTGTGTGTGAAGGTTCTGCTTAAAATACCACACTAATAATGTTTCATAACTCTCTGAAACTGATGCTTTTAGGCTTTTTGTGGCATTTTGGGGACTGTCACTTTAAATGCAAATGAGTGCTCTTTACAAAAGAGGGCGGAGCTATGAGTGCCTGTGTGTCAGCAGAGTGGCAGATTCAAAAAACAGACTAACGTCCTATGCTAATGAGGGAGAGATTGTCACTAGTGGGCGGGTCAAAATCAAAACAAACACATGAATGAACAGAGTGGGGAATCCTCAAACCTTGTCGTAGTCGTACTGTGAGGAGCAGCGCGGGTCGAAGCGCAGGTACAGACAGCGAGCTCCAGGAATGTGCACTGTGTCTTTAAATTTATAGTTATCCCGCACCGGGTGAACAGTTTCCACCGTTTTCCCAGCAGCCCACGGGGCGGGGATCTTCAGCCCCGTCAGAAAGCCAGGCTCCTCTCTCTCCTCCAGAATCTGAAAACTGAATCAAGCACAGCAACTTAAATTTGCATTTGCCTAATCAGGATACTTTAGGATGATGGGATTATGAATAGATCAAATGAAAATATGCACATCAAATATCTTTACCTGTCATTTAATGAGGGCTGGCTGGAGCCTTGATTTATTGGGGAATCCTCAACAAATAATGGAGAATGTGTCTTTAGCAGCAAAGCGGTCTGTTGGTAACATATATAAATATATATAAATAAAAAATACACAACACATGCATGCATAGATGAAAATGTCATTTTTATTTCATAATCTCAGTGTACACTAAAGTATATATACACATATAGTTTTATTCAGCAAGAGTGTGTTAAATTGATCAATAGTGACAGTAAAAAGTCACTGATAAAAAATAAATGTTGTGCTTTTGATATTGAATTTCTAAAAACATATTGTAATACATGCAATCATCTTACTCTTCCATTTAATAATAATTATTAATATTTAATATTTGTACATGCATTGCAATTTTAAGATAATTAAAGTATATGAATATATATATATATATATATATATATATATATATATATATATATATATATATATATATATATATATATATATATATATATATATATAATGTAAATATTACATTATGTGTTTATTAATTGATATTATATATATATATATATATATATATTATATTAATATATATTAATTATATATATATATATATATATATATATATATATAATATATATATATATAATATAATATATATAATATATATATATACTGAGATTTTTTATTATATAATTATTTACTAATATTTATTTTATAATATATATATATATACACATATACATATATATAAATAAATATAAATGATTTTATACACATAGAAGGCATATTTAATCCAAGTGAAGTGTCTAAAGTTAAAAAAACTAGTTAAAATTATAAAATTGCAATGATTCTCGACTCTGTGAATTACATATGAATTACATATTGTTTAAAAACATTAAACAATTCTATCCATATCACCTCGCTAGACTATTGGACAATCACTGAAAATGTACTTTATTATATATTTATACAACCCAGGCTCAGTCTGAAAACATAGTCCCGTTGAAGTTTCTGGAGACCGCGAAATACGTGCCGGGAGGTACGTGTGGCTGCATTTATTTTTTTAAGCGAACGCTAAGGGGCCGCATGACGCCGTTCCCTTTCGCGCTTACCGGCTGACCGCTTACCTCCGTGTGGAGGGCTTTCCTGCCGCAATCAGTTTGTCCGGTCAGCTCATCGTGTACATCGGCAGACTTTCAGACGCAGAGAGACGCAGGGTTAAATATGGCGTCAGGGTTCGAGTCCGGGGAAGAGCGGTTCCAGAAATCAGGTAAGACAAAAGCAGAATCCAAAAAAATAAAGCGAACGAGTTCATAACAGGGTGAGAACGCGGTGAAATCCGAAAACGTGGTTAAAAAAAAATTCAGACGAGGGCTTTTCTTTTCCTGGACGGTTTTTGTGAATCGTTGGTTTGGTTTGGGGAAGTAAGTGGGCGGGCAGGCAGGGGGGTCGATTGATAAAATCGGTTGGGCTTTAGGGAAGGAGGAGGCCGGGTGGGTCAGCCGATTGGCCGGTCGCACAGTCAATCATTCAGTCAGTCAGACAGACAGACAGCGGTCTCTGGTGGATCCACGCGTGAATGGCGCGGGCAAGAACGGCACTCGCGAGAGACGTTTGAGATGTGAAAAAGCACGCACAGCGGCCTCTCGCGGATTCGCCAAAACAAAAACTGCAGCCATACATACCCGCCAACACGTATTTCGCGGTTCTCAGAAACGTTCACGGGACTACGTTTTCAGAAAGAGCCTGGGTTGTATAAATATATAATAAAGTACATTTTTAGTGATTGATATTTATATCGCTATTCACACACACACAAACACACCTGGCTAGTGTAGAGGACGAGCTGGACTAGCTGTGGCATGAGCGCATCTGCTAGCGTGAGTGTTTGGAGGTTCGGGTGCATCAGTGACGTCAGCAGAACCGGCAGCAAATGACCCAACATGGTGGCCTTGGTCACCTGTTCAAGACCTCTGAGCCTGGACAATCAAAACATACACAGAAGATGAGTTTGAGTCTGTTAATTTATTGCTACATCAGCAACTCAGTGAGAGTGGTTTAATGAACATGAAAGTGAAGTGGAATCTCCTGTGGCCTGCACAGTCACCAGATCTAAATATTATTGAGCCACTTTCTGGGTGTTTTGAAGGAGCGATTGAGGAAATGTTTTCCTCCACCAGAATCCCGTAGTGAACTGGCCACCAATCTTGAAGAAGAATGTTTTATTTACTGCCACATGACTATTTCATGACAAGATCAATATAGATAAAACATAGTACATAATAACATCATAGGGCGATGCAGTGGCGCAGTAGGTAGTGCTGTCGCCTCACACCAAGAAGGTCTCTGGTTCGAATCTCCGTTCAGTTGCCGTTTCTGTGTGGAGTTTGCATGTTCTCCCTGCCTTCGCGTGGGTTTCCTCCGGGTGCTCCGGTTTCGCCAACAGTCCAAAGACATGCGGTACAGGTGAATTGGGTAGGCTAAATTGTTCATAGTGTATGAGTGTGTGTGTGTGTGTGGTTCCCAGAGATGGGTTGCGGCTGGAAGGGCATCCGCTGCGTAAAAACCTGCTGGATAAGTTGGCGGTTCATTCCGCTGTGGCGACCCCGGATTAATAAAGGGACTAAGCCGACGAGAAAATGAATGAATGAATGACATCATATCTCAATGATACAGAAAAAAATACAATTTGTGCATCAGTTATCTTTCAAATGTGCAAATTGTGATTGGGTATTTTCCAAATAAATCATCCCTCAATTAGTCAACAAAAATGTCAGTGTATTTTTATTATAGTTGTCATCAAAATCTCTTCATTTTTATTTTGTTTTTGTCTCGTAATCGTCTATAGAAACTTGATGAAAAATTTTCACTGTTCATGTCTCACTGATATAGAATAAATATAAATAAGAAAAATAAATAAAACTTTACATAAAAACATTAGATATAACTTTTAAAGTTAGTGTCGCTTTGTGATAAATAACTGTAAATTTTATCTGGTTATACTGGTGACTTTTAAAAACCATCCAAAGTGCTCTGAGTATATAATACAAAAAGAAAACTGGAAATCTCCTTCACCTCCTTCTTGAATCTGGTGCATGGATATGGCATCTTTCATTCAATTGCAAAAACTATTTGTTTTATTTTGGCTAGAATAAAAGCAGTTTTTAATTTTTAAACACCATTTTAAGGTCAATATTATTAGCCCTCTTAAGCAATATTTTCTTTAATTGTCTCCAGAATGGCGAGGCAGTGGTGCAGTAGGTAGTGCTGTCGCCTCACAGCAAGAAGGTCCCTGGTTTAAACCTCGGCTCAGTTGGCGTTTCTGTGTGGAGTTTGCATGTTCTCCCTGCCTTCGCGTGGGTTTCCTCCGGGCGCTGCTATTTCCCCCACAGTCCAAAAACATGCGGTACAGGTGAATTGGGTAGGCTAAATTGTCCGTAGTGTATGAGTGTGAATGAGTGTGTCTTGAGCTGCGTCCCAAATCGCATACTTATGCACTATTCTACGCCATTTTGTAGTATAAATAGTGTGAGTAGTGTGTTCACACTAAAAACTCTAAAAATAATAAGTGCACTTTAATTTCCCGGATGATGCACTCATTCAGCCGCTAAAATGAAGTGTGTAATGATGGACACTTCACGCACTCAACGACCGCAGGTTTGCTTACGTAGCGGAAGAGGCGGAGCTATCGGACGCACATGTTGAATAACTTTATTTATTTTGGATGGTGAGAACAAAATTCTTCTACGAGAGTGATTATAGTACCTATATTTCACTGATTTGGCAACCGTCAAACGTCATCAGGGAAACGGTTTGAATTTCCGCTTAGTAAAAAAACATTAGTGTGCCATTTGGGACGCCACTACATACATGTACTATCCTGTTGAGTGTGTAAGTGCATAAGTACATAGTGCATGAGTGCATAGTGTATAGTGTGCCATTTGGGACGCAGCTTTGATGTTTCCCAGAGATGGGTTGCGGCTGGAAGGGCATACACTGCGTAAAAAACTTGCTGGATAAGTTGGCGGTTCATTCCGCTGTGGCGACCCCGGATTAATAAAGGGACTAAGCCGACAAGAAAATTAATGAATGAATGAATGTCTCCAGAACAAACCACTGTTATACAATGACTTGCCTTATTACCCTAACTTTACCCTAATTAACCTAGTTAAGTTTAAATGTCACTGTAAGCTGAATACTAGTGTCTTGAAGAATATCTAGTCTAATATTATGTGCTGTCATCATGACAAAGAGAAAATAAATCAGTTATTAGAGATGAGTTATTAAAACTATTATGCATGGTATAATATTATGAAGTGTGTGTAAATCACCTGGTCTCTCGGTCGCTGATGCTGCTGTTGATGAGAGAGCTGGTCACCTGCTGAAGCGTCTCCAGAACTTCATCACATCCAACCAGAATCTTCAACGCAAGAGACAAGATGCTCGTCTGCAGCTCCTGAGGGAAACACACACACACACATATATAACACACACACACTTCTCAGAGAACATCGAAACCTGCTGCAGCATCGCTGTGAGTAAAACAAGTGTGCTTCTACACACTCATGCACACACACACACATGCACACACACACATATACACTCTCATATGCACACACAAAGTGAGTGCACTACAGAGACTGATGTATTAACAAACACTGACACTGTAACTCCAGCAGGCTCCGGCTGTCCTGCGGGCCGGTGTGTGTAAGTGTGTGTGAGAGGGCGTAGGGTTTATCGAGGGGATGTTTACCTGTACCTTCATTGTTTCCCCCTGCAGGGAGCTGTCGCTGTCCTCCATGTCCTCCGGGTGCAGCAGGATGGTGTTGCTGAGCAGATGATTCTGCACAGCCATTAAATAACGCAAGCTGGGAGACACCACCTGTACACAATCAACAAACTATTATTCAATTTGTTGGTTTGTTTAAGTAATTATTGCCTCATAAGTAACTTGTGGCAATTTCATGGCAAGATTAATATACATAAAAATATCACATAAGAACAACTTGATATTTCATGTATTAGGAGATGAAACGCAAACAAATAAATAAATAGAATTAAATAAATAAAATTCACAACTAAAAGTAAATATAGTTAAATACAATTTTTGAATTCAATATTTAATAAATAACTTGTGATAAATATTTCCTAGAAATACCTTTTCAAAAAACATCCATCAAAGTGTTTTATTCAACAAAAAAATAAAAATAAAATAAAAACAAAACAAATTGTATTAATTTTGTCAAGTGTAAAAATAAAAACTTGAAAAATCAAATATGTATTAACAAAATATTAATTATAATAATAATAATAATATTTATATGATATTTTGTAAAATTAAGAACAAAATAATAATGGTTCTGGAATGCATGTTTTGACAGAGATTTGGCCCCAAATCTAAAGAGGAAATTGATCAATAAATGTGATTTGAAAAATACTTTGAATCAATCTTATTTTATGGGCAAGATTTTTTTTTAATTGACCATTCTGAAATAATGTTAGGCATATAGATACAGCAACTCAAGATAACAGATACTTTTCTTTCAGAAATGGTTTTTAGGTGCACTTAAAAAATAATTAATATAATATTATTTACTACTACTACTACTACTAATAATAATAATAAATTATTTTAAAAAAATTTGATATATATATATATATATATATATATATAATTTATTATTATTATTATTGTTATTATATATATATATATATATATACACACACACACACACACACACACACACACACACACACACACACACATACAGAGAGAGACCAATAAAAATGCACTTGCAAACACACACACACACACACACACATACAGAGAGACCAATAAAAATGCACTTGCAAACACACACACACACACACACACACATACAGAGAGAGACCAATAAAAATGCACTTGCAAACACACACACACACACACACACACACACACACACATACAGAGAGACCAATAAAAATGCACTTGCAAACACACACACACACACACACACACACACACACACACACACACACACACACACACACATCTAGATTATTATAAATGAATCATTGTGCTGATTTTAATTTAATATCACTGTTTTATCCAGTTGATTGTAAAATGTAGTTTATTCTAATTTATTTATTTTTTAATTTGTATTTTATTTTATTTTTGTTTTTCAATTACTATTATTATTAATATTTATTTTATTTGTATTTTATTTTCATACAACTACTACTACTATGTACTGTGCTTACTGTTTTTTTTTTTTAATTTTAAAGATTTTAATTTTAAGTTCCTTTTAATTTTTTATGTAAACTTTATAAATGCTTTAGCAATACATTTAAAACATGTCTTTATTGACAAAGCAGTTATTGAATTGAATTGAATGAGAAAGAGAATCTGCAACTACATAGGTGTTGTTTTATAATTACAGATAATATTAACAAAGAGCATAGAATCACCAAGAGGCGACATTCTAGTGCAGTTTGGTAAACAGACACCAGATGGCGCAGCAGCCATTTTGGAATGAAAACTACAACAGAACAGCAGCATATTATAAGTCTGTAAAACAAATTATTAAAAGAGCTGATGATTGTGACAGTAAGTGTTGCATTGTCGTCTTTCAGGCTGTATCTCAGCTTTAATACGCCTTTTAAATAAATAAATGAAAAACAAAGCAGCTGCTCGCCATCGTGACAGCAATAAGATCCAATGGACAGCCGATCGCTTTCACTCAAAAATGGCGGAATCTGAGGCTGTTGCTGGACGCTGCTGTTGCAATGGAAAGTTCTGTTGAGTGTCGCCTCTTGGTCATTCTAAGCTCTTTAATACTAATTAATCAATTCTAATTAAAGAGAAAAACTTTAATTCAGATTTAGAAAATGCACATAGAAATAAACATACATAAAACAAACATTTTATAATGGTTTTAATAATCTTTTAAAATAAAAACTTGTTCTGTTTTAAATAAGATTTTGATGTTGAAATACACAGTACAGCAGACTAAGTACTGAATTTGAATATAAATCATAGTGTGTATACATTTAAAAATAAATAAAAGTATATTTTAGTTCCTCATAAATTAACCGTATTTCAGATTAAGTACATTGATTTAATGATGTACTTAATTTCTACTTTGGCTGACAATACATTTATATTGTAAATATATAACAATTTATTTATGATGTATATTTTTATTGCAATTAAATATTTGAAAATGCCTCCACTGCTGATTCTATTATTTCTGCAATAGGTTTTGATTTTAAAAGCATGCTTAAGTCTGATTGATGAAGCTGGTCAATTGTTAATGCACATATGCTGGAGTGACATACAGGTACAGTAGAGAGCAGCTTCTGAAGGTCTTCTTTGGAAACGGTTTGACATTTGGTGATGAGGAGACACGACTCGCGCACCACCGTCTTCAAGATGCACTGCAGCAGCTCATCCTTCAGCCTGCACGGCATCATGGGAGAACGAGTTCAAGCACATACACGTTTACAATAACAATGCACATCAAAGTAAATAACACTGATCTGTAGAAACAGAAGCCCTGATATGAACTAAAAAGACTGGATAAGGCATTAAATATTAATACAATTTCTTGGGGGGGGGGGGGGGGGGGTGTGATAAGGGCTGATTAGTTTGTTGTCTATTTTAAATTGCCTAACCAAAAGTGCTCTATATATTGTGCAATAATTTAATATTTAGATTTTTACAAGCATTTTTTCCATCCTTAAAATAGCAAAAGTGGATTCAGACACGCTCTTAATGCTTTTGCGCTTTAGACTTTGTGCCTAGATCGCTAAAATCGAGCCCATAGTTTCCATTTTAACTTAAAACCCTATTCTCTCAGAAGACTAATGAAGCTGCTTACCTGTAGTGATCATCATCTTCACTACCAAAGCGGTTCTTCTGTAACTGGTTAGCCAGATTGTTTAAAATCACGTCTCGTAACTGAGACAAACCACTGTTCTTCTCCCCTGTAGAGGAAAACACACAGTGTTATCATTACCGTGCTGCGGTTTATCAGTTTGCAGCTGTGCAGTCAGAGATAAATGATAATTAAACACGATCTGTGTACGGTGTGGTCTTACCCTCTGTGAAAACAAACTTCAGCAGGTTGTTCAACTCAGATTCGCTCTGATACAGGGTGTTTAAACCTGAGCTGATGAGGAAAAGAGAAGGAGATTTAGTGTTATTGCAGATATTGAGGACAGATGATGAATTTTGTCACTCTTTATTTTAAGAATTCTTGCTATTAAAGGGGAGCTATCATGCAAAAATCACTTTTATAAGAGGTTTAAACACACTTGTGTGGCAGAAGTGTGTGAATGTAACCAGCTTCTTATGGTAATAATATATTAATGTTATTTTTTACAATCAGACTTGATGAAATCAGTCTGTAGAAACACTTTGATTGACATTCTGCCTTTGTACGTGTCATCAGAGGGGGAAAGCCCCGCCCACTAGTGACCATCTCTCCCTCATTAGCAAAGGACATTAGTCTTGTTTTTGAATCTGCCACTATGCTGACACACAGGCATTCATAGCTCCGCCCTCTTTTGAAAAGAGCACAATCTCATTTGAATTTAAAGCGACAGTCACCAAAACACCACAATTAGGATCAAAGCCTGAAAGGGTCAGCTTCAGAGAGTTAGAAAACATCAGAGATTTACTTTACATCTTTAAAAAGAGGCATAATAGATCATTTTTAGATTTTAGCTCAATAAACTAATTAATAATAGTTATTAAGATAGTATTTGGGTCTGGGTATTGGGTAGGATTAGGGATGTAGAATAAGATCATGCATAATTTGTTAACAACATTATAACACAAGTAGTAAAGTTAGACTATGTTAATTTCAACATTTCCGGTCACACATTACTACACTTTTGGTTGTTGTGAATGTGCCCTGTAGTGGCCAAAATTTGTCATATTTTTATTTTTTTTATTAGGTTCATCTTAAGTCAGACAGTAAAATATACATAATATTGATACATATAGATATACGCACTGATACAATACACGAAACAAGCAAGTATCAGGAAAACATAATTATACACTAAATAAGTATATAAATAAGAGATATAATACCACATTTATACACAAAGATATACAAACATAAGATAACAAAAATAAAAGAATAAACAAAAAAATTATAAATAAAAATAAATAAATAAATAAATATAAATAAATAAAAATAAATAAATAAATATAAATAAATAAAAATAAATAAATAAATATTAATAAATAAATAAATATAAACAAACAAACAAATAAATAAATAAATAAATAAATAAATAAATAAGTTAGTAAATAAATAAATAAATAATACAAAGTAAAGAAAGGTAAAAAGGCAATTAAGATATAGGTGTCTCCTTAAAAACTGTATAAAGGAGCTCCAGACGTACTGGAACTGTTCTGATCATATGCTGTCATGGCTTTGCAATCCAAAAATGTGATTATAATGGAAGTCAATGGGGCCAAATCTGCCACCAACATAACCAAAGGGTCATAAATGTGCAATTTTTGAAACTTTTCAAAGCATTTTATAAATATGCATCAGAATAAAATGAGTCACCAAAATCTTAACATTTGTTTAAGCACAGAGAAAGTTGTGGCCAAACTGAGACTCAAAATCAGTGCAGAGTGGACTAAATCATACCCAACAGCACACAAGGGTTAAGCAATATGCCTAAGAGAGCTTCTAGAGTTGTGATTTCTCTTTTGAGGTGGATCTGAAAGCTCACCTGATGGCGAGACAAACTTCTTTCTGTATTTCCGGCTGGATCTGATCAGGTGGAGCCATGAGTAACTGCCACAGCAGCAGTCCTGAGCGCTTCACACACTCCCGGTTCTGCTCTGAGTTTGGATTAAAAAACTGGAAAACCACCTAGAGAAAGCATTGAAATGAGAGTCAGTGTGTTACATGAGTCTCCAAGTGCCATCACTTCACATCAAGTCATACACTAATCCCTTTTTTGTTATTTGATATTTAATAGATGTCCCATTATTGGTATTAAGATGCATAAGCCCACCTGAAAAACGACCAGGATGCAGCGGATGATGCGGGTGTCTCCGTTGACCATGGCTTTCTCCATCACGTCACAGATGGAGCTGAAGTGACAGGCCTCCATTGGCTGCTTCCCTATGAAGGTGCCCAAGTGTAAACTACTGCTGGCGGCCAGCAGGTTCAGCTGATGGATACACATGGCTCCCACATGATGGAGCAGCTGGCTGATCACGCTGGATGTGTCGATCATCTCTTCTGTGAGACAAAACCACAGTAGTGTGGGGAAGAAAAAAATGCTTTATGTAAAAATCATATTTGCGAATAAAATAATAATAATAATAATAATAACAATAATAATAATAATATTAATAATAATAATAATAATAACAACAATAATAACAATAATAATAATAATATTAATAATAATAATAATAATAACAATAATAACAATAATAATAATAATAATAATAATAATAATAATAATAATAATAATAATAATAATAATAATAATAACAATAATAACAATAATAATAATAATATTAATAATAATAATAATAACAATAACAATAAAATATAATAATTATAATAACAATAATAATAATAATGATAATGAAAATAATAACAACACCAACAATAATAATAATAGTAATAATAATAATAATAATAATAGCAACAACAACAACAACAACAATAATAATAATTATAATAATAACAATAAAAAACAATAACAATAAAATAGTAATAATAACAATAATAGTAATAATAATAATAATGAAAATAATAATAATAATAATAATAATAATAATAAAACTAACAATAACATAAATAATAATAATAAAACTAACAATAACAATAATAATAATAATACCAATAAAAATACTAATAATAACAACAATAATAGTAATAATAATAATAATAAAAACAATAACAACAACAACAATAATAATAATAATAATAATGAAAATGAAAATAATAATAATAATAATAATAATAAAATAATAATAATAATAATGATACTGAAAAGAATTATAATAATAATATTACTAACAATAACAACAACAACAACAACAATAATAATAATAATAATAATAATAATAATAAAATAAATAATAATAATAATAATAAATAATAATAATAATAATATTAATGTAAGGTCACATAAAGAGATAATGCGCCCAAAACTGAAAATCTATACAGAATTTGCTCATCCTCAAGTGGTTTCAGCACATTCAGAGGTAACTTTTCTTTTCTATGGTTTTCTTCAGCACCTTTGGTCTGGCTGATGGCGTGACTGACGCCGAGTCGCTGGCACACATGATGGAAGGCCTGATTTCCAGGGTTGCACCACTGGTCCATGTAGTCGCTCGAACACGTCCAGATTAAGTTGTTCAGTGCATCATAACAGGCGCCTGGAACATTCGATATAAAAAGTAAAAATAAAAAACAACAACATCAAAATGTCACTTATGGAAACTTAAAGAATAGAAAACAAAAATGCGTAATCAGACATGATTTTTTTCAGAATTTATCAGAATTTTATACAATTTTTATTTCAGCTCAATTTGTTTTTAGAAATGTTGTTATGTTAGTGTCAATTTTATTCGTTTTCTAATATTCTGCTTTTTTCCCTTCATTTAGTTTTAGTTTAGCAATTTTATTACTTCAACAAACTAATTTTAAGATAGTACATTTTTACTAATTAAGTTTAGGTTTTCCTAATGTTATTTTTGCATCTCAATTCAGCTTTATTGCACCTTAGTGAAGTCAATGCAACCTCTACCTTAGTCCATACTTAAAATGCATTTTTTAAAAACATTTTTTACATTTAACTTGTTATTTTTATCAAAACTTTATTTTAATCTGACAATTGCATAAATAAACTTACAAACAAGTTTTCACAGCATATATTTAAATGATTGTAAATTAACATGGTTCACGCTTGGAAACACACTTCCTCCTGGTTTTATAAATAGCCAAAAAAAGCCTTTAGTTTTTCCCAGCTAAAACATGATTTGCTACTGTGGAAATATAAATTTATATCATCTAATTTCAAATTAACAATAATCTACGTATAACTAAAAAGTTATATTCTCTGGTTTTTAATTATATAATTTCATTAACATCCCAGCTAGGAAGGACATTAACCTTTTGTCTTTCTGATAACAGGCTAAGCCAATGTAATGCAAATTGTCAGTTTCACAGCATGGGGTGTCTATTGTTTTCTCTTTTCGATCAAATGGTCAGGCGGTTTCTGTCTCCAGAACATGATGAGATCAATACCTGAAAGAGCAGTTTACCCTGCCGACCACAACTCTTAATTTGCATACTTTGTTTAGCCAAATCCCCTCCTCCTAAGAACACAATATAGACATGAAATCTTAATTCAGACTATTTTCAGACTTGTGTGAGACTTGTGAGAGACTTGTGAAAGAACTTGCAGACTGCGGACCTCTAGTAGGCTCTTGCAGACACATCTTAAAGACACTGTATGACTGCAGATTAACCAACACGTCTCAATAAAGGAATTCTGCTTGTTTCGAGTCTCCTGGACTGGGTTTTTCTCTTCTTTTACTCATTCATTTATTTTTTTACAACACTACTTGCTATTTCTAGTTGCTAGCAGGTGGTATTTGGGGGAGGGAGATTCTCAAATCGAAGCCAAGATGTTGAGCCGAACTGTTGAGATCTTTTTTCCATACGGGAAAATCTGAACAGTTTAATAAAACATTCATTCATTTACTCATTTTCCTTGGCTTAGTCCCTTTATTCATCAGGGGTCGCCACAGTGGAATGAACTGCCGACTTATCCAGCATATGTTTTCCACAGCGGATGCCATTCCAGATGCAACCCAGTACTGGGAAACATCCATACACAGTCTCATTCACACTCATACACTACGGCCAATTTAATTAATCGATTCCCCTATAGCGCATGTGTTTGGACTGTGGGCGAAACCGAAGCACCCGGAGGAAACCCACGCCAACACGGGGAGAACATGCAAACTCCACACAGAAACGCCACTGACCCAGCAAGGACTTGAATCAGCGACCTGCTTGCTTTGAGGCCACAGTGCTAACCACTGAGTCACATGAGTCACTGAGTCATATATATATATATATATATTGATTGTAATTGTACCTGACCACCTCTATGAAAGGTTAATAAAAAAAGAGAAATACAAAACTTTGCAGAGTTGTTGCAGGCTTGTTTTTTCTACTGCGAGCTGATTGGATGTAGTAAAGTAGGCGTTTCTTTCAGAAAGATCAGTAAAAGGGTTTGGAGAGAGTTTTTAACCCCTATCAAAGCCCTTCTCCTCACCATTTCTGTTTGTTGTCAAAACTGACAGCTGTAGGGGCGTGGTTAAGTATGTTAGCCACGCCCAATACCTAAACAAACCTAAGACAGACGTAGACTAGACAGACCTAATCTGAAAATGTAACTTTGATTAAATTAACAAAACAAACACTTAATTAAAACAAACATGAAGTGCATTTTTTTTCTTGCACAGATGAATCGTTCATCACAAAATTAGCAATGTAAGCTAGCAGAATCAATATGGCTAGTTTTGATTTCATTTGTACACCTGCAATTATAATTGATCAACTTCTAACACTTTTAAGTTTTAAGACTAATGCAAAATACCAGCAAAGCTGCATTAATTTACCCAGTAACAAGCATATTAGTTGATCTTTAAGTAAAAGCAGCTTGTATCCCAGTGTTTCCGAGTGAAATGATCTCGATGAGTTTAAATGTTTTATTCTCACCGAGTCCTGCAACCTGAGCTCCACGACCCAGAGAACTTCCCGGAGCGTCGACCAGATCCACGCGATTGCTGAACTGACCGTCCGCCAGGTTAAACACCAAACTAGAGGCCAAGACTGGAGAAGAAAACGCAAGATGTTGACAGAGAATGCTTACAAGAGCTTGAGAATGCAACTATATAGTGCATATACTATGCATTAAACTCATTCATTCATTTTCCTTCAGCTTAGTCTCTGATTTATCAGGGGTCGCCACAGCAGAATAAAGAATTGTTATTATTATTATTATTATTATTATTATTATTATTATTATTATTGTTGTTATTATTATTATTATTGTTATTATTATTAATAATTATTGTTGTTAATATTATTATTGTTGATATTATTATTATTATTATTATTATTATTATTGTCATTAGTATTAATATTATTGTTATTATTATTATTATTATTGTTATTATTATTGGTATTATTATTAATATTATTGTTATTATTATTATTATTATTATTATTATTATTGTTGTTGTTATTATTATTATAGTTATTATTATTATTTTGTTGTTATTATTATTATTAATTATTATTGTTGTTGTTATTATTATTATAGTTATTATTATTATTTTGTTGTTATTATTATTATTAATTATTATTGTTGTTGTTATTATTATTATTGTTGTTGTCATTATTATTATTGTTGTTGTCATTATTATTATTATTGTTATTATTATTATTATTATTATTATTATTGTTGTTGTTGTTATTATTATTATTGTTATTATTATTGGTATTATTATTATTATTGTTGTTATTATTATTATTGTTGTTGTTGTTTTTATTATTATTATTGGTATGATTATTATTATTGTTATTATTATTATTATTACCATTATTATTGTTATTATGATTATTCATTTTGTTATTACTACTATCATTATTGTTATTACCATTATTATTATTATTGTCACCATTATTATTATTATTATTATTATGTTATACAGTGATTATTTAATTTCTTTTTCTGAATACTGTTTGACTTCCCAGAAAATCATAAATCATTGTTTATTTCTAAATGTAAAATTATGAATTCTTTACAAAAAAGAATATTTTTTCCAATATGACGCAGCCTTTATGCTTAACAAAAGGTTATCTATTAAACAACAACAAATTATTTCAAGTCATTTAACTCAAGTCTGAGTCAGGACTCGAGTTAGGATAATCAAGTCAAGTCTTTATTGAATTTTTGTCAAGCAAGTCTCAAGTCAAAACTTTGAGACTTAAGTCAGACCTGAGTCAAGTCATGTGAGAGTGTTCCAACTACTGCTATGCACAGAGGAAGAGAAGTGTTGTCTTACTCTTGAGAGAAGAAAGGCCACTGGATCCCCCGAACAGCGAGCGCGTGGCGGAGCTCCCAGCAACACCTGGAGTCGGCACCAGCATCACCAGGGACGTCCCGCACACATACATGGGTGTCTTCCTCAGTGTTTTGATGGACAGACCACAGCTTGTGTTGACCACTGAAACATAAGAGACCATCATCAACACTGCAAGATCAACTTCAGTAACCGCAGTTCAGAACATCAGGGCTTCACACGGCTTTTCAACTGTTCAATTTAAGCACGTTTACAGGTGCTTTTTTACAGCATTTTACAATGTGGCAAATCATGTACAGTTTAAAGTCAGAAATATTCACATTCCTATGAAATTTGCCTTATTTTTATAATAGTTTCAAAGTGATGTTTAACAGACCAAGAACCAGGGGTCCGTTCTTCGTACCTCGCTTATGCCTAGTTCAGACTGCGTGATTTAGCCCTGATTTTGGCTCGCCGACAGGTTTTGAGAAATCGCTGATAAATGCCTGAAATCACAGGCAAATCGCTGCTCGTGCACGTGAGTGACAATCACACAGTATGAACTATCAAAGACACGATCTGAGAGAATCGCCGATGAGTCGCTGATGCCTGTGAGATATTTGGCGTGCTGAATATCTGGAGCTGTCGGCGATTCAAATCATGCCGTGTGAATTGAGTTTTGACTGAAAATAACATCAGCGATCGCCTACAGCCAATGAGAGAGCGGCATTCACTTGTGTGTGCGTGTGAGTATACCTGCTGCAGGCCAGCGGGAGGCTGGGGGAGAAGGTAAAAGCGCTCTTTTTCGGTTTATTAGGATCCACGAAATGGAGGAAAAACTAGTGGAGGTTTGAAAGGAGCACCCGTGTCTGTTTGACGCTTCACACAGAAAGAAATTAGTTTATTATCAACGTTGAGGAGAAATGACTAATTCCCTTTAAATCCAGGTGAGCAAACATGTACATGTTCTACCCCATTAAAGGCTTTTTTCTCATTATGTAGTCAATAACAAAAGATATACGACATGTTTTTGGCTGTGAGACGTAGTTTGGACGAAGTTGTCGGCGATTCTTCCTATAGTAAAGTCATGCAATGTGAAAGTCCCTGTCACCAATACATCTTGCAGTGTAAACAAAGCAGCGACGAAACGCCAGCCCAGATAGTCAAGCAGTGTGAAAACATCTGTGACACGACTACTTTGAAAATCCTGCAGTCTGAACTCGGCATTAAATGATCTAAGATGATATGACAGATCCTGGATTTTTTAATCTTTGATTTCTGGCTAATTTGGTTCTTCAAACAAGTTTGTGAATCAGATTAAAATGTCTGGATGAACTGATCCTCGAAATCACGATTGGCTGACGGCGCAGCAGCGTAATGACATCACCTGATTAATATTCAATTATCCATGTGAGCAAAGTTACATAAAATTCACAGTAAACGGTTTGTTTAATATGATACGCAATACACTTTCCACATTTGTTGAGGGCTGCAGGCTTTACACTTTCATGTGTCAAGAGAATTTAACGATTTTATTTAGTTTTACATTTTTGTGCGGATTTTTTTTGTTATAATAGCTTAGGCCAAATCAAGTTTCTTGATTTTCTTTAAATTAATTTTGCACCGAAAAAGCATTTTGATATCAGTAAAGGTGTCTGCAACTTCTGCAAAGCATCAAATTACCGTCATATTAGCTGTCAAAACAGGTGCATGACTGCATAAATTATCATTCCTTTAAACAACAAACATTCCTGGAGATGGGTTGCAGCTAGAAGGGCCTCCACTGCGTAAAATATGTGCTGGATAAGTTGGCGGTTCATTCCGCTGTGGCGACCCCAGATTAATAAAGGGACTAAGCCGACAAGAAAATGAATGAATGAATGAAACAACAAACAAACAAAAACAGTTGAATATTGTGCCTATTGTGTCTATTATCATACACAAATTGTAAAGCTGGTTGGTCTCTTAAAATAGTACACGTTTGTATCTAAAAAGTCAATATTAATAAATGTTCTCTTTGAGAAGTTTTATTTATATATTTTTCAAAACTTATATGTATATAAACATAAATATTATTAATTATTTAATATTAAATATTACAAATGATTATAAACTATAAATGTATATAGAATTTTTTAAAACCATTTATCTATTTTTCCAAGTGTATATAAACTATAGTTTACTACTTTAAGAAAATATCAGCATTCGGTCCATTCTTTCAGTATTACCTTTGCTTGAAATGACCCGATCTAATCCTGTTTACATGAAATAAACCTGCTCCCAAGCAGGTTTGAGCTACCAGAACTGCTGCTATGACAACAAGTCTCGGATGAGTTTTGAAGTACGAAACAATCCTGGATCGTGTCAAATCGTCAATAACCAAATCCGGCTAATTGAGTAATCCACGTACGAAGAACAGACCCTTGGTACTTGACTGGCCTGCCTGCAGTCCCGACCTGTCTCCGATAGAGAATGTGTGGTGCATTTCAAAGCACAAAATATGACAACGAAGACCTGTTGCCCAACTTAAGACTTGCTTGCAAGAAGAATGGGACAAAATTACACCTGAAACACTTGATCACTTGGTGTCTTCGGTGCCTAAACGTCTTCTAAGTGTTGTGAAAAGGAACGGCAACATTACAAAGTGGAAAATGCTTTACTGATACAACTTTTCTAAAATGTGATGCAAGAACCAAAACTGGAATATGTGTTAAAACCATGAGGAACACATTAAATAATGTTCGTTGTATCGTCTGCAATGAAAGAAAAGTCTAAGTAAATTTAGAAATCTTGACTTTCTTTTTTTTTGTTGCGTTTTCCATTAACTTATTCCTAATATGGGGTTGTACATAAAGAAAGCATGCAATAGTCTTGATCAAATACCCGATTGCTCCTCTTTGACAGGGTTGGTGATGGCGGAGCCGGTGAGAGCCGCCAGTGTGGACGAGTGCGAGGCTCGGAAGCGCGACATTCGGCTGAGGAGCAACTCATTCAAGCACTTGGACGACTCGCCTTCCTTTCGCAACAGGATCACCCGGTCTTGTACAGGACTGGCCACACACACACCGGACTCACTCTGCAAAACATCAACAAACAAGCGAGGGGTCACTGAAGTTAGTCATGTGAAAACTATCAACAGAGCTATTCAAGTCATCTGAGGAAACTCTATTCATATTGAGATATACAGTACTGTGTATAAAGGCACACGGTTACATTTGTTGTTTTAGTGAAGGTATAATGACATTATATATTACTTATCATACTCTTTATTAAAATACAACCGGGAATATAATGGATCTAGTTGGATTTCTCGGGGTCTAATTGTTTAAGACATATGAAAGACATATGCCCTGCTCACACTGTGAGATTTCAGCCATGATTTTGTCATCCGAGACAAATTTGGAAAATCCTAAAAGACTCCTGAAATCCTAGGCTAAAATCGGTGATCTTTGATCGTTGGTTTGACATGTTCACAGACAGCCTCTTAGTGCCCGTTGGATCAGATTTTTCCTCCCATGAAGTTCTGGCAATGTCAGAAGATTTCAGACACTTTCCTGCAGCATGACAACAGCTGCGATGAGCGTCAATCCAGGAACCAATAGCAGCTCAAAATTTGATGACGCAATTCACGCGACAATTCAAATGACCGAGGGGAAACGTCCAAACTGTTTTTTTTCTTCCTGGTTTTATAATTGAGACACGCTGTGTGCAAAATTGCTGCTACAGATTGTTTACGGTTGATGTGAAGAATCAATTCAAAACGCAGAAGAGTGAAAGTGTCACGGGTGGATGACGTCAAACTCTAGGGGCGCTTTCTTTCGTGTTTGGCGCGGTTTCATTGTCGTTCAGATCTTACAGTGTGAAATGGGAGCCATGTTCGTGCAGTCTGACATGCTACAATCGTTCAGGATTATAAGAAAATGTATTATAAAAAATGTATTAAAATAATAATTAATAAAAATGTAATTATGTTAAAAATTAAATAAAATTAAATTAAAAAATTCAATTAAATAATTAAATAAAATTAAATAAAGTTAAATAAAAATAAGTTAATTAATTAAATAAAATTAAATAAAATAAAATAATAAAATTTAATTTAATTTAATTTAATTAATTAAAAATAATAATTAATAAAAATTAAATTATGTTAAAAATTAACTTAAATTAAATTAAATTAAATTAAATCAAATTAAATTAAATTAAATTAAATTAAATTAAATTAAATTAAATTAAATTAAATTAAATTAAATTAAATTAAATGAATGAAGTGATGAAGTGGAGTCTTGGTTTGTTCTGCATTTCTGCCGTCAATATTGCCTGAATTGATGGGATTGTGAACGCTAAATAGCACAGACAGGTTTTAATTCATCACGTAATTCCTACTAGAAAGCAGCTCAGTTGTAATAGTTTTAATTTCCGGCATGATAATGATCCAAAACATTTTGCTAATGTAATGAAGTCTTATTTGGAGAGTCCAGACCTGAATATTATATACATTAGGCAATATTATAGGCAGTATGAGATTCACCTGGAGAGAAAAAGAAAGATGTAACATGCTAAATCTAAGTAAGAACTCTAAGAATTGCTGAAAGATGCTTGACATAATTCAAGAAAAGTTCAAGCTGTTGGTTGGTGCTAAAGAGGTCACGTTAAACACACTTTCGATGCTAGTCTTCCAAAAGTAAAGTTCCTACCGTTAACTGGAAGACGTCCATGAAGACAGAGTGGCCTTTCTGCGTTTTCTCGTTGATGCTGACCGGAGACCAAACCCAATACAAGTATGTGCCGTCAGAACACAGACGCAGCGTGGTCAGGCAGCTGCCCACTGGGAAATGATGAACGGGCATCGCTAACACCTGAGAAACCTTCATCACAGACACAACAGACGAGTGAGGAGATAATAATAGAAAACACTTGCGGTGCATATTTTGAAAGTGCAACAGTACGGATGATCGTCTGATATAAGGAGGTCGTACCTGCAGTGTGAACGGGTCGATGACGTGGCACAGCTGATGAGGTTTAGTGTCAAATGATGCAGGACGGTGGAGCAGAAATCCACTGCTGTGAGCCACCCAGCCCGCCTCCATCTCCTCATTACGACAGTACACAAAACCCCTGCGAGGAGGTCAAAAACACACAAGTTATAGGTTTTGAGTACAGTATTGACCTTATTCTTGACGTACGAGCGGGCACAGCCATTGGAATCTTTTTGCTTTTGCTTACGTCAATTCAACACACTATATTTTAATTACACTATCAATGCTGTAAAAGGAACCTTGTGAAATTCAAAATAGTCAACCTTTCACCGGAAGTTTATCAGTGGCTGGAAAACTAGCCGTGCATATAGCCCTTTAATATTTTTTGGATGAACGAACCCTTTAACTCACAGGTATGTCAAAATTAGGGAGGGTGCTCGCTGCAGAGCCATTTGAGGAGAGGTGAGCTCCAGAGAGGGGGAGCATGAGCTGTCGCTCCTCCTCCTGTAAGCTGTTTTAATGCGTACACCAACCCCACCCCTAACCCTACCCCCAGTGACATCACTCGTAGAAGAAGTGCAAAAAAGGTGGAGCTCAAGCTTAAGCTCCCCCTCTCTGGAGCTCACCTCTCCTCAAATGGCTCTGCAGCGAGCACCACTTGAAATTAGGCCCACGCAAACTTAGATGTATGGATGGATGGATATGATGATGAATGAATGAATCGTTGAATGAATGAATGGATATGATGACAAATGAATGAATGAATGAATGAATAATTTTGATGACATGAATGAATAATTGAATGAATGAATGAATGAATGAATGAATGAATGAATGAATGAATGAATGAATGAATGAATGAATGAATGAATGAATATGATGATGAATCAATGAATGAGTGAATAGATAGATATGATCAAAGAAATTAAGGAACAGATGAACGAACGGATATATATTTGTATGATTGTATGATAAATGTATGAATGAATTCGGAGATATGATGACAAATGAATGAATGAATGAATGAATGAATAGATAGATAGATAGATAGATAGATAGATAGATAGATAGATAGATAGATAGATAGATAGATAGATAGATAGATAGATAGATAGATAGATAGATATAAAGAAAAATGAATGAATGAATGAATGAATGAATGAATGAATGAATGAATGAATGAATAGATATATAGATAATATGATGACAAATGAATGAATGGATAGATATGAAGACAAATGAAAGAATGGATAAATGATTAGACCTTTGACGACGAATGAATGAATAGATAGATATCATGACAAATAAATGAATGAATGGATGAATGAATGAATACATAACAGATAGATATGACAAATGAATGACTGAATGAACAAATGAATAGATAGATATGACAAATTAGTGAATAAATGGATGGATAGATATGATGACAATTAAATGAATGAATGAATGAATGAATATGATGACAAATGAATAAATTAATGGATGGATAGATATGATGACAAATTAATAAATGGATGTATAATTAGATATATGACGAGATATATAGATAGATATCATGACAATTGAATGATTGATTAAAGAGATGAATGGATGGATGGATATGATGACAAATGAATGTATGGATAAATGATTAGATATATGAAAAGATATATAGATAGATATCAAGACAATTGAATGACTGAATAAATAGATGAATGGATGGATGGGTATGATGACAAATGAATGAATGAATGAATGATTAGATATATGAAAAGATATATAGATAGATATCAAGACAATTGAATGACTGAATAAATAGATGAATGGATGGATGGGTATGATGACAAATGAATGAATGAATGAATGAATGAATGAATGAATGAATGAATGAATGAATGAATGAATGAATGAATGGACAGATATTATGTCAAATGAATTAATGAATGATAGGTAGGTAGGCAGGCAGGCAGATAGATAGATAGATAGATAGATAGATAGATAGATAGATAGATAGATAGATAGATAGATAGATAGATAGATAGATAGATAGATAGATAGATAGATAGATAGATAGATAGATAGATAGATAGATAGATAGGAAAGAAGAAGTGCAAGTTGACAACCTTTAACACAGCAATGAAACAAAGTTCACAGCAAAAAGTCACAGAGTCCACACGTCTAACAAACGTAGTTGCTCACAGAGCAGAAATGAGAAAAGCAGCAGAACAAAGCAGGAGCTGTAGAAAGAGCACAATAGCGGCCTGGAGGTCACTGGCACAAACAGGAGAGCAGGAGGTGAAGGGCTGTGTGGGCTTTTAGAGTTACCTCAGCGTCCCGTGCTGCCCGGAGCCCAGCTTGCTCAAACCCTTCCCAAAAGAGCTCGTGGTGTAGAGATAGAATCCATCTGTGGCCAGGCTGCGGCCCAGATCTGTGTCTGAGACAGGCAAAACACACAGGGGGAAATCATGGCGACATCGTACATTCTCAAATTCCTTTAGCTTTCAGTTCGAACGACTTTGGGTTTCATTTTTAATTTCTTGATCAATTAATAAATCACACATAATGCTGAATAAGATATTTGAATTCACTTTTGTTTTTAAATTAACATTGTACAATTATTTTTGTCATTTCTTCAAACTAATTTTTTAGTGTGGTTTATTCATAAACTAATTTCGAGAGGTGCTTATGATCAACACGGCTAGCTCATTATTAGCTCCGTAATCTGCCCTATTAGATGATTATGGAAGTATAAAAATAATCTGAGTTTTTCACTCCAGTTATCTTCATCTTGAAGCTCTCCCCCTTTCCACCCCTACATCCTCCCCCTTTTCTGATAGGGCGACACGGTGGCCCAGTGGCTAGCACTGTTGCCTCACAGCAAGAACACCGCTGGTCCAACCTATCGGGCCGGTTGGTGTTTCTGTGCGGAGTTTACATGTTCTCCACGTGTTGGCGTGGGTTTCCCCCGGGTTCCCCGGTTTCCTCCCACTGTCCAAAAACACAAAGCATAGCAAATCGACTAAAACAAATCATCACCCAATACAACCTTAGTTTACACTTCTCACGGCGACAAGCAGGGGAGTTCTCGAGACCTACCTGAGCTCAAACTCCCCTCTCGCCCTTCTAATCTCTCCTGGGACAGCAGGCCAAATACGCTTTATTGCTTATCAGCTATGTGTGTTTATCGAGACATTTTTCTGCATTCAAACCCAGGTCATTTTCATCAGCGCTGAGCAGAGTGAACACGCAAAATCACCCCCTGACATGGCACTTAATGAACTTTATGAAAGAAAAGTGAAATTCATCTGGCCTCGGTGCATCAGCTTCTTCATTGAATGAAAGTGAAACTGGAATCACCTCGACTAGGGCTGTGCAATTAATCGAAAATCCGATTTCGATTTTGGCTTCAAACGATTATGAAAAACCCAACCCGGGCTCATTGTGGAAACGTAGCCCCGCGGACGTTTCTGCGGACCGCGATTTACGTCCCGGGAGGTACGTATTCGAGCGGTTTTTTGTTTTCGCGGATCCGCGAGAGGCCGCTGTGCGCGCTTTTTCGCGTCTCAGGCGGGCGCCTCTCGGGAGCCATTTTCGCACGAAAAGAAAAAAAAAAAAAAAAAAAAAGCAAAAGCCCTCATCTTCGATTTCGACCGCGCTTTCGGATTCCGCCGCGTTCTCGCCCTTATTTTCTGGATTCCGTTTTTTGTTTTACCTGATTTCCGGAACCCGCCGTTCCCCGGACTCGATCCCGGTCGTCGTCCACCGCGGCCGGCTCCGGCTCCTCCTCCTTCTCCGGGGCCTCCTCTCCGCCGACGCAACGCTGTGAGCTAGGCGGACAAACTGATTGCATGGGGAAAGCCCTCCACTCGGAGGCAATCCGTCGGCCGGCGAGCGTGAAGAGGAGGGGCGGAGCGGCGCCACACCAACCCGGAGCGTTCGCTCGAAAAAAAACAAAACCGGCCTTTACGTACCTCCGGCCACGTAAATCTCGGTCTCCAGAAACGTCCGCGGGGCTACGTTTCCAGAATGAGCTTGGGTTGAATAATTTTGACTTCAACAGTAATTGTTTTGAATAATCGTGATTACAATTATGACCAAAATAATCGTGATTATGATTTTTCTCAAAATCGAGCAGCCCTAACCTCCACTATTTTGCACTTTGTAACAGCGGCCCTACCTTAACCACAAGTGGGTTATATTTTACATTTTGTTCGGGTGCCAGAGAAAATAATAATATTGAGTGTCCAGAAAAGCGCTATATAAATATAAGGAATTATTATTATTAACTAATGGACCAATTTAAACTGTTACCTTGTATCAAACTGGTCATCATATTATATACGGATTCCATTAAATACAATGTAACCAATGTTACGTGTCATTCCTCATGTGCTCACCTTTACTGTCGGCTCCTGCGGCGCTGCTCTCTGGTGTGGGCAGCATGTCCTCAAAGCCCCACGACACAATATGTTTCCCCCCCAGCAGACATGAGGGCGAACCTGGACCTCCTTCAAGAAGCAGCAGTCTGGAGTACAGTGAAGAAAAACTCTCTTACTCAAAAGATTCAATCTTGATGATCCTGCATGCATGTCTCAGAATTAATTGATGTTTGAAGAGTTTAAAAAGCATTGCCGGTGTGTGTTCAACAGATTTTAACAATAAATTAGTTACATAATTGCTCATTTTAATTCTATATCAGTATCCGAGTCTATCTGCAGGGCAATTATGGCTGTGCAATACATATAAAAGTCAGAACTATTCACCCTCCTGTGTTTTTTCCCCCTATTTCTGTTTAACGACGATTTCTTCAACACATTTCTGCACATAATAGTTTTAATAACTCATTTCTAATACTGATTTATTTTCTCTTTGTCATGATGACAGCACATAATATTAGACTGGATATTCTTCAAGACACTAGTATTCAGATTAAAGTGACATTTAAAGGCTTAACTAGGGTGATTAGGGTAAAGTTAGGGTAATTAGGTCAGTCATTGTATAACAGTGGTTTGTTCTGGAGACAATCCAAAACTAATATTGCTTAAGGGGGCTAATAATATTGACCTTAAAATGCTTTTAAAAAATTTACGAACTGCTTTTATTCTAGCTGAAATAAAACAAATGAGACTTTCTCCAGAAGAAAAAACATTATAGGAATTACTGTGAAAATGTCATTGCTCTGTTCAACATTATTTGGGAAATATTTGAAAAAGAATTGACAGAAGGGCCAATAATTTTAACTTCAACTGTATATGCTTGATATAAAACGTCTATTGTTTCATTATGTTCCCCATTAATGCTCCAACGGGACCAACGTTTATTTCATAGTGTCAAAAAATATATTGTTGTCATTAGGGTTGGGCCGATAGACGATGCCATCATCCATTGCCGATGGCCAATAGACAAACTCAATTCCTGGAAGGCCGCAGCCCTGCACAGTTTAGTTCCAACCCTGCTCCAACATACCTTACCTGTAGGTTTCAAACAAGCCTGAGGGACTCGATTAGTCTGATCAGGTGTGTTTAATTAGGATTGGAATCCCTGATCTAAATCGTAAAAAGCGCTATAGAAATAAAGTTGAATTGAACTGAATGTCTTCAAATTGTCCCATCTCACCGATAGAGAACATCAGCCACAGGAAGCTGACCCAGGTCTGTTTGTTTCTGCAGCAGGTGGACCGTGTGGATGAAGGTTTTGAGGGAGCCCCTGAAAACACACACAGTGGAATTTAGCGATTGAAAAACATCAAAAGAGAAACTCAGACGAATCATGCAACAACACATTTTAGTACAAGGTGTAAAGTGCAATTAGTCTCTGACATCTAGTGAGTGACTGGATCGATAGATTAGTTAACAGAGGCCAAGACACATTAAAAGTACCATTCCCAGATGATTATTCACAGTACATGACTATTTTAGGTCTTCATTAGATTCTGTTAATAGGTCTAAATATACTCTATCAATACTGTACGGCAGAGGACTCAAACTGCTTTCTGCTTTCTGGAGACCGCAAAATCCGCAACCAAAGGTCATTCTAAAAACGTAGCCCTGCGGACGTTTCTAGAGACCGCGATTTACGTGGCCGGAGGTGCATATGGCTGCATTTTGTTTTTTCAAGCGAACGCTACGGGACGGTGTGACGCCGCTCCTCTTTGCGCTCGCCAGCTGACGGCTCACCTCCTCAGTGTGGAGGGCTTTCCCGCCGCAACCAGTTTGTCCGGTTAGCTCGTTGTATTACGTCGGCGGAGCTAAGGCCCGGAGGAGGAGGAGCCGGCCAGGTACAAGTCTGGAGAAGTGCGGTTCCAGAAATCAGGTAGGACAAAAAACAGAATACAAAAAATAAAGCGAACAAGTTCATAACGGGGCGAGAATGCGGTGAAATCTGAAAACGAGGGCTTTTCTTTTTCTGGACGGCTTTTGTAAATCGTCGCTTGGGTTTAGGGAAGAAGGAGGAGGAGGAGGGTGGCTGTGTCGCCCGATTGGCCGGCCGCCCAGTCAATCGTTCAGTCATTCATTTAGTCAGTTAGTCGGTCACACAGACGGTCGCTCGACAGCAGCCTCCGGCGGCTTTTTACGCGAGAACAGCGCGGGCGCGCACAGCGGCCTCTCTCGGATACGCGAAAACAAAAACTGCACAAATACATTCCCGGGTGGTACGCATTTGTGTAGTTTTTGTTTTCGCGATTCCGCGAGAGGCTGCTGTGAGTGCTTTTTTCGCATGTGGAACGTCTCTCGCGAGCGCTGTTCTCACATAAACCCACAAGAGGCTGCAGTCGAACGACTGTCCGTCCGACTGGCTGAATGATTGACTGTGCGACCGGCCAATCGGCCGACCCACCCTCCTCCTCCTTCCCTAAACTCAAGCAGTTTTACCGATTGACCTGCCCCCCGCTTACTTCCCTAAAACCCAACCAACAATTTACAAAAAAAAAAGCCGTCATGAAAAACAAAAGCCCTCGTCTGATATTGACAAAGTTTTCGGATTTGACCACATGCTCAGCCTGTTGTTCACTTGTTAACTTTATTTTTTGGATTCTGTTTTTGTCTTACACGATTTCTGGAACCAATCCTCCCCGGACTCGAACCCGGTCGTCGTCGTTAGCTCCTCTCTGCATCATCAAGTCCGCCAACGTACACGACGAGCTAACCGGACACACTGGTTGCGGCGGGAAAGCTCTCCACATGGAGGTAAGCGATCAGCTGGCAAGCACGGAAGGGAACAGCGTCACACCGCCACATAGTGTTCGCTTAAAAAATGAAATGCAGCCAAACGTATTTCAGGCCATGTAATACGCGGTCTCCAGAAACGTCCGCGGGACTACGTTTCCAGAATGAGCCTGGGTTGACATATTTTGAACCACTATCTATTCAAATCTGATATGCACTTTGGAGGACTGATTCAAAGCAAAATCTTCATAAAGGTTTCAAAGTGCTTCGAAAGCAGCCATTACTAGACAACACATGAAATGCAGTTTTTATATACAGCCAAAACACGACACCGTAAAAATAACAAAGAACCGTGATCGACATAAGCTAGAATAAAGCTCTTCTGACAAACAGTCCCATGCCAAAGGGAAGAACAGAATCTGTGGTTTGTCCTCCATTGTTGTTTACAGGATTGTTCGCATAAATGTCTAAAGCGTTAGTAAAGTGCGAAGTTTGCTACGCCCACTTGTTGATTGTCTTCATTTGCAATAACGAACCACCCAAAGACGTAATATGTGAACAGCCTATTTGGATATCTTCTTCAAGCAAGAATGGCGTTGATTGCAAATTTGTCATACAAAACACCTACTAAGAATACTATTAGCAATGTCAATGCAAGTCTAATTAATTAGTTCAGCTTTAATTACAATAAAAAAATGAATATCCGATATTCAGCACTCACCTTGCACATGCCAGAGCCACTAGCGCCGCAGCTGCGTTCTGTCTCTGCTGTTGGGTGAGCAGTGGCCTCATTGGTGCCGAACCCTCCGTCTCCTCCAACCAGGAGCACAGCAACCTCTCCAGGCCATTAAGACAGTCGGCGGGCTCCTTCCCCAGGCTGAGTGGCTGGCAGTCCCGCAGACATGCGAGCAACACCTCCGCTGTGACGCCGCACAGCGCAGGGTCGTGCCGAGTTTGCGACTGCAGCAGTGGGAAAACCAACAGCAGGCCCACACGGGAGGTGAATGGTGCCTGCTCTGAGCCGCTGGCCATCGGAGGGTGGTGTGGATGGTGGTGGTGTTGGGGTTGCAGTAAACCCTGTCGTTTGAGTAGGGCCAGTGTCTCCTCGTCGGACCCTCCGCCGCTGGCTGACACAACCCCGTCATGATCCTGCTGCTCCTCCAGGGCCAGCTGACGCTGCGCCCCCCACAGGCCACGCAGTGCATTCAGACGATACTCCAAAAGGCGTGCATAAGCGTTGCTCTGGTTTCCACAGACGGCTCGGAGACGCTCGGCTAGCTCCACTGGATTCTTGGTCTCAAACGTCAAGATCTGCAAACAAAACAAAATTGTCAAAATCTATGCAACATCCCATAGATCTGGAGCCTCATGTATCAATGCTGCATATGCCAGGTTTCACACTCATGTTTGGATTTACAAACGATGGAATTAACGTGAGAATGTGCGTTGGTCCGCGCCCACTTAATGACTGGCGTACTTGTATTTCTTGTGTGTGTTTGTTTTATTTCCATTGGCGACTCCTAGTCGTAAAATGTAACTATACGTCGCACCGACGTGTAGCGCAAGCTCTGTGATTGGTCGGCTTGGTAGCGCTGATAAGTCTGGGAGGCACCAAGAGCCATGCGAGCGGCGCGAGCCCGATGGAGCGATTGTTTACAAGTGTGGAGTCCCGTGAAGGAGCTCCAGGTGGAAAGTTTTGTTTTGTGTTTACCTCATAGTTAAAGTTGTTGCACATCCGCCGGTTGCTGACTCAAAATGAGCGAGTTTGAGCCACTTGTACATTTAGGAAGCGTTCAGAAAAAACTAAATACCAGCGAAGAAACTCGACACAGTGGAACATAAACACCTTACTGCCAACTAGCGTTTCGGAAGTGGTAATGCAGACCAACAGAGACAGCGCGCAGAAGAATGCACGGCTCAGCGCGTTGTATGTGCCAGTGGTTACGCCGGTCACTTGACGCAGAAGGCGCAAATGCCTTGTTGATGCCAGAGGTCAGAGGAGAATGGCCAGACTGGTTCCAGTCTCTCGTTACAACTGAGGTCTGCAGACGAGTATTTCTGAACACGTCCAACCTTGAGGCGGATGGGCTACAGCAGCAGAAGACCACACTGAGTGCCACTCCTGGGTGCAACTGCGTGATAATATCATGTCAATATGAGCCAAAATCTTTGAAGAATATTTCCAGTATCTTGTTGAATTTATGCCACTAGGAGCTAAGGCAGTTCTGAAGGGAAAAGTGGGTCCAACCCGGTACTAGTAAGGTGTACCAAGTAAAGTGGCCAGTAAAGCCTGGTTTATACTTCTGCATCAAGTGACTGGCGTAACCAACGGCGCATGCAACGCGCTTAGCTGTGCATTTATACTTCTACGTCACTGTTGGTCTGCAATAACACTTCCAAAACACTAGTTGGCAGTGAGGTGTAAATGTGTCTCTGTGTCGAGTTTCTTCGCTGCTGTTTTGTTCTTTCTGAACGCTTCCGGGATGTACAAGTGGCTTAAACTCGCTCATTTTGAGGCAGGAACCGGCGGACATGCAACAACTTTAACTATGAGGTAAACACAATACAAAACTTTCTTCTTCACGGGACTCCACACTTTCGAAACAATCGCTCCATCGTGCTCGCGCGGCTCTTGGTCCCGCCCAGACTCATCAGCGCTACCAAGTCGACCAATCACAGAGCTTGCGCTACGCGTTGTTGCGACCTGTAGTTACATTTTTTAAGAGGTGCACGTCAGTGACGCCGACTGCCACGGCGTAGTACTATGTGTCAATGCGTAGGCTGCTCCGTAGCATACGCGTGCGCTTGACGCAGAAGTATAAATCAGCCTTAAGTGTAGGTGTTTGTCTGTCACACTGCTTTTTGACTGTTCAGTGCCATCTTGTGGCTAAATATAATTGTAGGTTAGTGTATGCTCCACTCAGCCATTTCCACTTTCTGTCAGCTTCATGTTTAAAGAATTAATAAAATATTATTGTTATAAATATGGATGCTGTGGATTAAAGGTTAAAAGTTTCTTGCAAAAACTGTTTCAATTTATAAGACCTGAATGTACAGGAAGGAGTAATGAGGTTTTTTTGTGTGATTCCCAAAGTGCTGATAGTTGTTAACTTATAATAACGAGTCACCAAGTACCACAGTTTCAGCTAAAATTATTGTCCAATGTTCTGCTAAAGCTATTAGTCCTCAACATATTTGATAATCTGAGAGGAATAGACTAACAGCGAATTTTAATTTTGTTGTGAATTATCCGTTTAAGGATTCTAGAACCTTAAGTACACGAGACATGCTTAATTTCAAGAGATATCACTGACAGCAATGAGTCAGATGTTTGTACTGTTACTGAATAAAACTCTGACTCATTACCTTCAGTAAAGTGCACTGCAAAATAGCATTCCTCCCCTTACAAGCCTACAACAAAAGCAACCAATTTAGTCTGATTCACAAAATAACTTTCAACAGGGGCAGTAAAACATCCTAAAAATCGCAATTACTTTCCAGTAAGTTCTACACACTCATCTCAAATCTGTTTGTCCACCTTAGATTGCAAGATTCACTGTAGTGAAAAGTTCATCCTTTTGAGATTTACCTTTTAAAAACCTATAAATGCAGGGAATTGATGGATGGATGGATGGATGGATGGATGGATGGATGGATGGATGGATGGATGGATGGATGGATGGATGGATGGATGGATGGATGGATGGATGGATGGATGGATGGATGGATAGATAGATAGATAGATAGATAGATAGATAGATAGATAGATAGATAGATAGATAGATAGATAGATAGATAGATAGATAGATAGAAATCTGGGGGTCAGGAAGATGTGATCAAAATAAAGACATGCAACAGACTGGAAGTGCACGATGACAGTTGTGTGGAAAATAGTGCAACAGCAAGACGGCAAAAACAAGAGGAAAAACAAGCAGATGGATCTAAAGTAAGAGAAGAGGGTTTGGGGTTAATTATCTGATGCATATGCACTGCATTAGGAGTGGTTTGTAGTTTTTGTTCCACTATATGAAGAGTTTAGATGCAAAAACCTCTAAAAGCCATCTGATATTTTCTTCTAAAATTAGGATTTTTCTCCGACTCCTCTGTGTAGGCTCAGTAATTTTACTTTTATAGTGATGAATAAGTTATTTACATTGCCTTTAAAGTGAAATAACTGAACACAAACATAGGAGGCTGACAAAAAATGGTCATTTTAGGAGAACATTTCAGATGACATTTAGAGGATTTTGCATCAACTCTTCATATATAAAACATATAATAAACAAAGCAAACTCTGATATAACTTTCAAGTATGAAACACACACACACACACATAAATAAACATATACATTTTTTAAAAATGTGGGTTTCTTGTATGAGTATAATCTAAATTGGGGGGCTGTGTCATCTGAGAGATTGAAACCCCTTGTGGTTAAGTGCATAGTGCTCATGTATCGTTACATCTAGTGTCTCAAATTACACACCTTCTCCAATATATATGATAAGACACACACACACACACACACACACACACACACACACTGATATTTCGTTTGATAATATATGTCCAAATAAATCCGTCAGAGATAGTAGACCATCCTGCTAGCCCTAGTAAGCTCGTTTCTAACCTCATTTGGGACAGACTAATTCTAATCTCGGAGACTATTTAGGGTGGATATTTTGCGAATTGTGACGAAGAGATAGTGAGTAGCCTAACAACGCCCTTTAGCCGTTTCTAAACGGCTGTAATCGCACTTTAACACGTCAATTCGTATTTTATGATTTAATAAGTCACGTATAATATAAAATGACATTCTGTGGCGAAGACAAGATCTGCCTTTGAGCATTTAGCCTACTGTAATAGCATCTAACATCAAATGCTGAAGGAAATCATTATAATACTAAACTAAATGTCGTTTTTATAGCAGTAGCTGTTTTTAGTAAACACTCTTTACGTTTTTATATTGGATTAAAGCGTATGCTTTTGAACGTAGGTCATTTCCACCTTAAATTGTAACATGAGTCCTACAGACAGGTCAATATCTGCCTGCTGCCACACGCCACAACTCCTCCTACTAACGTTAGCCTGCCTGTCAATGCTAAGCTAACACGACAAAGATTATATCTGTCATTAAATATGAATCAAAAATGTGCCATAACAACCTCAGCGCAGATTTAGTAAGCTTCCCAAACATCAACGCCAACCTTTTAGCCGTTTACATCTAACATTAGCGCTATATTTGTAACATAACATTTGACACTGCTCATATAACGGGCTTCCTAGCATGTTTACATGAACTAACATCAATAGAATAACACCACAAATGACTTAAAACAATCACATGCTACATACCGCTTAAGAAAAACAACAACATGTTAATAATATGGTTATTACTGTTAGCATGCTAGCATGTTTTGGCCGAACGTATCGAGCCGAGTTTGATAACTTTCAGTGTTAAGCTAATTAAGTTAACACCTAAATGAAACATAGAATATAATCTACATAAGATGTACATAGTATGTGCCAACCTCCTGCTCGGATTCAGCTTGTTCAGACACGCCGATTTCGCTGGGCAGCTCAGCCAGGTCCGTGACCCGAATTAGTCCATCGTGAAGGAAAATAGTCTCTTCCTTCACTGACAGCCACTGGGAAGAATCCACAGCACCTGAGCCCATCTCTTTCTCCTCCGAGGGATAAAGGCAAAGTGGTCAAACATCAAATTGAGAGTAAAATGGGATGTTTTTGAGCTCGAGATGCTCCAGCATCATCAGCGGGGCGCAGATGCTCGACACCCGGGCGGAGGCCTCACAAACGCGGCAGATCGATCCTCCAGCCTCCGGCTTAACGCACACTCACTCTCCGGTGGTGTTTTTTTCCTTTTTTTCCCCCAAAGGTGGGCGTGACACAGGCGCAAACCTCGCTATTTACAAACTTGACACAATTGCGCAGGTCTTGAATTGATATTCGCGTGTGACTAATTCGCGATCGCGCTGACTGCGAGGGATTTATCGAGCGATTTATTCAGTCTATAAAGCTGCTCCAGCTGTCAGTCAGGCGCCATGCTGAACCACTGCAGCACTGGATTTCACAATCAACCATTTATAATGAACTGCTATTGATATTTATTGCTATTTTTACATATAATTAGGTAATTTGGATGTTTTGGATATAAGTTTATGTTTTTAGAGTACAGTAGTTTGTAGTAAGTACTATATAGTGTTTTTATATACTATAGTAAAGTGTATTATACTGTATGTATTATAGTATTCACGACTTTTAATAATAAATGCTACACCATTCTGTTTTGTAGTAGTATAGGGAAGGGTATATTTTTGTAGAAAACTCTATTGGTCATTTGTTTATACTGTATTACTGTACTTTACATAACTACAATTACAAGTACTTTACCCTAGTATGGATAAAACAATTACTATTAATTACTATAGTATTTCTCCATGTGGGGTGTGTGTAAAGCCCACAAAATACTACACTAAGTGTAGCACATACTGTACATATCTTTATACCTCAAGGTGTACTTTTTACATGCATGCTAGGTTGTGTACAGTGAACACAAAGCATACTCAGTTCTGTTTGTTTGTCTGTTAAATACCTGCAAGAAAAATTACTATAGTAATTTATAGTAAATATTATAATTCAGTGTATTATACTGCATATATTGTTGACAACACTTGCTACAATAAACATTACATCTAATGCTGCAGTATACTGTATTAACTATAGTGAACTGACTAACTGTAATAAATACTGTAGTATAATTTAGTTTTACTATGGTAAACTGTGGTGTATTGTAATATACCATAGTGCTTTATTTCAAAAATACTACAGAAAAGTGCATTATACTGAATGTGCGCTGACTGCAAGTTATTTATTGAGCGATTTATTCAGTCTATAAAGCTGCTCCAGCTGTCAGTCAGGCGCCATGCTGAACCACTGCAGCACTGGATTTCACAATCAGCCATTTATAATGAACTGCTATTGATATTTATTGTTATTTTTACATATAGGTAGGTAATTTGGATGTTTTGGATAGAAGTTTATATTTTTAGAGTACAGTAGTTTATAGTAAGTACTATATAGTGTTTTTATATACTATAGTAAAGTGTATTATACTGTATGTATTATAGTATTCACTGCTTTTAATAATAAATGCTACACCATACTGTTTTGTAGTAGTATAGGGTGGGGTATATTTTTGTAGAAAACTCTATTGGTCATTTGTTTATACTGTATTACTGTACTTTGCATAACTACAATTACAAGTACTTTACCCTAGTATGGATAAAACAATTACTATTAATTACTATAGTATTTCTCCATGTGGGGTGTGTAAAGCCCACAAAATACTACACTAAGTGTAGCACATACTGTACATATCTGTATACCTCAAGGTGTACTTTTTACATGCATGCTAGGTTGTGTACAGTGAGCATTAAGCATTCTCAGTTTTGTTTGTTTGTCTGTTGAATACCAGCAAGAAAAATTACTATAGTAATTTATAGTAAATATTATAATACAGTGTATTATACTGCATATACTGTTGACAACACTTGCTACAATAAACATTACATCTAATGCTGCAGTATACTGTATTAACTATAGTGAACTGACTAACTGTAATAAATACTGTAGTATAATTTAGTTTCACTATGGTAAACTGTGGTGTATGTATTGTAATATAATATAGTGCTTTATTTCAAATATACCACAGAAAAGTGCTTTATACTGAATGTGCGCTGACTGCGAGGGATTTATCGAGCGATTTATTCAGTCTATAAAGCTGCTCCAGCTGTCAGTCAGGCGCCATGCTGAACCACTGCAGCACTGGATTTCACAATCAACCATTTATAATGAACTGCTATTGATATTTATTGCTATTTTTACATATAGGTAGGTAATTTGGATGTTTCGGATAGAAGTTTATATTTTTAGAGTACAGTAGTTTGTAGTAAGTACTATATAGTGTTTTTATATACTATAGTAAAGTGTATTATACTGTATGTATTATAGTATTCACGACTTTTAATAATAAATGTTACACCATTCTGTTTTGTAGTAGTATAGGGTAGGGTATATTTTTGTAGAAAACTCTAGTGGTCATTTGTTTATACTGTATTACTGTACTTTACATAACTACAATTACAAGTACTTTACCCTAGTATGGATAAAACAATTACTATTAATTACTATAGTATTTCTCCATGTGAGGTGTGTGTAAAGCCCACAAAATACTACACTAAGTGTAGCACATACTGTACATATCTGTATACCTCAAGGTGTACTTTTTACATGCATGCTAGGTTGTGCAATGAACACAAAGCATATTCAGTTTTGTTTGTTTGTTTCAAACATACCCGCAAGAAAAATTACTATAGTAATTTATAGTAAATATTATAATACAGTGTATTATACAGCATATATTGTTGACAACACTTGCTACAATAAACATTACATCTAATGCTGCAGTATACTGAATTAACTATAGTGAACTGACTAACTGTAATAAATACTGTAGTATAATTTAGTTTTACTATGGTAAACTGTGATGTATTGTAATATACTATAGTTACCACTATAAATATTCAGTCTAATCACATGAAAGTATGATTTCAAAACAACATTGGCACTATGTAATTGTGAATAATGCACTGAAAAAATATTCAAAGATGATTACTTGCAATTACAATTTTTTTTTAAGCTATAAGAGTTTGTAAGCAATTTATTTGGGCTGAATTTAAACAAACAAATTAAGTTGAACATTACTGAATTTACTAGTTTGTTTGTTTAAATTCAACCCATATAAACTGTCGCCAGACATATTTTTTTCAGTATACTTTGAGTCATTGGCTGCTAATATACACTGTAAAAAGTGATTAGTTATTTAAAGCGAGTAAACCAATTGCCTTAAAAGAAGCAAGTTCACTTTACGAAAATAATGTAAGTAAATTCATTGTAACTTGGAACTCTTAAGTTGACTTAATTATGCAAATTGTATTCACTCTTAAACAATAAAAATAAACTGATCACTTTTTCCAGTACACCTTTATTATATTAGTTGTTTTCCAGCTTTTCTGTATCTGGCAAAATGACAGTGATTAAATCAAATCTGCTCTTCCAGACTCCAGTGTGTCTTCTAAATTCAATACAAGCTATAATTGTAGATTTTATCGACTCAATAAAGCACCAAATATGTAATATGTAATAATTACTGTATTTATTTGAACTTGTTATTATTTGACGTGCTAAAATAATCTGGCACGGTAAAAAAGAATTAGTTGACTTTAAAAATCTGAGTAAAATTTGCATAACTATAAAGTCAACTTAACAATTCCAAGTTACAATGAGTTTACTTACATTATCTTTGTAAAGTCAGCCTGTTACTTTTAAGGCAATTGGTTTACTCACTTTAGTTAACTAATGACTTTTGGCAGTGTAATTTCCCTATTAGAAGTTTACCCCAAACACTAAGCACAACACAAATAAACCTGAAAGATTCCTCTTGTTTTTTGGGGTGGGATTGGAATGACAGAAATGATATTTGTGACTGAACTAACCCTTTAAAAGCTTTAAACCTTAAAAAAACCTGTTTTTCAAAGATCGATTTTAAGATTTCACAAGCTCATTCTCCAGCAGTAAAGCAATGAAGCAGATCTCTGAACACAGTTCTGCTGTCCTTCAGAAACCCATCTGGCAAGCGCTTCAAATGAACCGCTCTATGAGTAATACCTAGCATACCACAGTAAATTACAGACACTCTTATATCCTGACACCTCAGGCGAGGATTATTCCTGTAGTGGGCTCGTTTAAACCAAATATCTGTCAGACAGCATATCACAAGTATCCAATGCTAACACAGAAGGGAATTGCTTCAAGGGTGTTAAATGTTACCTGGATTGGACCTTTAGGAGAACTGTCTGGCTTGTTTTATGAGCGTCTGTTAACCCCTTAACTGCCAGCCACACTGCAGCACAGACATGAAAACTACATCAACTTAAACTTAACCACTTTTATAAGAGGTTTAAACACAGTTGTGTGTCAGCAGTGTGTGAATATAACCAGCCTCTAATGTTAAACATGAACTTGTTGAAGTTTTTTTTAATCAGACATGATGAAAACAGTCAGAAACACTGATTGACATTCTCTCTTTGTATGTGTCATCAGAGGGGGAAAGCCCCGCCCACTCTTCCTCATTAGCATAAACAGCCCTGAGTGAGAAGCAGCCGTTAGAGTTTTGAGCTGCTGAAGATTATGTCAGCGACTAACCGGATTATTTCAGCCTGATCTCACGAGGAAACGTAAGTATTTTACGTTTTGCCAGTTTAGTGGCTAATTCGTACAAGTTCAGTTGTACGAAATTGTATGATTTTAAAAAGGAGGCGTGGCACCTAACCCCACCCCTAAACCCAACCGTCACTGGGGGATGAGCAAATCATACTAAAATGTACGAATTAGATTGTACAAATTCGTCACTACATTAAAAAGTTACGAATTGCCATGAGATTGTGTTGGATTATTTAGATGACCAGCGACAGGAGTTTCCATACACTGACACATTCTGAGACACTTCATATATTCACACAGATAACATTAGTCCTGTTTTGAGTCTGCCACTATGCTGACACACCTGCATTAGTAGCTCCGCCCTCTTTTGAAAAGTGCGCAATCTCATTTGAATTTAAAGCGACAGACGGCAAACGCCACAATTACGATCAAAGCCTAAAAGGGGCAGTTTCAGAGAGTTAAACATTATCTGAAACTTCACACACACACACACACACTAGGAACATCAGAGACTTGAGCTGCGTCCCAAATGGCACACTATGCACTCATGCACTATGTACTTATGCACTTACACACTCAACAGGATAGTACATGTATGTAGTGTCATCCCAAATGGAACACTAATGTTTTTTTACTAAGCGGAAATTCAACCCGTTTCCCTGATGACGTTTGACGGTCGCCAAATCAGTGAAATAAACGACCGAATTATTAAATAATACCTGAGTATATTGGTGAGTATAACTGCATTCACCATCAGGAAGTGCTATAACCACTCTCGTAGGAGAATTTTGCTTTCACCATCCACAATAAATAATCCAACATGTGCGCCCGATAGCTCCGCCTCTTCCTCTATGTAAGCAAACCTGTGGTTGTTGAGTGCGTGAAGTGTCCATCATTACACACTTCATTTTACCGGCAGAATGAGTGCATTATCCGGGTAATTAAAGTGCACTTATTATTATTAGAGTTTTCAGTGTGAACACACTACTTACACTATTTATACTACAAAAGGGCATAGAATAGTGCATAAGTATTTGGAACGCAGCTTAGGTTAACATCTTGTAAAAAGGGGCATAATAAGTGCCTAATATAATAATAATAATAATAATAATAATAATAATAGATAATAATATATCCATTTTTTATTTATATGTGCCTAATATAATAATAATGATAATAACAATAATAATAGATGATAACATATCCATTTTTATTTATATGTGCCTAATATAATAATAATAATAATAATAACAATAATAATAGATGATAACATATCCATTTTTATTTATATGTGCCTAATATAATAATAATAATAACAATAATAATAGATGATAACATATCCATTTTTATTTATATGTGCCTAATATAATAATAATAATAATAATAATAATAATAATAATAGATAATAATATATCCATTTTTTATTTATATGTGCCTAATATAATAATAATAATAATAATAATAGATGATAATATATCCATTTTTATTTATATGTGCCTAATATAATAATAATAGATGATAATATATCCATTTTTATTTATATGTGCCTAATATAATAATAATATTAACAATAATAATAATAATAATAATAGATAATATATCCATTTTTATTTATATGTGCCTTTTACATCATAAACGAGAACAGCCTCTTTGAAAGTGCTGAAAATATTTTTAGGCATTTCTCAGTGAGAAATGTAGACATTATAAACAATACAGTTTGGTTCCTTTAAGCAAAACGGCTTTATTGAACAATTATATTCATAAAAATAAGAGTTTGGCCACCGAACATATTAAGGAATACAAAGAAAATGCATTTCAATTTCAATGAGGTGTTGCAGAAAAAAAGAATAATGTAATTCATTCATTTTCTTTTCGGCTTAGTCCCTTTATTAATCCAGGGTCGCCACTGCGGAATGACCCGCCAACTCACGTATTTACACAGCGAATTGCCCTTCCAGCCGCAACCCATCTCTGGGAAACATCCACACACACACTCATACACTATGGACAATTTAGTCTACCCAATTCACCTGTACCGCATGTGTTTGGACTGTGGGGGAAACCAGAGCACCTGGAGGAAACCCACGCGAACGCAGGGAGAACATGCAAACTCCACACAGAAACACCAACTGACCCAGAAGAGGCTCGAACCAGCGACCTTCTTGCTTTTAGCACTACCTACTGCGCCACTGCGTCGCCTGAGAATAATGTAGTAGTTTTTTTAATTTGTAATTTGTAAAACTTTGTATTTTTATTTTATTACAGCAGGTGACACGGTGGCTCAGTGGTTAGCACTGTCGCCTTACAGCAAGAAGGTCGCTGGTTTGAGTTCGGGCTTTGTCAATTGGCGTTTCGGTGTTTCCACAGCCCAAACAGATGCGCTATAGGTGAATTGATGAACTGAATTGGCCGAAATGTATGTGCGTGAATGAGCGAGTATGGGTGATTTCCAGAACTAGGTTGCAGCTGGAAGGGCATCTGCTTTGTAAAACATATGCTGGATATGTAGCCAAAGGAAATGAAATTATTACAACACATATAGGTGACGCAGTGGTGCAGTAGGTAGTGCTGTCGCCCCACAGCAAGAAGGTCGCTGGTTCGAGCCTCAGCGGGGTCAGTTGGCGTTTCTGTGTGGAGTTTGTATGTTCTCCCTGCGTTCGCGTGGGTTTCCTCCGGGTGCTCTGGTTTCCCCTAGTCCAAAGACATGCGGTACAGGTGAATTGGGTAGACTAAATTGTCCGTAGAGTACGAGTGTGTGTGTGAATGTGTGTGTGGATGTTTCCCAGAGATGGAAGGGCATCCGCTGCGTAAAATGTGCTGGATAAGTTGGCGGTTCATTCCGCTGTGGCGACGCCTGATTAATAAAGGGACTAAGCCAAAAAGAAAATGAATGAATAACAACACTTATATTGTATTGTTTATATGTTTCATAGATCTCTTCATTCATTATTGTTTCTGAAAGATGACACAGAATTCGTTTATATTTTATTATGTTCTTGTTTCTGATTGCGATGATGTTTTTCCTCTCGGTTCTTGGATTTCTTAATTTTGCTTTCAGCTCTTTTCCTCTTGTTTCGAAGTGTCTTTGCTCCTGATTTACTCGCCTGCATTTGTTTTGACTGACTAATCGTGCTCTTTGTTTTCTCTGAGGTTAATGCAGAACCAGAGGCTTTCGGTGTTTTCTGAACAGTCGTTTCCATTTTTAACTTTTGCCTTCTCATGTTCATCTTTTTAGGTGTTTTCCTCTGTGGAGCGAGAGTAAAGGTGGACAGGGAGTTTAGCTGGACACGATTTCTTCCTTTTTTATGCTTGTTTCTGTGCAGATTCTTCAGTTCCTTAAACTGATTCACCTGATTTTGACTCTGAAACTTCTTCTCTTTCTTATAGCATATTTTCTGTTTTTTCCTCAGTCTACTTCGCTCCCTTTTGGAGGTTTTGGGTTCTCCGCTGTGTGTCAGTTTGATTGGCACTTTATTGCAGGAAAGGTCAAAGGTGGCGCTGGTTTCATTTGTCTGATTGGTGGAGTTGTACGGTGTTGAGTCTTTCATTATTGCCACTGGTGCTAGTTTTACCATGGTGCACCTGCAGGAGAGATATGATGAAGGTCTTAGTTATACACAGAATAAAATACTCTCACAGGCTCAATGTGGATCCGTACCCTTGTCTACATTTCTGTAGAGCATGAATTATGCACCCAGTGGTACATCTGGCTGCATTTTGTCTTTAAAATTAACGGGACTTGCAGACGGGTTCATTTTATCGCTACCAGCTGACCGTTTACCTCCATTTGGATGGGTTTTCTGGTGTTACCAGTTTGCCCAGTGGCTTGCCGCGTACATTGGCAGACCTACAGAGTTGACTGCAATGATGAGGGTTGAGTCCGGCAAAGATTGGTTCCAGAAACCAGGTAAAACAAAAAGAAAATAATAAATAAATACATAAAACAAATGAACAACAGGCTGAAAATGTGGTGAAATCGCATGACACATTTCCACCACATTGTCTTTTTCGGATTGCTTTTGAAAACACTATGGGTTGGGCTTAGGGTAGGGGGCAGGTGGGTCAGTCAGTCAGTCAGTCAGTGACTACGTTTACATGGACATAAGGAATCAAATTATTTGCTTTAATCTAATTAAGAGAATAATAAGACTAAGGTGTTTACATGAGCTGCTTTTTGAGTGTTACTTTCATGATCCTGTGTGGAATATCCTGTCACAAAACGCAGTGAAAAGTCCTACGTGACGGTAATAGTTTGATTAAGGTGTTTACATGTCTGTACTGCACTTCAATAATGCCGCTAAAATCGGCATACTTCACATGTCTTAATTTGATTTCTCTTTAGTTCGATTATGACCTTAATCTGATTAAATTAATTTAAAAAATCGCTGTTTACATGGTTAACTCGTAATCAGGGTATTATCCTAATCGCATTAAAATCGAATTATTGGTGTCCATGTAAACACAGTCAGTAAGTCAGTCGACAGAAAGCTGGCCTGGTCGGGTGAAGTGTATATTGCACCCTCTGGTGGATTTATGCGAGAAGAGGACGTGCAAGAGAAATTTAAAATCATCAAAAAGTGTACACAGCGACCCCTGGTGGATTTACAAAAAACAAAAACTGTGAGCAGACGTACCTAAGGCTACGTATTTTGCTGTCTCCAGAGATGTAGACCTGGGTATGTATCCACAATGATGACACTTTGAACTGACTTTAAAAAATCACGGTAATTTTTTTGAGGTAAATTTTGTAGTTTTTCCTCAAAGCTTTAAACTATACATTTTTATTTAAATTTAAAACATTTAATGTGGTCAAAAAAAAGTACATTCACACAAAATAAAAATGTTGTTTAATTTAAAGAATCTAAAGCATGGGTCTCAAACTCAATTCCTGGAGGGCCGCAGCTCTGCAGTTTTGCTCCATCCTTAATCAAACAGCTGATCCAACTAATGGAGGTGTTCAAGACTACTAGAGACTATTAACCAGGTGTGATTTGGAGGTGGTTGAGCTCAAATCTGCAGAATTACTTCAGTAAAAAGTACAAAACTGTCTATTTTAAACCTTAGATCAATGCATAAACTTCCTTTAGATTAGACCAACCTGAAAAATGACTGAAATTTGTTACAGCTAAACTGATAAATACCCTCAAATTTTAGTTTTGCGTTGGTTTATTATTAAAAAATGTATTTTATTATTTTTATAAGCTACTGGAACATAGCAAAAAATGAATGATATGCATAATTTTAGCTAAAAAAAAAAACACATGTCAAAGTACAAAAAGGCTGCAGTTCACTTTTATTGTTTAAAAATGAATATTTTTTTCGATAATGTTTAGTTTCTCATCCTGCAAATTTGCCGAAAATGATTCAGCAGTGTTTCTGAAAAGTTCACACAATGCATGTCCTGATCTGCCCTTTACTCCATAGTTTAAAAAAGCAAATAGAGCATTGAAAAAGGTATACATTTCCAGATCATTCCAGACAGATGTATATAATTGACTAAATACATGGGTAAAGTGAGCTCTGTGTGCTGCTCTCTCTGAAAGTGACTTTCTTCGCAGGACTCAACATGAGTTGCTGGAGGTGAGCAGAGCCACAGCCTCAACTTGTCTTGTTTTATTTTTTGTACTGCAATTTGAGACTTGACTCCATATATATATATATATATATATATATATATATATATATATATATATATATATATATATATATATATATATATATATATATATTACATACATATATACACACACACACATATATATAGTTAAGTCTTAAATTGCAGTACAAAAAATAAATAAATATATATGTAAATATATATATATATATATATATATATATATATATATATATATATATATATATATATATATATATATATATATATATATATATATATATGCATAGGGTTAACTTACTCTCACCTGTGGCACAATGTTATTACAGCAGAGAGACATTGGTCCATGGTTATAAGTATGCTCTATTATTGCCATTGTGCAAATGATTTAAGTCATTTGGTTATAACAGAGAGATAATAATGATAATTGAGCTTAATGTAAACATTATGGTCCTATTTATACCTTGAACTAGGGTGTAAACACATCTTATTGAACATCATTAATTTTCATCACCGATTATCACATTCGAACAGTTTCTCAAGCAGTTTGTGATGCATTTTAGAAACAGGAGATGAGCCCCTGGTCTAATGCGCCACCTGGCTTGAGAAACCCCATTAGTCATTATTTGGGTAGCACACATATTCTGAATGCCTTTGGCAGAATTCAAATGAGCCATTTTAATCTAGATTAATGTAGAATAATTCCAAGATTACAGTTAGATTAATGTAGATTAAAAAATTAATCTATGCCCACCTATAATTTTGATTCCAGATTTTCTAATACTTTTATCTTGCACAACTATTGTCCTGTCCCAACAAACACTACATTAATGGAAAGTTTATTTGTTCATCTTTAAGATGATGAGTAAATCTCCATTTCCAAAAATGAACCCTTATATCTAGTTTTGTTGTTAACAGGGTCACATATAAGTGTAAAAGAATGGACCGCATGCATTTGACTACATGGGTGTTTACACTATGACAAAAACCTACTACTTGTGGAAGTGTCCACACCAACATTTAATGTCATACGTTTTCTGTCCCATGACAAATGGATGTTAGTTCCTGGTGTAAACCGAGGCCAAGTCAAAAGTCTTGTAAGAATGTAAATAAATAGAGCTGAATCCTCATTTCACTCACAATCCAAGCCAGTTGTACTGTGTGCACTGCCTCCTCTGGATGAACTCGAAGCAGCGGATTTTTAGCACATTAAAGAAGCTGTAGCCCACCATGTTGGAGATGGTGTCGTTGCCACCCAGAAGGCATTGCTTAAATCTACAAGCCAAAGATAAGAGAAAGAAATCCATTTGATATGCAATATAGTGATAACATTTACAATTTTGTGCATCAGAATGAGCTAAAGCTTCCACTAAGTGAAGTTTATGTATAAACTAATTTTGAGAGGATCATGTGCTTATGATTGCTAGCGGCTGGATCCGCATTATCCAATTCACTATGCTCCAATCAGACGACTCCTAAACTACTATAAATACCCTGGGTTTCATTCCACTGCTATCTTCGTTTTGAAGAGTCCCCCCTACCACCCCTACTCCTCCTTCTTCTTAGATGGGTGACACGGTGGCCCAATGCGTAGCACTGTTGCCTCACAGCAAGAATGTCTCTGGTTCCAGGCTTAACCAAACCAGCAGACATTTCTGTGTTTGCACTTTCTCCCCGTGCTCATGTGGGTTTCCCCCGGGTTACCCGGTTTCCTCCCACCATCCAAAAACATGCAAAGTTAATTGACTAATCCAAATCGGCACCATAGACATGCTTCTAGTATGTAGTTATCTCCAAGAGCAATCACTTAATGGGCATCGTTTACTACAGCAGGGGAGTTCTCGAGATCAAACAGAGCTCAAACTCCCCTCCCGCTTTGCAACAGGAGGGAAGCCCGGGCTCGAGGATCTCATGAGCTCAGGGCTCTCTCCCGGGACAGCATGCCAAACAAGCTTTTATAATCAATCATCAGCTAAGTGTCAACTCTTGAAACACACACTGTTAGTCAACGTTCGGATGAAATGAGGAATTAAGACACACACACACACACACACACACACACACCGAACAAAATGACACTGAACCAAATTTGTTAGAGATAGCTTTTTTTTTAAAGTATAATTTAACTTTGGATTCAACTATCAAATTTAATTTAATCTAAATCAAAAATATTTATTGTGGTAAAGAAAAAAGTTACGTTCACACAAAGACAAAATATTGTTTAATATAGAGACACTACACATTTATATTTTTGCTTTAGTTATCGTTTTTAACCTTAGAACAAAGTGTATTGCATTGGACCAACCTTTAATTTCATTCATTCATTCATTTTCCTTCGGCTTTATTCATCAGAGGTCATAACGGCAGAATGAACCGCCAACTGTTTTACAAAGTGGATGCCCTTCCAGCCGCAACCCAGTACTGGGAAACACCCATACACTCTTACATTCACACACACTCATACGATACGGACAATATAGTTCATCAGTTCCCCTATCGCACATGTGTTTGGACTGTGGGGGAAAACTGGAGCACCCGGAGGAAACCCACACCAACACGGGGAGAACATGCAAACTCCATATAGAAATGCCAACTCGTCCAGCCTGAACTGAAACCAGCGACCTTCTTGCTGTGAAGCAACAGTGCTAACCACTAAGCCACCAAGTCTAGAAATGACTATGTAGTTTAACTTTTTTAATTGCTCATATATTCTGCGTTCCTACAACATGACGGTGTCTTGTATAATGTTTGCAGGAGCCGTCGCAGGTGAAGGAACAGAAAGCATGAGTTATGGCTGTAAAGAGTCTCCCCCGAGGACCTGAAATGCCTCTGTATCTGAGGAATGTAGAGGAGTAACTCACCTGTGGTCACAGTCGCAGTGGGAAACCGTGAAGAAAGTGGGATTGAAGACGCCAAAGTTAACCGAGAAGGAGCGTATGATGTGTTCACAGTGATCATGCTCTCTGCAGCATCGGTCTGCGTGCTCAAACATACCTGCAGTGCACATGAGACGACACCCTGATTATTTATTACAGCTTTAAACCCTTGTTAGCTTGTAACATAGCAAACCTGCACTGTAAAAAGATCTGTTAATTAACAGGTTGTGTGCATGGTTCCGTTTATTTATGGTTGTGAATTGCATTATGGGAGGTTGATCTCTGCTCTGTCGACTTTAGCTGCTGAATATTCAACTCGACAGTTTAACAAAGTGACTTTCACTGACATTTTAGTAGTGTAAAGGGCACCCATGGTGAAAAATCTACTTTTCAAGCTGTTTGGACAGACATTAGTTGTGCGCCTCGCTTACACACTGCTTAATACACACAAGATGTAGAGCAATACGCAACTATCTTTACAAATGAAAAAGAATTAAAACATTAAGGATATATATAGGATATAAATATAAAGGATTAAAATATTACAAAACATATTATTTTCTAGCCTACATAAATATAAAAACCACTGCCTTCATGTCTTCTTCATCTCGGGAGGCTTTTTCAGTTTATTCATAACAATTTGCTTTTGTATAATGTTATTATTATAAGCAGTATTATTTATCATATCCATATTCATATTTGTTTTATTAAAAACAAGCTTAGATTTGTCCACCTGTCAGGTTTCAGACCATATCGGGCACAGCATGTGTATTAGGATATAACTCAGGTTTTTGACCACACTTCGTTATCATTTAGTCTTTAACTATATAGAGTTTTGAGGGATGTAAACAAAAACAAAAACCCGGGAGGTACGTAATCAAGCAGTTTTTGTTTTCACGAATTCGCAAGAGGCCGCTGTGCGAGCTTTTTCGCGTCTCGGATGCCTCTCGGGAGCTCGCGCCATTCGCGCCCGCGCTGTCCTCGCGTGAAAAGCCGCCGGAGCCCGCTGTAGAGCGGCCGTCCGTCCGTCCGACTGACTGGCTGAACGACTGAATGATTGACCGGGCGGCCAATCGGGCGACCCAGCCACCCTCCTCCTCTTCCTCCACCTTCCCTAAACCCAAGCGACGATTTGCAAAAGCCGTCCAGAAAAAAAAGCAAAAGCCCTCGTCCGATTTTGACCACGTTTTCAGATCTTGCCCTGTCGCAAACTCATTCACTTTTATATTTTTGGATTCTGTTTTTCATCTTACCTGATTTCTGGAACCGTTCTTCCCCGGACATCGCCGTGGCCGGCTCAACCTCTCTCCGGGCCTCCGCTCCGCCACGTAATGCTGCGAGCTAAGCGGACAAACTGGTTGAGGCGGGAAAGCCCTTCACACTGAGGCGAGCCGTCAGCCGGCGAGCGCGAAAAGGAGGAGTGAAGCGGCGCCACACCGCCCCGTAGCGTTTGCTCGATAAAAAAAAAAAAAAACGCGGCCATACGTGGGGCTGCTTTTATGGTTTTAGTGGAGTTTTGGTCATTTCCAGGCTGGTTTCCAGCCATTATCAGTCTGGTTTTAGTTGGTCAGGCTGGAAAATGACCAGCTAGCTAAAACCAGCTTGACAGCCTGGTTTAAGCTGGACATAGCTGGTTTTGGCTGGGCTTCCAGCCTAGCTAGGCTGGTAAAGCTGGCTTTAGCTGGTCATCTCCCAGCCTGACCAGCTAAGACCAGGCTGGAAATGGCTGGAAACCAGCCTGGAAGTGGCCAAAACCCCTCTAAAACCAGCCTGGTCGACCAGCTAAAACCAGCCAACCAGCCTAGGCTGGTTTAAGCTGCTTTTTCAGAAGAGATGTGGAATAACTACTAGATACAGATCCAACATAAAACTCTTTGTGGTGCTTCATACATTGATAAGCGTGTGACAGTGATCCTCTTTTTGCCCACTATGGCTGCACCTTTCAGCAGTAACAAATCAAAAAGTGATTTTCCTGCCAATGTGTGCTTGCATAAATGGGCGTGTTGAATATCTGTGAGTGCACGGCATGTTCAGGAAAACATGTGGGAGGTCCATACAGCAGAACCTGATCATTACTGTTAATATTAGCTCTGCTGTGTGACAGTAAATCAGTATGATTACAGAGCACGTCAGTCCAAACGACAGGCCAAATATAGACAGCTACAACATACAGTTGAAGTCCTGATCAATTTGAATGCTTTTATTTTCCCAATTTCTGTTTAACTGAGAAATTTTTTTGCATCACATTTCTAAACATAATCGTTTTAATAACTCATTTCTATTAACTGATTTATTTTATCTTTGCCATGATGACAGCACATAATATTAGACTAGACATTTTCAAGACATTAATTAGGGTAAAGTTAGGGTAATTAGGGTAAAGTTAGGGTAATTAGGGTAAAGTTAGGGTAATTAGGCAAGTCACTGTATAACAGTGGTTCTGTAGACTATCCAAAACAAATATTGCTTAAAGAGGGGCATATGATCAGAAATACTGATGAAAAGGTACTTGCTCCATTATAGATCAATTGAAAAATATTTGATAAAGAATAAATATTTCATAGAAGGGTGAATAATTTTGCCCTCAACTGCATATATTTGCAGTACAAAATTTCTTAAAGCAGCATGATCATTGATCTTTACTTAATATTCAATTGATGTCCCTGCTAATAAATCCAGCTTAAACCAGCCTAGGATGGTTGGCTGGTTTTAGCTGGTCAACCAGCCTGGTTTTACAGGGGTTTTGGCCACTTCCAGGCTGGTTTCCAGCCATTTCCAGCCTGGTCTTAAGTCAGGCTGGAAAGTGAAAAGCTAAAACCATCTAAAACCAGCTTGACTATCCTGGTTTAAGCTGGACATAGCTGGTTTTGGCTGGGCTCCCAGCCTTGCAAGGCTGGTCAAGCTGGTTTTAGCTGGTCATCTCCCAGCCAGTAAAGCTAAGACCAGGCTGGAAATGGCTGGAAACCTGCCTGGAAGTGGCCAAAACCCCTTTGAAACCAGCCAACCATCCTAGGCTGGTTTAAGCTGGATTTTTCTATATAGAAGTGTTTTGAAAAATATCTAGTCAAATATTATTTACTGTCATCATGACAAAGAATAAATTTAATTAGTTATTAGAAATGAGTTATTAAAAATGTTATGATTAGAAATGGTTGAGAATCTTCTCTCCTTTAAACAGAAATTGGGGGGAAAATAAACATGGGGCGAATAATTCTGACTTCAACTGTATTACTGCAAAAAGGTCCACTTTTTTTCCACCCTTTCACCAGGCTGCCTACGGACCTGACTTTACGTATACACTTAATAGGCCTTTTTCACACTTCCTGGTTCCGGTAAGCGAAGCAGTGTACCACAACATCCGGTTTCAATGCGACGGAGCAAGAAAGAATGGCAGGGTCATCTCATCGCTGTGATTGCTGCGTTCCCAGCTGCTCCAACTCAAAAACGACACTCTTACTTTAATGACCACGATCTCCCGAAAGACGAAGGACAGGGAAAAGCATGGATGACAATATTAAAGGGGGTTGAATGCCGTTTCAAGTTATATGCGGGAGTACGCTCGTATGCTGTATGCACTTCAAAGCGGAGATTATCATGTTTTATTAAAGACCGGTGGTCTATGGTTTATTTTGATGAGTAATTATAATATAGACAAAACTCCAGTTAAGCTATCTGCCTTCCACAAACAAGTGCTCATCATGGTCATTAATCTATAAGCATGATTTATTCCTACATTGTTGTTATTTTGGAATAATAGACAGTTCATACAAATGCAAATCTCTTTTTTTAATTGGTTTGACAGCAAAATTGTTTGTTTTGTCAGTTATATAATAAAGATGGTATACTTTTCTTACAATGAAGTCCTTTATTACAAAATCTCAATAACCCAGAAAGTTTTCAACTGTTATTGGTTCAATTCCTGCAGAGACATGTTATTCATTCATGTTATTTAGAGGTATTAATAAGACCATCCTTCTGATGCATTGTCTTTTGATATTACTAAATCTTATGTCGGCAAATTTTGTTTTACTAAATACCAAGAGTAATGATAGAGCTATTCATACTCTTTTCCAAAAAGAAATCATTACTGTACCTTATATTCAATTTTATTATATGTCTTTATTAAAGGGTGAATTGAAGAAAAGTGTGGCTGTTACCACAGAAATATCATGTTAGAAATAGAATTAAAGAAATGTCCTATAAACTCATCCACAAGTTTTATCCAGCAAAACATTGTTTGCAAAAATTTAAAAGTGGGATTGATGTAAATTGTATTTTTGTAACGAATATGAGGAGACAGTTTTACACTTATTTTGGTATTGTACATAGTCAGCTTATGGGGTGAGTTGCAAAATGTATTAATAACGATTCTTTTGTGTTCAAAACCTCTTTCATTATGGATAAATGTACATTTGGGCTTTACTTGATTATCCTAATCTAGAGGAAAATAGTTTTATTTATTTAATTTGCTTATGTTGTTAACAAAATTGTACATTCATAAATGTAAATTTACTAATATGAAACCAGATTTTAAGGTATTGATGACTGAAATATGCTTGTATAATACCAGGATCAACTCTCTAAACAAGAAACTCGACCCACTTTAAAATGTGTGAACTCTACAATGTATTTCATTATTACATATGTTATATTACATTTTGATTATTTGTATTTTATTCATAATTACCTCCTGGTATGTACATTTTTGTATTGTAAAATGTTATTTGCTGTTCTTTAAATAAATAATAAAAATTAATATTATCCACGAGTAGGAGCTAACGTGTTTCCAGACTTGAGAAAACCTCACGAGCATTAAACAACCTGTAATGTATTAACCGATAGCAACTCGCCTGTATAGCTAACTTACCTCGCCATTCACTATATCTGACTCTGAATAAAAAGGAAGGAGGGGGATAGCACAGTTTACAGACGGGACTACTGACATTAAACTCATCCTGCTGGATGTTAAATAGTCAGGTTAATCTAGCTTACGAATGGCTTGAATGGGCAGATCTTATGTTGTTGGCTGTGCACCTTACTGGAACCTGATGTTGCAAACGGTAAGACACGTTTTCTGCACATATTCTGCAAATCGGTATCATCTTTTAAAAGCTGTTTTATTAAGGCAGTTTTACACATTCACCGAACAACATCTTCCTGTCCAAATTATGGCAAAGTTGACCGTGAGAAAGTCATCCGCTGTCCCGAGGCTGTCATGTCTCCGCGACTAGCGAACCCGGAAATATCGATACACTGCTTCGAAGGGCGCTTCCGGTGTTCAATTCCGCTGTGAAAAAGGTCTATTGTAAATACGCATGCAATGAACTGAAAACTTACCCAGCTGCTCGTAGTCATTGGCGTTGGTTCCACGTCCACACCACAGAGTCCCTGGTAAAACCCAAGCGCGTTTACTGCGGATTTTCACTCTTGAGTCCATCTGCTGGTTTTGCTTTGCGTTTTCTTCACGCAAAGTTAAACTACTGTTAATATTTAAGTTGATTTGACAAAGTCCGTCATCTTCCAGGAGCGCGGTTAAATTATAGCGGCTGAACTTTCCGTCACTGTCCCAAATAATGCGCTCTTCATGACAGAAAGACAAATAACGCTGGATCTGCGACACATCCCGACTGATGAAACACTCCTTAACACGCTGATCTGGGGTCCATTTACTCCAGTAGAACAGAAGAGAAGCGTCCTGTGAGCGGATGAGAAAACTGACCTGAGAACTGCTGTTTTCTGTCTTCATGAGGAGACAGAATGGAGCAGGTTTGTTGAATGTTGACGCATCGCAACAGCTGAAAACAACTAAATTAAATATTAAAATGAGACTACGTAATCCTGCATCTTGTAGTGACATAATGAGAGTATTATTAGCTAAACGCTTGACATTGAGTGCTGTTGTATCAAACTAGCAAAAGCTAAGTTTTGCGCAGCTAGCCTAAAACACCATCAGTCGGTTTCAGTCGAAAAAATGAGGAATGAATCTGTCGGATGAAAGTGAATTTAGTGTTTCTTGACTGCCTGTTCACAGATGTCGAAGTAAAATTTGGGTTTGCAACAGGTTAAAACTTGTAAATGATGTGAAGCTGAAATGACAGGAGTCACGTGACTGGAATCATACAAACTCCGCTGCTATTCAGTGACAATATCAGAGATTAACGCAAATGTTTTAGCCGTTTAAAATGACTGTATTGCTTCAGTTCTTTAATATAGTTCTTCAAATGCAACATCAGGCCTACTAAATGTATTACTGACACATAATTGGCTGTTTCAAGGCAGAAATTAAGCCGAAATCTGACATCCGTCACATGAACCAAGTTATAGGCAATACTACAGTGCTTTTGAGCCATAGTAAAACAGGCGTACTTATATTAAAATGTTGTGGTTATTCTATAGTCGCAATGGTAATACAACAACTGAAATATTAACGTATTAGGCTACCCCATACAGTGCCTTTTACAGTTTTCAATTCGCATTCATTAACAGTGTTGTAAATAGTAATGTAATAATATAGTTGGCTAATTTATTGGTTCAAAAACACCGTTTTGTTTTCATGTGGACTTTGATTACATCTTTCAATCATTAAATGAGCAAATGAAACTATAAAACCTCACATTTAATGAAGATACTATTTTTGTTTGTTTGTATGTTTAATAAAATAAACAATTTTATTTTACTTTAAACAGTGATCCCTGCTGAAAAATGCAGCTTAAACCAGTCTAGGCTGGTTGGCTGGTTTTAGCTGGTCGACCAGGCTGGTTTTAGAAGGGTTTTGGCCACTTCCAGACTGGTTTCCAGCCTGGTCTTAGCTGGTCAGGCTGGAAAATGACCAGCCAAATCCTGCTAAAACCAGCTTGACCAGCCTGGTTTAAGCTGGAAATTGCTGGTTTTGGCTGGATTCCCAGCTTGGCTTGGCTGGTCAAGCTGGTTTTAGCTGGTCATCTCCCAGCCTGACCAACTAAGTCCAGGCTGGAAATGGCTGGAAACCAGCCTGGAAGTGGCCAAAACCCCTCTAAAACCAGCCTGGTCGACCAGCTAAAACCAGCCAACCAGCTTAGGCTGGTTTAAGCTGGATTTTTCAGCAGGGTGAGTTAACTTGGAACTGATAATTTGGCTTAAGTCTTATAATTATACACATATTTCAGTTAATTAATTGTAAGGCAAAAGGTTTACTCACTTTTTAAAGTAAACAGCTCATGTTTTTTTTCACTAAAATAGCTTTTTGTTGTCATTTTTCATTTACTGTACATTATTTTTGTGAGACTTTTGAAAGGAAAATGTTAAAATATGTACAAGATTGCAACGGCATGATGGTGAGTAAATAATATAAATTAATAATAAATATTTTTTTTACTAAAAAAGCTTTTTGTTGTCACATTACATTTTGCCCCTATTATATTTTGCATATACTGCAACACAAAACGGGCAGCACAGTTGCTCAGTGGTTAGCTCTGTCGCCTCACAGCAAGAAGGTCGCTGATTCGAATCCCTACTGGGTCAGTTGGCATTTATGTGTAGAGTTTGCACGTGGGTTTCCTCCGGGTGCTCCGGTTTCCCCCACAGTCCAAACACATGCGCTATAGGGGAATTGAATAAACTAAACTGGCCGTGGTGTACGAGTGTGTGTATGAATGAGTGTGTATGGGTGTTTCCCAGTACTGGGTTGCAGCTGGAAAGTAATCCGCTGCATAAAACATATGCTATGGTGCAGCTGTGGTGACCCCTGATGAATAAAGAGACTAAGCCGAAGGAAAATGGATGAATGAATATGCATGGTTCTTTGGTCAGTATGTTTGGCCATCCTGCTTTAATGTGGTCACTATATGATTAAATATGAGTGATGCTTTGCTATGATGACCATCTAAAAGAGAAGAGGAGTGTAGCAGTGATGATTTGTAGGCAGGCATTAACAGACACATCATTAAACTCAGGAGGTGACAGCTTTTACAGTGTATTGAGTTCTGGCAAGGTCATGACTGTATTTCACTCAGTGGCGCCCTCTGGTGGTCTGAAGACATGGCTAACTGTACCTGCGGGTGAGAATACTGATACTTTTACTTTTTTAGAAAGGGGTTGCTGTATGACAGTGATTATTAGATACGTGGGTAACAACACTTTAGTTTAGGTAACAATTTACACCATTTAATTTGGACTTTAATACTCCGTAAATGTTGAACTATGATTAATAAATGCTGTACAAGTCATTCATTTCTTCAGTTTCTTTTCAGCATAGTCCATTTATTAATCTGGGGCCACCACAGCGGAACGAACCGCCACCTTATCCAGCACATGTTTTACGCAGCTGATGCCCTTCCAGCTGCAACCCATGACTGGGAAACACCCATACACGCTCATTCACACTCATACACTACGGACAATTTAGCCTACCCAATTCACCTGTACCACATGTGTTTGGACTGTCGGGGAAACCGGAGCAACCCACCCCAACACAGGGAGAACATGCAAACTCCACACAGAAAAGCCAGCTGACCCAGCCGAGGCTCAAACCAGTGACCTTCCCACTGCATGCGCCACTGTGACGCCTGCTGTACAAGTGTTATTAGTTTATATTAGTAAACACATTAGCATTAACTAATGAAATCTTAAAGAGGACATGTTATGCAAACACAGAGGTTTAAACACAGGCAGCAGTGTGTGAATAAAACCTTCTGATGGTAAAAATGTATTTTTTTTATCAGGCTTGATATAAACAGTATACAGAAACACTTTGATTGACATTCTCCCTTTGTACGTGTCATCAGAGGGGGAAAGCCCCGCCCACTAGTGACCATCTCTCCCTCATTAGCATAAACAGTCCTGAGTGAGATGCAGCTGTCCCCTATTAGAGTTTCGACCTGCTGACGATAACGTCAGCGATTAAGAGGATTAGAAATGTGGAGTTTAAGCACACACAAATGAACACTGTCTGCTGTTTTGAATCGGTCACCATGCTGATACACAGGCATTTGTAGCTCCGCCCTCTTTTGAAATGACCACAATCTCATTTGAATTTAAAGCGACAGTCACCAAAACGGCACAGTTTGGATCAAAGCCTATAAAGGGGCACTTTTAAAGAGTATAAATCATTATTTGTGTGATGTTTTCAGCTGACACTTCACACACACACACACACTAGAGACATCAGAGGCTTAGTTTACATCTTGTGAAAAGGGGCTTAACAGGTGCCCTTAAATGTAAAGTGTGACCAAGTATTGTAGAGAGAGAAATACACTTCCTTACAAAAGTCTTGTGGCCTATCCAAGTTTGAGGAACAGCAAATAATTAGTTGACTTCAAGTTGGCCATTTGTGTTCATCTTCAATGCCTCCTCCTCCATCTTACCCCAGACATGCTCAATGCTCAATAATGTTCATATCTGGTGACTGGGCTGGCCAATCCTGGAGCACCATGAGCTTCTTTGCTTTCAGGAGCTTTGATGTGGAGCAGTGGCGTAGCGCAAAATGCGGAGGCCCCCCTGCAGGGATCACCGACGGGGCCCCCAGTTGAAGGCCAGGGGGGGCGGGGGGAGGTTGGGGTGGGGGTTTGGCAGAGCCAGAGATATACAGATATACCTATGATCGGGAGATTTCCCTGGATGTTAGTATGCATTTTTTTTTTAATTATGAAAATTAAATTATTATGATTAATTATGACGCATGCTCAGGGTCCCTATGCGATATCTAGTGTATATATCTATGTCACAAATTGAGAAGCGGGGAAATGAGGCGGGGTGGAGCGACAACGCGGGGAATCCTTCACAAACTGAGGAGCGATCACAAACCGAAAGCGGCGAGAGCGTCAAAGTAGCCAGAAATCATTCATTTTTTAACGAGAACCGGCGGCGAGAACAGCGGCGCGTCTTCATTGGCTATGACCAGGTTCGGCGGCAAGCAATCAGAATGAAGTAGTCCACCGCTTGAGAGGAGTTCAGAGAACACAGACCTGTGCACTTTGGTTCCGACCACAGTTGTTCCCAAGAGTTTGATTATTGCGGTTCCTGGATTTTCAATCATTGAAAATCGCAACGACGTGGGGCCCCACCGCGGTGCGTGCCCTGCGGGCCCGTCCTCTACGCCACTGATGTGGAGGCTGAAGTATGAGAAGGAGCGCTATCCTGCTGGAGAATTGTCCCTCTCCTGTGGTTTGTAATGTAATGGGCAGCACAAATGTCTTGATACCTCAGGCTGTTGATGTTGCAGATCTCTCGCACGCCCCCATACTGAATAAACCCCAAACCATGATGTCTCCTTCACCAAACTTGATTGATTTCAGTGAGAATCTTGGCTCCATGTGGGTTCCAGTAGGTCTTCTGCAGTATTTGTGATGATTGGGATGCAGATCAACAGATGATCCATCTGAAATATTGACCTTTTGACCCTTTTACAGATGTCAAAAGTTATTAATAATGTTTTAATTTCATTTACTACGTTCAAAAAAGTGCTATGAAGTTAGAGCACAGAGAGCAATCATCAGTTTAACGTCATCAATATTGAGGAAAGCATGCATTTCTTCTCCTGCTTGGCATTCTCTCACTGAAGCGTTTGCGCTTGGAGGAAAAAACACTCAAGAGCAGCTTTTCTCCCCACAGGCCTTCGAGATTCTCCAAAAACCCTTCATCGTTATACAAGATGCTGCAAGAAGTGACTCATTCTGTTCGCTCGGCTGTCAAGCTGGCTGAATTTCCCACATTATTAATTGTCTGCTCTGTGCACATACTGTCACTCGTCCTGATAAATCTGTTGTAGATGGTGATTTATTTTATTTAGCCTAAAGAATACCAGCTACACTACACTCAAAACAATGAATCACCATCATTTGTTTGTAAATTTAGATTTTATTTAATATGTCAAGTTTTTTGTGTGTGTGTATGTTGTCAGATTCCGGTGGCTCAGTGGTTAGCACTGTTGCCTGAAGGTCGACATATAGACCTTTTTCATGGCTGCTGCATGGAGGGCGCCATAGTGACCAGTGTTTTCCGGTAGAATGCTAAAAACTTCCGTTTACAGCGTGTACAACTGGTAATTTGTGCTCCGAAAATGGGTTTCAATGACGTTTTTAATGGATAACAGAGTGTTTTTGTGACACACAACTTAGAAATGTGTCTGTTAAAGCCGTTATAATCTGTCACATGTGGTTCAAGCGCGTCAGAAATATGAGAAAACCGTTCTCCTAGTTCACAATTTGGTGAATTACATTTGTTTGGGCTGGTTATATATTTGAAATAAAGAGAAAATGTTGACTTTAGCGATGACGAGGCTTCATTTAAACTGCAGAAGATGCGTCTGACAGCAAGGGGGAAACGCCTCACAGCAGCTGTTTTCCATCCTATTAGATCGCATTTCTTTAAATGATCAGTCCAGGAGATGCTGCTGATGGACAACAGTATTAGCTCAAAGAGGATAAAAGCAGGTAAAATAGATTAAAACTATCGTTTCAAAGCTGTCCAAATGTGACTGTTCACACGCATCATCTGCCGACCGGAAGTTCTTCGCATTCTCCTTGCGCATGCAAAGCATCATGGGTAATTTTGCGTTCCAAGAAAAACAGTCAACCCTAGACAGTCAATTAATTTCTAGACAGTCAACCCTGCTAAAAAATCCAGCTTGGTTGGCTGGTTTTAGCTGGTCAACCAGGCTGGTTTTAGAGGGGTTTTGGCCACTTCCAGGCTGGTTTCCAGCTATTTCCAGCCTGGTCTTAGCTGGTCAGGCTGGAAAATGACCAGCTAAATCCAGCTAAAACCAGCTTGACCAGCCAGGTTTAGGCTGGACATAGCTGGTTTTGGCTGGGCTCCCAGCCTGGCTAAGTTGTTCAAGCTGGTTTTAGCTGGTCATCTCCCAGCCTAACCAGCTAAGACCAGGCTGGAAATGGCTGGAAACCAGCCTGGAAGTGGCCAAAACCCCTCTAAAACCAGCCTGGTTGACCAGCTAAAACCAGCCAACCGTTTAAGCTGGATTTTTCAGCAGGGTTAACACACATTTCCTTGGTATATATTTGCTTTGCTTTTAAACTGTATAACTTTGGTCTAATGTTTTGGATCTCCTTCCACAAGCTTCTCACAATAGTTTGCAGGAGTTTTGGCCCATTCCTCCTGACAGAATTGCTTTAACTGAGTCAGATTGGTTGGCTGTCTTGCTCGCACAAGCTTTTTCAACTCTGCCCACACATTCTCTATAGGATTGAGATCAGGGCTTTGTGATGGCCACTCCAAAACATTCACTTTGTTGTCCTTAAAGCACATTTGAACTCATTTGGCAGTATGCTTAGGGGCATGATCTGTTTGAAAGACCCGTTTGTGGCCAAGTTGTAATTTCCCGGCTGATGTGTTGAGATGTTGCTTCAGTATTTCTCCATAATGTTCTTTCGTCATGATGCCATCTATGCTGTGCAGTGGACCAGTCCCTCCTGCAGCAAAACAGCCCCACAACATGATGCTGCCGCCCCCATACTTCACAGTTGGGATGGTGTTGCTAGGCTTGTAAGCTTTCCCCTTTGTCCTCCAAATGTAACACTGCTCATTATGGCCAAACAGTTCAGTCTTAGCTCCATCAGAGCACAGCACATGTCTCCAATATTAGTCTTTTTCCCAGTGTAATTTAGCTCATTGTAATCTGGTATTGTTGTTTTTCTGGCTTGTTGATTTTCCCATGTTGTCACACAAGGAAGCATAATACAGATGTGTTCACTCTTTATCGCTTAGTTTGTGGCATTTATAATTTACATTTATTAATTTATAATAAAGGTAACACGGTGGCTCAGTGGTTAGCACTGTGGCCTCACAGCAAGAAGGTTGCTGGTTTGAGTGTCAGACAGTTGGCATTTCTGTGTGGAGTTTGCATGTTCTCCCCGTGTTGGTGTGGGTTTACTCCAGGTGCTCTGGATTCCCCCTTAGTCCAAACACATGCGCTATAGGGGAATTGGATGATCTAAATTGTCCGTATGTGTGTGAATGAGAGTGTATGGGTGTTTCCCAGAACTGGGTTGCAGCTGGAAGGGCATCCGCTGCATAAAACATATGCAGGATAAGTTGGCGGTTCATCCCGCTTTGGTGACCCATGATAAATAAAGGGACTAAGTCGAAAGGAAAATGAATGAATTAATAATATACATTTATTCTCTCTCTCTCTCTCTCACACACACACACAGTCTCTCTCTCTCTCACTCTCTCTCTCTAATATGCGCAGTCGCTGATTCCTCTCATAGACTGACCTCACTCACAGTCCGCATTGTTTGCAGTCGTTTTTCCCTCAGCACCAGGCGTTTATCCATCATCATCATCATCATCATCATCAGGTGAGCATATGTGAAAACTCCATTACTGATTTCTTTTCCACACATGAAACGACGAATGCGTTTCACAGCCGAAAAACTAACAAAAAACATGCATGCATGTGGGCTGTGTGAGACTTCCTGAGCGATTTATTAAGCACTGAGTAAAAGAAAACCTAAGAAAAGCAATGCTGTCTCTTCATACGCGATCCACATTCCCGTCGTAATCTAGCTAGAGTGTCTGTACGGATGCATTCATTCCCACAGCCATCCATCCATCCATAAGCACGGGCTGCCTGTAGGAAATGATATCGACATGATGGCTGAACAATGCCCTGCTGTAAAAACAGTAAATCTGTGTGCGCTTTGGGTACACACTGCGTGTCAATCGATGCTCCCATTGAGTGTGTTTCCTCTCCCGTCTGCCTTGAGAAACCATGCATGCTGTTTTGCACTGGAAGATAAGCGTAAGGTGTGTCATCTCAATGCGGCTTGCGTTGTACGCAAAAGGTGCATTCAGTCGGTAATAAAGACACGAGCGCTTTTACTAGTGCGCAGAAACACACCAGTCAAGCTTGCTGTGGGCTTCTCACAGGATTTAACACTTATGCTGTGTTATATTTGGATTTGCAATGCAAGTGAACGATCATATGCAGTGCGCTTGTCTTCAGGTGGTGTTCAAATAGGTGTGGATCTTATCTAATGTTTTTGTTATAATTATTGTGACCCACTTAGTCATTCCTGCTTGCTTGCGGGTGGAGTTTTCAATTGGCAATCTGCTGAATGATGTAGCCTATGTGTGATGCATTCTCCGCGCACAGAAACACTCACTGAACCAAATGAATGAATGAAGGCGTGGATGCTCGCAGCCAAATGTAGATTTCAATAAAAGGGATGTGGTTTGCTTGAGATCTTTCAGCATTTACGTATAATGTAGGCTATATTAATATTAGATGTAATACCGATGACTTAAAGTGGACCTATTATGCCTGCTTTTTTTTTTTTTTTTTTTTTTTTTAAAATATGTATGTTCTACAATACTCGGTCACACTTTACATTTAATGGACCTATCATGACACTTTTCTCAAGATGTAAAACAGCACACAGATAATGCTTATAACTCTCTGAATCCGACCCTTTTAGGCTTTGATCTAAATTGTGGAGTTTTGGTGACTGTCGCTTTAAATGCAAATGAGACTGTGCTCTTTTCAAATGAAGGCGGAGCTAGAATTTAGAGATCTGTGCGGAACTAAATTTTGAATCCCGTTTCTTCCAGGTTTTAGTCCGAACCCGACCACTCCCACTTATATTTAGGTATTGTTATCCCACAGCCCGACCCGCCCCTTTTTCTACCCGCCCAATCCAGCTAAAGCCTGGTTTATACTTCTGCGTCAAGTGACCGGCGAAATCCACGGCGCATGCAACGCGCGTAGCTGTGCATTTATACTTCTGCGCGCTGTCTCTGTTGGTCTGCATTAACACTTCCGAAACGCTAGTTGGCAGTAAGGTGTTAATGTTCCTCTGTGTCGAGTTTCTTCGTTGGTGCTTTGCTTTTCCTGAACACTTCCTGAATGTACAAGTGGCTCAAACTTGCTCATTTTTAGGCAGGAACCGGCGGACGTGCAACAACTTTTACTATGAGGTAAACACAAAACAAAACTTTCCATCCGGAGCTCCTTCACGGGACTCCACACTTGTAAACAATCGCGCCACCAGGCGCACGCCGCTCGCACGGCTCTTGGTGCCGCCCAGACTTGTCAGCGCTACCAAGCCGACCAATCACAGAGCTTGCGCTACGTGTCGTTGCAACGTGTAGTTACATTTTTTGAGAGATGCACGTCAGCGACGCCGACGGCCACAGCGTAGGGCTATGCGTCGACGCGTAGGCTGCGCCATAGCATACGCGTGCGTTTGACGCAGAAGTATAAATCAGCCTTAAGTGTTAAGTTTCAGCTCAAAATAGCACACAGATAATGCTTATAACTCTGAATCCTACCCTTTTAGGCTTTGATCTAAATTGTGGAGTTTTGGTGTCTGTCGCTTTAAATGCAAATGAGACTGTGCTCTTTTCAAATGAGGGCGGAGCTACAAATTAAAGATCTGCGCAGGACTAAATTTTGAATCCTGTTTTAGTGCGAACCCAACTGCTCCTGCTTATTTTCAGCATTTGTTGTCCCGCATCCCGCCCCGTTTTCTACCCGCCTGCGCCCAATCCTACTACCGAAAACCTCCCAGCGATACAAAGTCCAGACAGCCTATAACAAGCTGTCTGTATAAACACACACACATAGACACACAGCACCAAGCAATTGACACACGGGCAGCATCACGCTATCTCTCATTCACACACATTGACAGCAACAAGCTCTCTCTCATTCACACACACACACACACACATAGACAGCAACAATCAAGCTAAACACAGCGTCACGCTGTCTCATTCACACACATACATACGCGTGCTCGCTCGCTCGGGAGTTGGGAGCGATATTGTTAGACCGCCCGCTCCTGTTCAGATTACACCAGTTACCGACCGCTCCCGAGCTGCAAGAAATCTGGTCGGGTCCCTCGGCTCCCGCAGACCTCTACTACTAACGCCTGCGCGACAGCTTAGTGGCAGATTTCAAAAACAAGATTAACTCATATGCTAATGAGCAGTGCTTAATTTGTGAATTGCGAGGTCCTGGAACAAATCAGGGTAACTGCTCAGGCATGTTACCAGATGAGGGAGAGGTGTCGTTGACGAAAGTGAATAGCGAGGGGTATGTCGCGAATGAAAGTGGGGGGGGGGGGGTTGTAGTGGACGAAAGTGAAGAGGGGAGGGGGTGTCATTGATGTCAGCTGTTAAGCGCGAAAATAGAAACAAAATGCGTGGGCGGTGTCATCTGTTAAATATTCTCCAACTGTGCAATAAACATACTTCTCATGCGCACTTGTTGCTCATAACAATACAATACTTTCTCGTACGCATTTGCACACAGCACATAACCTGGATGTTTATAACAAATCTGTACATGCAATTCAACATCCAGATCTTTTTTGACTAACTGCATCTCTCTTTAATCATTTTTATCATCTTTTTGTCATATTAATTTCGTGTCGTCACTTTATGTACACTGGAAGCTTCTGCAGCCCAAGCAAATTCCTTGTGTGTGAAGCACAATTTTCAAGAAAACCGATTCTGATACCGCCCCCTAGCGTTTGTTTTAAAGAAGAAATGCAGCCATACATATCTTTGGCTGCATAACTCGCGCTCTCCGGAAATGTATATGGGGGTACATATTCACAATAAGCCTGTGCTGCATTACGAGATGCGTTCTACTGTACATTATGTGCCGGAGCATTGATTCAGAAGGGAGAGAATGTATTTGTGCTGATGGATTGACTGCAGATGGGCTTATACCGATGCTATACTTTCTTGCTTGCATTTCTGAGCATATAAATGCCACAATGCTCAATTCCACACTCAACTGAGAAGGGAAAATTACGTTTTAATTTTAATTTTGTGAGGAAACGGCACTGTAAACAATGCTGGCTGGGTTCTACACAATACCTTCATGTTGTCCCGACACAAATTGATCAACCTAAATTAAGTTGTTCAAAACAACAGCTCATTTTAAGTAGTTTGAACAAGCAGGAAAACAATAAACTAAGCAGGCTTCCATAGATGTTTTTACATGTTTCCTTCTCTTAAATAAATAAATGCATAAATATTGATGGTCATACGTTATTTTAACATGCAATTCTTACTATTATCAATCCATTAACTGCTCAGTTTGCAGCTTATTAATAGTTATTAAGGTAATAGTTGAGGATTAGAGATCAGATAAGTATTGATAAACAGTAAATGTTTTAATAATAGGCAGGTAATGGGCCTGTAATTATTAGTCAGAATTGGTCCTTAAACTTAAGTGTTGCTGTAACATTTTTCATGTCATCTACTGTACTTTATTGTATTGAGTCTGTCCACCTTGTGCTCCTGTTTTCATATTTGGGCTTTTAATTTGTTTGGCTTTCTGTGGCTATTATCTATTATCATTATTGCGGGGGAAGCACAGTGGCGCAGTGGTTAGCACAATCGCCTGGTCGCTGGTTCGAGCCCCGGCTGGGTCAGTTGGATGCTCCGTTGTCCCCCATAATCCAAACACATGTGCTATAGGGCAGGGGTCACCAATCTCGGGCGTAGAGGGCCGGTGTCCCTGCAGGGTTTAGCTCCAACTTGCCTCAACACACCTGCCTGGATGTTTTAAGTATCCTTAGTAAGACCTTGATTGGCTTGTTCAGGTGTGTTTGATTAGGGTTGGAGCTAAAATCTGCAGGACACCGGCCCTCCAGGAACAAATTTGGTGACCCCTGCTATAGGGGAATTGAATAAGCTTAATTGGCCGTAGTGTATGTGTGTGAATGAGTGTTTCCCAGTACTGGGTTGCTGCTGGAAGGGCATCCGCAGTGTAAAACATAAGCTGAATAAGTTTGCGGTTTATTCCGCTGTGGCGACCTCACATTAATAAAAGGACTAAGCCAAAAAGAAAATTAATTAATTAATTATTATTGTTTTGCTTAAAGGCATATGCAAAATACCAAATAAGCAATAGTAAGAATTCCAAATACACTGTACAAATGCATGATTCCACATGAAGGATTTAAATGAACGTAAATTGAAGTGGATTGAACATAAGACACTTAAATTGTTCTCAATAAACTCAAGAATTGTGTTGTTTCAGCTCATTTTAACTACGTAGTTTTAACAAACACCAAACTTATTTTTTTGAGTGTAGTGTCAAATAGCAGCACAACAAAAAAATCAAAACACCTTAATAAACACATAAAACTTACTAATAAACAAACAAACAAACAAATAAATAAATAAATAAACAAACATGATAATGCATTTTACCTTTCTTTTTTCTGGACATACTTATTTTTTTGACAAATTCAAGACATGCAGAAATAAAGATTTTTTGCAATCAAAAAGAAAAAAAAACAATAACAGATTTGGAGTTGATTTTAAAAAATAAGTAATG